ATCACTTTACGATCACATACTGGTTTAGCGTTGGGAGAAATATTAGGCGGTTAAGAGTCAAACCAGCTCCACAATACACTGGTTTAGATGGGCTAACTGGCCTGTTTTCATTCTCATCTATCACCCTTCACTGGTGCTCCGCCAGCGTATCCCGTTAGCGCAGGCGGGGTTACCATAGCATTTTCACCCATCAAAAAAAAATATACTGTTTTACTATGTAGAAATGAAACATCCAATACAAAGAGATACATAGAGATGATTTTCGGAATATTTTGTAAAACATAAATTCGGAATAAATAAATTATCAATTGAATACAAGTATTCGGTATTTAGTAGGGTTGGGTAATATCTCTACCGCTCCGATATCTATATATCAAGTTCATTTAGACATTGATGGCGGGAAAAAGTTCGTCACCCATTGCAATATCGCCCATACTGGCCTATATAAATTTATCTCTAATAATTTCAATATTATATTATGGATAAATGATATTTAATACACCTGATTATTAAGTTAATATATAGATGTTACTACAATATATAGGTATTGTCATGTATTACCCAACTCTAGTAAACAATAGTTATTAGAAAATATACTATCAAGTAACGTTCGTGTGTTTTTATTAAATTTGTTGAAAAAATAATTTCCAGTTTCACAATAACTTCGCGAGTAGAATTAGGCGATTACACTTAGTCTACGAAATTAAAGACACATTTTTCATTTATTTTTTTTTTCCGCTAAATTTGCATTTTACATTTAACATGGCAACACTGAACGTGCATGTCGCACAATCAATTTTGATAAGTACATGAAGTTCGACAAGCTTTTATTAAATTACATTATTTTGAAGTTTGAGGTTTTATTTTTCATTTACATCAAATATTTAAGAAAAAAAGAGGCAACAGTATTTAGATAACATAGTATATATACAAAAAAATGTTACATAAATTTATTTGGTACCTTTTTACATACTGGCAATTGTTTAGAAAATTTTTTTTTTCTAATCGATAAAACGAGACAATTTTTTTCTTTTCTATAAAATAATCCATTTTTAAATATAAATTGACAATCCAAATATTTTGTAGATATATTTATTATGATATTCGTAAGCCATAAGTAATAGGTATACGTTTTTTTTTATTTTTTTTTATTGTTGTCAATAAATAATGTAATTGTAATAAAAACTTGCCGTTTACAAACATTCTAACACTACTGGTCGGAATGTCAAATACACAATATCTAGAAAAAGTCACATATAAAAAGTTCAATTCACACTACAAAAATATACAAAGTTTTTTTTCCCCCATAAATTTTGGTCACAAGAAGTTGCTAGTCGACGGCTCACGTTCTAATTGTTTTTAGTAAAAATTTTTACTACTTTTTTTTTTATACTAAGGCCAAAACTGTTTAAGCCTTGTTTTTGAACTTAGAAACAATTGGATTACTTACATTTAGTATCATGGCGGAAATATAATAGCTACATTTAAAATTATGGTATCAATATCAACGATGGTAGTACGCTTATGTGTGTCAGTTATAATTTCTACGATCTAAACTTAATTTAGAATGGTATTTGTAGTTTTGAACTTTTCAGCATTCATAAATTGATGAGTTTTAAATAAATTTTAATTTAAACTAGAAATATGTACTTAATATAAATGCTAATCGGCTCTAGCTGTCCCTTCTGGGACTATAGTCATAAAAGTCATATAAGAAATAAAAAGAAAATAATAAAAAAAAAAAAATGGATTTGAGATCTATAATTGTCTGTGTTCAGTAAATAGTGATTAATAAAATTTATGTTATGAATAATTTTAATTGCATGCATAACTATTATAATACAATAATTATTAATTTGTGTATAGTATACCTATTATATATATTTTAAAATAAATATACAGATATATATATATATATATATATATATATATATATATATATATATATATATATATATATATATATATAGAAATATGAAAATTATATTTTGAAAATTATTTCCTATATAAAATATATATAGGAAAGTTATTATAGACTGTATGTATTATTTAAAAAAAAAAGAAAGAAAGAAAAAAAAATATGTGAAATTATTTTAATTATAATATAATTAAAATACTACAGACTAGAAATGAATTCCTAAAATAATTCAATTAGCATCTTATATATTATGCATACATGGAAAAACATATATTAGTTTTATATTACATTAAATATGTATAAAAAAAAGAAATTTATTTTTTTTGTTTTAGAACTCGTCCAAAATGGACATGTAAAGAGCATAGTCTATACAGCCTAGTCATAAAAGAAATTTAACTCACACAAAAGTACTTTTTTTTCTTATTTGGACAAAAGTACTTAAAGTTTTCTCAAACCGGAAAAAAGTACTTACTTTTTTATTTATATTTTACGCTATTTTTTTTAAATACATATTTATAAAGAGCAAAAAATGAGGTATCTACGGATATAGACTTAAAAATACCCACCAGTGTAACGACAGATCTAATTTACACACATTTGAAAATAATTTTCACTGCAAATTAGATATTTGTTTTCTTCAAGCAATTTATATAACAAAAGTAATATAGTTAGCATTTATGATATATTTTATGATAAATATGTATGTATCGTGCGTAAATAACTGTGAATAGGTATATACCTAACTGCATATAATGTATAATATATACAGAAGAAAATTATATTATTAACTCCCTTTCTTCTCCATTCTTTTTATTTTTTGAGGAAGAAATAACCAAGCCTACTTAATTTTCTACTCGCCTTATGGTTAACTAGTAGAGAACGCCGTTAGGTGTTAAGTCCGCCATATGTACACTCACTTATATAATTATGCATTGAAGTTTAAATATGTATGTTAATATGTACATTATAATTTCTGTATGTTTGCAAAGAATAGCAATAAATTTATTATTTATTTAAATAAATTGAATAAATAAATTTTCTCTCAAAGTAACGTACGGTAAAAAACGACGAAAAATCTTGCAGTACATTTTTTTTTTATTTAGTTTATCCTTATAAGGAAGGCAAAGTGCTTTGCCTATACAGCTCATGTCTATAGTGATTTTTTCAAAGTATTATTTTTTTTTCGGAATGCGGTGGAAAAAATACCTATATATGTTAGGTGTATAGAGATGAAAAACATATCTACAGAATGAATATAAAGAGAAAGATATTTACGACGATTACGATTTATTGATGAGAAAAGATAGTGTTTTCTATCAAAAAAGTAAGTTTTTCTACTCTGGGGTGAAGACAGACTGTGCAAATACAAAGGACACCGCGATATGACTTACCTATCTTTAGCGGCGCACTTATAAAATGGCTGCCATTCAGACGTATTTTTGAAGAAAAGTTTTCCTATACATTTTTTATTATTTAAAATTTCTATAAACTGTATGGTCATGTAAAAGTAAATAAAAAAAAAAACTTTTCATGCTTTACGAAGAGTTTTTTAATTTAATTTTAATTTAATCAACTTTATTGACTAAAAGGAAATGTGGTACAAAAGGCGTACTTAACGCTAGTAGCATTCTCTACCAGTCAACCTTTGGGGTGAACAGTGGATCACGGACGCGATACTTTATTATTGGTTTCCATTACTTTTACAAGAAGCTACTGTCACTGGATTTCGGATTGATTTCCTTTTCCACTATACCTTGTATATACCGCGCATAAGTGGTGGGGAATGGAGGAAAGAGGGAAAACTACATATAACCCTCCCCCTTCCCTCCACTCAACGCGTATCTACAGTAGACACTGGCTTAGTTGTGCGGCATTTTCTAATACTGACTGGAAACCGCGGTCTACTTTGTAATCTCAGTGGAAATATTTTTTTCACACCTTGTATTTTCTATACAGGGTGTCAATTTTTAAATCGATTATAGTAAAGCTATGATTTAAAAATTGCTACACTTATACACGTAGAATGCAAAAAATATCATGAATTAATTATGTAGGTAACTATTTTTATTAAAATTATTCTAAAAATATACAATATTTGTTTATTATTATTATTATTTTATCCTCTAAAGTAAATACTTAAAGTAGTAATGAGTTCCCAGGTAGCAAGGTGACGTCTGCGACTCGAATAAGACGTCAGTTTTCAATTTAGCGTCGGTGACTGAAAAGTGACGTCAATATGACCAATAATTGCTGCCTGGGTTATAGGGCCTTGTTCGCATTACGAATCTTTACCCCTTTATTTTTTGTCACATATATTTAGTTTTTATAGTTACAGAAATATGTGGAAAAAAATTGCGCGGCGAAAATTCGCATTGTGGTAAAGCATTTTAATATTATTACATGATTGATATATTTTTTTATGAGTCTTATGGCATAAAAGGTCAATGAATTAGGTATCTTGTATTTTTTCTAATGTCCTAAAATTTTTCCACATTCGTATTTTATTTTTAACGGAAAAAAATTATGGGAAAATAATTTATGTGTAAGAATTCGGAAAAATGTTCGCGCGACGTAAGTCCGTAGTAGGTACGTTTATGACCTTAATATGACCATATTAAGTTTTTTAATGATCCTTTCCTAACTTGATAGGTCTACGCGTACCCCGATTTAGTAGATCCTTACTATGATATTTCATATTCGTCACGTGAAATTTTTCCGTTCTTCTGTATAATTTTTAGACAATATTTTCTCAATTAATTATTTTTCAGTGAATATTTGTATATATTTTCCGTATTGTTCTAAAGCACAGACAAATATATTGCTGATGTAAATTAATTTTATATTTTGTTTTTAAAATATTATAGCATTCAGTTAAATTCACATTCTGCAATTTTATTATTTTTTTTTATTACAGAGGATGGGTGGTACACCAAAATGGTTATTGAATAACAGAAGAACAATCTAACATATAATGACAATGGGGCTTATTGCACTATGATATATCTGATTATATGTATGAGCCAAATACACTCTTAAGAGGAAAATGGCGGTTTCTACAACTCAGACGTCATCCTTTCGTCATATTAAGGTCGTAAAATGACCAAAAAGTGACGTCTGTTTAAAGTCGTACATGTTATCACGTTGCCTGAGATAATATTATATGATATTAACACTTAATAAATACAATTTCTAGCAGAATGTTACAGATTTTCTATACACCTAGTTAGAATATGGGACGCATTGATTAGATGATGTAATGATAATGAAATATGATTAGAATATACAGAACAAAAAACTAAAAAATATAAAAAAAATTTATAAAGTTAACATATAACAGAAATTAATAGCATAATACTTTCTAAAATGCCAAACGCACCTGCAATTTCTTCAATGTAGTGGGATGGTGTCTATAGGTGGCGATAATCACTCACTATCAGGTGAGTGACATGCTTGTTTGGCTCTTATGTTATATATATATATATATAAAAAAAACTATAAATTTGTTAATTGTTTTTTACAAATATATAGTCTTTTATTATGTGTTTTAAAACATGATATAATTAGAATGTGACCAATACAGAAGTAAACCAAATCATTTGTAAAAACAATCATCAAAATTGATTAAGAATCAATGAAGACATAGTCGAGACAAAATAATACAATACTTAAATGATTAATTTGATATACATAATATCGATCTTCATCTACTTATGCTAAAAATAATTCTAGTTTTTCGTTCTGTGCGTAGATAGGAAGTAATAATTTGTTTTGTGGCAGCCCTAGTGCCCCAGTATCGCGAAGTACCTCTTGAGATCAGCATCGGCCCGCGGCACCCAGGCTGCGTTCAGCGCTACCATGTCCAACGCCGCAGCGCCCCCTCGCGTCGAACCGTACAGGGCTTTCAACTGCGAGGTGTTAAGACATACATTCGTTTTTTTGCGAAACACAATGTATTTGTTATAAATAATCTTAATTTTAGGCATAGCAAACATACTGATGTGTCGTCTAGTTTCCGGCATAGAATAGGCTACCCCTTCCTTTTCCATGGTGTCGTAACAGGCGACTATTTGAGAGATAGGCAGCAGCATCCCTCTTAAAATATCATTAAAAGCTAAACTGCGGTTGCCAACTTGCCTGTCAAGCCTGATAACTGCTGGCAAATCCCCCTTTATGGGGGCTATATTCAGCACTGGACAGTTAATGGGTGATACAACAAATAATCTGATGGACGATGTTTAGTCATGAACAGCATCGTGGAAATCAAATAATATACTGTGATTTGTACTTCTCCTGCGGTGCCAGTCCTGAGGACTATGGTTTTATGTGTAAACTTATTGCCATATCCTACTTTTTAAATTGAAACACAACCATACATAAAGTTAGATATTCCAACAAGTTATCTCTATGTTCCATTTGTCTGCTAGATAGACAGTCATATTTGTCTATTTACTGTATAGATAATCTGGTAGTATTATTTTATTATAAATATAATAATCTAATAAAAATAGGAAAAAAATGGAATAGGGTACTATTCCATTTTTTTCCTATTTTTATTGGTTCGCAGTGGTATAATGTGTTGACATGTGCGGCGATGATCGTTAATTGCATATCGATGTGTTTGCGCTGATGTCGCGGGAGGGAGAGCTTCCGCTATTAGATACGTGAGCTTCTCCTCCCGTGGACGCTTGCTAATGAACATGACATGGTTCCCACATAGACTCCTGTGGCAGTGGAAATGGCAGACGCGATTTCATACGGCTATCCATACGCCACATCCGCAGGATCACTCAAATGTCAATGGGGGAACAAGGTGAAGTGATGATGATGAATGTGGTAATGATGAATGGACAAATATATACACGGACAATGGAATGGAGGTGAGGTGAGTGTGATAAATGTACTGCCATTTTGCCACAACAGAATATCACTGCTTTGCCCTTTTGAGGGCGAAGCAATAAACTGAGTTGTGACCATTTTGTATTGTTATGGTACATGCACAAAAGATATATTGTATTTGGCTTTATGTTTTTTTTTTAATCATTTATGTTATCTCGCTTTTTATGTATATCTAAATACTCGTACGTTATAATTTGCGTGCTGTAAGTAATGCAAATAAATTATCTATCTATCTATCCATACAAGAACAGTTCACAGCTGCTGTACAACAAAAACACAAGTGGGATAAAAGTATCCAAGCAAACGATTTTTGTACATAATCTCCTATTATCTAGCTTTCCGGTTAGTGTAATAAAACGTAAGTATACTAACGTGATGGTAGTCGCGAGGCTGATGAAGACATCTAGCTGCGGCGAGGAGTGCTGACGGCGGAAGTACTTCTACTGCCGCAGGGCCTACTATGCGCCACACGCCACTGCTGCCGCGCCATCTGGCGGCCACATCAGTCTATTTTGAGTAATGGTAACTAACAACGTACCTTTGTTGGGCATAGGTATTTTCGTAGGTGGAGAATATTAGCATACTTTACGTTGGAATGGAGAAAAGTTCTCACCCCTGAGAAGGACCCCTTTTGATATCTGTCACCATTAGGGTGGTGGTAGATTGGCCTTTCCCATGAACGCATGACCCCAGTTTAGTGCTACATAAATTATAAATAGTGTTATTCCAGGCAGCATGGTGACGTCGGGGAGGGATTTAATTATAACGTCATTATTAAGTCATTTTAAGGTCGTAAAGTTAAAATAACCAAATCATTTTAGAATGGTAGATGTTACCATGTGTTATTTGAGCTTGTAATTGCCAGCCTAATAGATTATTGATAGAAATTTTGTTATTAAACAATTTATAATGGTTGTATACCATTATAAACTGTTTGTTTGTTGTATTAAAGTTAACGGCCCACCTGGTGCACATGGAGATCATGGAATATACTATGATGGCTATATTACCCCTTTTGTGTTGCAATTCATGGATTTATGTCTCCGTACCATAGTGTACTGACACCCCCATGCGTCGCCTTTCCTGAGGATTCACGTGTTATTCCTCTGTACCCTGTAAATTCACTGCCATATCCCACCCTTCAAACCGAAACACAACCATGCAAACACAACTGCTTCACGGTAGAAACACGAATGGGACAGAGGACACAAACGATTTTTGTAAAAGTCTCCCTTTGGTATAAAACGGTATTGAATATATTTAAATAAAAGGGTATTGGGCTATAATAAATAATAAACTATAATAAAAGGGTATAAGGACCCTGTCCCACGTACCTGCAAGCAGCGGCGAGTAGCGCCGTGGCCCACACGCGCCACTCTCGGCCGCGCCTCGCCTCACGGGACAGCGCCGTCCACGCGAACCTGTAATACCAAATTGTATATTAAAATATATTGCTTGAAAAATTGTATGAATGTATGAAATGAAATTAATTTATTTTGCTAGAATGTAGGTAATTTTAGATGATAGATGTCATTGTCATGCATAATGTGAAGTAATATAAAGTAGTGTTGGATGTTTGTATTGTATGCGTGTTAAGTTGAGTTGCGATGCATAATGTGCAGTAATATAAGGCGGCGTGGCACCTGGTGAAGAGCCAGTCGTCGGCGGGCGCGGCGAGCGCGGCGAGCAGCGCGGCGTGCGAGTGCAGCGGGCGCGGCGCCGCGCTCGACGCCGCCAGCGCGCGCCAGCACGCCGCCCACGCGCCCGCGCCGCCGCCGCGTACGCCCGCCGTGAACGCCGCCTGCCGCCAGGGAGACACGTGCCTTACATCACTCACCGGTTACTCTACGCAGCTTCACCCCACTTTTTTATGCAACTTAGAATGCACTCATCGATCAGGATGCCTTTGGACTGTAGCCAGTCTTTCAGGCGTGCGAGTATTAGCCTCTCATACAGCTTCCCCAGCGAACTGAGGAGGCTGATAGGGCGAAAGCTGGTGGGTAGGGACTTATCTTTCCCGGATTTGGGAAAGCCTACGACATCGGCTTCTTTCCAAGCATCTGGAAAGATGGCATTGGAAATTGCCGCATTGAAGATCACTACCAGAAATAGCAGATTGGTTTCTGGCAGACTCTTAAGGAGTCTGTTAGTGATACCGTCGGCACCGGGTGCCTTACGGATGGGAATTCCTTTGATGAGTGTTCGCAGCTCACCCAGTATAACGGTGGGGAGTGACTCTACGGGAGGATCCGCTCCACCTCGGATTCTACCTTCTCTAGATGACCGTCCGGCATCGAAAGGGTACTCGGCGTGCATTGGGCCTCTAGGCTGTCTGCTAGGCATTCAGCTTTGTCTTCATCGAATAAGGCCGGACTGTTGTTTGCTCGGATTAAGGACAGTAGGTCCGAGTGACACTGGTCTGTCTTAAGAGTTTTGGCTACTCGCCAGTACGCGGTGTGACAGGGGGTGAGTTCTTTGGTGAACTTATCCCATCTGTCTCGCCAAAGCTCTGCCATGCGACTCTTTACTTCGCGCTGTAAAGCTCGCAAGCAGGTTCGGTTTCCTTCTGAAGGATAGCGGTCATACGTTCGTGTGGCTGCATTCTTAGTGCGCAGTAGAGCCCTTACGTCATCAGGTAGGTTCCATCTACGGTCGCCCGTATCCGGGATCTCCCTGGAGCAGTCCTTGACTGCCGACGTAGGTGCTCTGTTAGCGCATCTATGGCTGTGATCGTGTTCTCGACAGATTCGATGACGTCCGGGATGCGGTCCAATAGCGGAGAGTTGGTCGACTCGAGAACTTTTTCATGCCGGCTCCAGTCCGTGACCGTTTTGAGTTTAGGCGCCCCGTCAGCAGGTGGGCCTAGTGAGAATGTGACGGGGCGGTGGTCAGAGATGAGATCGGCATGGACCTCCATAGAACTCAGCCTTAAGACTACGTTCTTTAGTAGGGCCAGGTCGAGGATGGAGGGCTGATTGCCGGATAGTGCGTGAAGTGCACTGGGGGAAGGATGTCGAAAGCCATGGAGAGCGAAAGGCGCTCCAGGGTGAGACCGTTTGGGTTTGGATAGGCACAGCTCCAAAGGCTGTGTTTGCAATTTAAATCTCTGGCAAAAATTACCGAATCCCCCAGGGCCATGAAGGCTTGGAGGTCGGCCCGGAGTAGGTTTTTGGTGGAGGAAAGATAGACTGATGCTATATAAATCGGTCGATGGTCCGTCATCGTAAGAAGGCATATCGAGGCTTCCATGTTTACGAGCGGAGGCATGTCGATCGGAATGCACTGAAGAAACCTTCGGTAATAAATTAACGTACCGCCGCCACGACTGATGCGGTCATTGCGTACGATGTTGTAGGTTGCGATTCTTGGGTCGCGTGAAGGGTTAAGGTTTAAAGAAAGTCTCCTGTACTAGGAGAACGTCCACCTGGTGGATGGTGAGGAACTCACGAACCTCGTCTCTTTGCCCTTGTGGTCCGTTAGCGTTGAAAAACGCCAACTTAACGGACCGAGGTTTGCATCTTTTCACCCTTAGATCTATAATTAGTTTTTAAAGTTGAGGATGGCGACTAGTACGCCGATGTGCTCGCAGACGGCTGCGAGTCGTTCTTGTGGGTCGTTGACTGACCTTAGTTTAGAGGCCAGGGCCGTAATCTTACTAGCATCGATGGAGCTGGCGAGTTTCGCTACCAGAGCGAAGTCGGCTGCGAAGCTTGAGCCGACGTTCGCTCCAGTTTGTGGGGCGGGACGCGGAGGAGGGGTTGATGCCACTATTTTGGCCAGTGTGGGAGCAGTTGCAGATGGCATGGTAGGTGGGGGGGTCGCCTTGACGACCGGTGGTAGCATCCAAGCATTTTTTAGCGGAGGAGGCGGTGCAGCTGAAGGCTACGGGATAGCAGGGGGCGCGGGGCGCGCTGCGCGGGAGGCCTGTGTTTTTGTGGTCTTTGTGGTGGCCTTGTTTTGGCCGGGACGGGGAGCGCGGGGACATCCGCGGTAGTTGGCTGTGTGACCCTGTATGCCACAGAGTACACAGCTAGGTGGGGTCGGGGTGCCATTCACGCGGGTGCATTGCTTAGTGTCATGGTCTCCCAGGGACTTGACGCAACGTTCACGTGCGTAGCAGTTTCGGGCGGAATACCCATAATTTTGGCAGCGGTGGCACTGCTCGGGATAAGTCCGCTTATTTGGTGGCTCTACTGAAAGGCCTGAAATCAGGTCGACATTCCGAATATTGAAAATGGCTTTCCCCTCTGGGGAAAGATCTAAAATGACCAGTACCATGTCCAATGGCATTTTGGCCCTGCTGCGGTACATCCTGTGTACCTCATAGACGGGATAGCTTTGAGAACGGATATCTGCGAGGATGTCCTGGCAATCCAGCTCTTTTGGGACACCGCGTATTACGACACGCAGACGTTTCTCCTCCTCGAGGACATAGGTGTGGCAGCTCACACTGTTTGCCCTGAGGAAGGAAGTTAGTTGGCGATGATCCGTCGATGTGGGAACCACCACTCTAATTCCAACGGATGTTACCCTTGCATGGGTAAAGGATATGCGCTTTTCCTTCAGCGCAGCTGATACCCTGTTCCAGGCAGTCTTGTCCTGGATAACAATAGGAGGAGAGGGCCTAACTTTCCCCACGTGATCGCGGGCTGGTTTGTCGGCGTTAGCCGGAACGGATGCGCCGTCGTTGGCTCGTTGGGTTTTGGGCGGGTGAAGATTGATTCCGGGGTACCCACAGAGAGGTCCCCGGGGGACGGAGGGTTGAAGGACAACTCGTCGACGCCCTCCTGAAGGCAGGCCGCCGGCGAGGCAGGGGCGTCGTCATGTATCACATGTGCGCCCCTGTGCTCAACAAAGAATGCCTTTATGAGGCCAGGACATTTGGCCATTAAAAAGGCCACGAACTGCGAGATGTTTTCTTGGAACAACGACATGTTGTCCCAGGAAACACTCCGCTTGAGGTCTATCAATACACCCGACTATTCAGTCGGGTGCCAATGTCTTATTTTAAAAGTGTCCTAGTAGTAGTATTGGTAAGAACAAAAAAAAAAATTATAGTAAAAACAATGCTATACAAATAAAATGGAACTTAAAATAATATTGAATAACAGACATTTAATATATTCGCAAATAGATATCCGATCGATACGGGCGATATCGAAATGGGTGATAACTTCTTTTCCACCATCAGTATCCAGAGGAATCCAAAACATAGATATTGGATTGGTATTCGTGCTTAATTATTTAGTAAAAAAGAAATCTCAAATAAATCTTTAAATAAATAATATTTTTTAATAAATCTTATTATTTAAGTTGACCTCTTTATCAAAGGCTTATATAATAATCATTTAACCAATATCTCACCTCTTGATATATTTCCGGTATCGTCTGATTCAAATTGAGCCAAGCGTCGAATAACTTTAGGGCCTGTTTGGTCACTTTGGGATTCTCCCACTCTACGCCAGCGGTCAAGAGGGCGCCACTGAGCCATCTGGAAAGTATATTAAAATTATTACTTATATTTATTTGCCCCTTGTCGCCCCTCCCCCTCCCGTAACTCGTCAATGGCATTTTTGGCATTTTATTTTATCACGGGACCCACAAATGACTGGTTATGCAGTCATCCAATGTAATATATATATATATATATATATATATATATATATATATATATATATATATATATATATAATATGAACATAGGCCTTCTCCTCTTGGTGGAAGGGGAATGCCAATACTTGCCACGATTGGCAGGGGGAGTGCCAACTGCAGTTAGGATTTGGCGATGTTTTAAGAGGGATACTGTTGCCCATACCTCAAATACTAAGTTCCCTTAGTTGTCTCTTACGACACCCACGAGAATGAAGTGGGTGGCGTATTCTACGTAACGACCACACGGTGATATAAATATACAAAATCATTTTTTTATTTTATCCTCAGGATGTTAAAATAAATAATACAAAAATTATTTTAAATTCAATTGAATTTACTTACAATTCGTCCTCGCTAAGTTTTGCACTCTCTATCTCTTTAACGGTGTATATCTTCACATTCGGTGGATGTATGCTGCTCAGTAACTTGTTGAGGTGAGGTCCAGATGATCCGAACCTGAGAAGTTCTCTCCACCAGGAGAGGTGGTTGAGAACAACCCGCCAGGGAGCCCAGTGCGTTTCTGCACTGAGTCGCGCTGCAATAAGAAGGTTTTTTGTATCAAAATCTATAGCTCTCTCTTATCATTAAGAGATAACAAAATACCGAATTCAACAGTAGAATTTTAAAAATGACGATTTAAAAAAGCTTTTACCAAAATCTATTTGGATTTCTATTAATCTATGATTTGAAGAAATATTATTTCTATTCTATTTTGTATGCACTTATAAATTACAAAGATAAGACATTTATCAATATTTTGAGTAAGAATGGGTAATCACGTAACTCTTCCAGGCAACCAAATACAGTAATAAAGGACGTAATTTATGCAAATTACAATGACAAACAGACTAACAGCCCACCTGATCGAAACCTATGGAGATTGGTATAGCAGAGTACCAGTGAGAGATTACAGATGAAGATGCCATCAGCTATGCTATTCTCTAAGCAAACAGCCTGGACATTAGCCTTGACGCAGCGATGAAATATTGAAATGGTATTCACTCATTCCTAACACGCGACACTAGCGCTCGACGACGAGCTCAAAGAGTTCACTAATTCTTAACACATGACACTAGCGCTCGACGACGAGCTCAAAGAGTTCACTAATTCTTAACACACGACACTAGCGCTCGACGACGAGCTCAAAGAGTTCACTAATTCTTAACACACGACACTAGCGCTCGACGACGAGCTCAAAGACGAGCGGCGTAAATGGGAACTACTCAAGGCTGTGCGATATATTTTGTCATAGTATTTGGTATTCACTAACAAATATCAGCCTCGCCTTCGCGGACAGTCTAGCCTACAGCCTTTGGCTCATTGTTACCAATTTACCAGCGATTAACCACGATGGTTTCTAGGGAAGACTGCATACAGGTGAATCCCACAGGGTATATTGCTAGCAATGGAGCTGTAAGTTCTCTTTACTAGTAATTACCTCCCCTTATTAACCCACATCAACTCAGTTTTTTTTAAGAACCAACTAACTTGATTTCGTCCTCACCTATCATTACATACCGGTACTTTGCCAGAGTATATGAACAGCGTAGACGGGGTCACCATTCCGATATAGTAAGTGGAGTTGATCTTTTGAGATAAATATAAAAAAAAATATTAGCCAATGACGATGATAATGATGATGGTGAACTTACTGGCGGCTGCTATAGCCCTACTTGCCGGCAGTCTACCAGCTCGGCTCAGGACGAAAGCGTCGTCTAGAAGCAGCGCTCGTTCCGCTGGTGCACCACTGTCGTATAGTTCTGCAGCGCGCTTCGCTGCTTCTTCTTCTGTCTGTTTGATAGAGGATAGAAAAGAATAGCACATACATACAAAGTCAGATAAAAATGTATAAATAACAAAAATTTTTCTCAATGCAGCAAGCATGGTGGCGTATGTGACTTAAAAAAGACGTCATTGTTTGGTCATTTTCGCATCACGACCTTAAAATGACTTCTAGAATAACGTCGCTTTCTATGTGGAAATGAACATCGACCATTTGATTCTCAAATTAGAGCAAAAAGAAGGTGATTAATTACTGAAGGCATAATTTAGCATACTGAAGCCTAATTTTAAGTATATATTATAAATTAACTATGGCACAGAATTTACAGGGCACCTGCAGAGGAATGACACCTGAGTAAGGAATGGCAACGCATGGGAGGTATCATGGGCGAAACAGCATACTCTGTTATGTCCATGGTACTGCTTATGGCTATAGGTGACGGTTACCACCTTCTATCAGGTAGACCGCCAGCTTGTTTGCCATTCTAAGTTGCAAAAAAACAGGCAAGAACAACTGATTGGTGGCACAAACATGATTTGGTCAGAAATACCCATGCAGACAACTTTAATACGAGGTCTCCCTCTGGTAATGCATCTCACCTCTCCCCCCTCGCCGTCGGCGGAGTGCGGCGCGACCCGGTACAGGCCGCGCGCGCCCACGTTGTAGCGGACCCACTTGTGCCGGCCCAGGTCCGGGATCACCACTGTGGGGACATCCTTGCACTTTTGTATACCACCATAAGCACCATAATCATTCTTTATTGTACAGAAAAGGTTATTGAAATGTAAAAACAAACATAATAGTGCACAAGGGCGAGCTTATCGCCAAAAGAGATTTTAACAACTCTCAACACTGATGGGTAGAAGTACGATTTCCCAAAAAATAAAAATATTTATTACTATTTTATGATTATTTCAGCCGTTAACTGTCCATTGCTGGAAATAAGCCTCCTCCTTAAGGGAAGTTTTGCCAGTAGTTGCCACGCTTGGTAGGGGGGTTGGCAACCGCAGTTAGGCTTTTAGAAATGTTTTAAGAGGGGCGTTGCCTATTTTAGGGTATAGGTACGTGTGTCTATTTTGATTTCTCATTCTACATATATTTAGTATATAGACAAAACGTGTCACCACTCCATTTTATCTCCTTGTTACACTATTGACATGAATAACTTACATAATACACTGTGACGCCAATGGTTCTACCGTTTAAACCGAAACTTAGCATACAGGAACAGCTATTTTTTTGACAAAAACTCGTGTGAGATAGAGACGCTTAAGCAAGAAAAACTAATTTGACAAGAGCGACGCTAAGTCGGAATAACATATATTGAAATTAATTGACTCAGCAAATGTCGTTTTACATCATAACCGTGGGTTAGTAGATAAGTTTCTCTTATGGGGATAAAAACTATACTCTCTCTAAAGTTCTAATTCTGATTCGAACTTCGTTTAAATCCTGCAAGATTGGCTGGTAGACATTTTTATTTGGGAAAAGACTGCATTTACGTATTTCTTTTACGTATGAAATTTTTCTTCGTGTAATGTACAATAAACAGTTTTAAATAAACAAACAAAGGAATAATAATATGCATATATATACACTCCCAAAACTTCATTAAAATCAGTTGAGTACAATCGGTTTCGAAGGTTAGCATGAATAAACACTATGCCGTGGGATTTATATATTAAGATATCTAGATTTTTTTTAAACAACTAAGAATGGCAAACAAGCTGACGGCCCACCTGATGGAAAGTGGTAACCGTCGCCTATAGACATGAGCAGTACCATGGACATAACAGAGTATACTCTTTCGCCCATGATACCCCCCATACATTACCATTCCTGAGGACTCAGGTGTTATTCTTCTGTACCCAGTAAATTCACGCCATATCCCAAACCCACGCCACCCTTCAAACCGAAACATAGCCATGCAAACACAACTGCTTCACGGCTGAAACACGAATGGGACAGAGGTACCCAAGCAATCGACTTTTGTACAAAGTCTCCCTCTGGTAAGATACAGAATGGAAAGTCGGTTAACTTACTTTCAGTTTCGTTCATCCAAATAAGATGAGTGACATTTTCAGCCCATCGCGAAGTCCTCACCGGTTTGGTCTCATTACCTAAATCGTACCTGAAAGATAAAGTATACCTGAGTGTAAACTTAAAATACTTTGGACTCGACTAAGCTATCCACAAGATGGGAAGTCCAGGGTTTTGCAGACTTCAACTCTTTTATCACCATCGTGTCAGCCTTTAACTGTCCACTGTTGAACATAAGCCTCCCCTCAGGGGGTTTTGCCAGTAGTTGCCACACTTGGCAGACAGATTGCCAACCGCAGTTAGGCTTTGGAGAGGGACTTTTAAGAGGGACTTTTTTTTTATTGGATGAAAAGGGAGTGGTAACCCCGCCTGCGCTAATGGGATACGCTGGCGGGGCACCAGTGAAGGGTGATCGATGAGGATGAAAACAGGCCAGTTAGCCCATCATGATGAATTCATCAGGAATTAACCATGATAGTTTCCAGGGGGAACCGCGAGGAGGTCGACCTGGTTGGGTATATTGCTAGCAATGGGATTCTTAGTCTCCATTACTAACAATCCCTTTTCCCCCTTTAAGAGGGACTTTTTCAACTCTTTGAACATCATGAACTACATTAATCGCCTATACACATGAACAGTATCATAGATACTATTAAACCATTGTGATCATGTTGTCTCGATTTTTTTCGATTATGACCATTAAATGACTGTGGAATGACGTCAGTTTTAGGTCTATTATATATACATGAACAGTATCATAGATACTATTAAACCATTGTGATCATGTTGTCTCGATTTTTTTCGATTATGACCATTAAATGACTGTGGAATGACGTCAGTTTTAGGTCATTTTAAAGTCATAACTGTTACTAGAAATGGTATTGATTCACTAACTTACCACAGTTCGGTCTTGATACGATCTCCTTTAGAAAGTATCTTGGTTAATTTATAGTGAATTCGTTATGACGCTTTGACTTTATTTTCACCTTTACCGCTCCAGTGTATACTAATAGCGCAAGCGGGTTTACCATATAATTTTTTGTAATGAATGATAATGGAATGGTAACCCCGCCTACGTTATCGGTATACACTGGCAGGACACCAGTTAGGGGTGACAGATGAGGATGAAGGCAGGTCAATTAGCCCATCCTGATGATTTCAACTAGAATTAACCACGATAGTTTCCATGGGGAATTACGTGGAGGTCGACCTGACAGAGTATATTGCGAGTAATGGGACTATTTGACCCCATTATTAACAATTTCTTTCCACCCTTACCATACCATTGTCCTTACTTATAAATGTGAAAATGAGTTTGTTTGTTACGTTTTAATGGCTGAACCAAACACTATGCGGTTGAAAGGAATTGTTAATAATTAAATCTAACAAGCAGCTAGAAATATACCCTAACAGGTCGAACTACACGCGGTTTCCCCTGGAAACCCTCGTAATTAATTTTTGATAGCGTTGATTAATTCCGATAGGCCAACTGACTTTTTTTTATAACACATGGGGCAAACAAGCATATAGCTCACGATAAGTGACTACCACCGCCCAGGATTACCTACAACACCAGAAGCATAACAGGTGTGCTGCCGGCCTTTTAAAAAGGAATACGCACTTTTCTTGAAGGTTATGACGACCTGCTTTATCTTCACCTGCCATCCCTCACTGGTGCCCCGCCAGCGCATACCTATAGCGCAGGCGGGGTTATCATTCCATTATCGTCCATAAAAAAATCAATCAGTACGAAATTTGGTATGCATATGCATACTACATGAGATAGAGATAAACTTAGGCTATTTTTTATCCTGGTCAGTGTTACCGTCCGCATAACCGGATATGTTATCCCGGTTATGCGGACAAAGTCGCGGGTAAAAGCTAAACTTATAAAAATCTTACCACGTGGTATTCTGAACCGCTTCGGTAACGTTCTTCCATACTTTGGTGATGTTGTCAGATTCCTCGACTGGGAGGAGGGGGCCCACTACGAAAGTGAGGGGGATGGTCCACCGGGGCGGGGGGGCGGTGGTGCCGCTAGGTTTGACTGTGGTTGGTCGCTTGGTGGTCGGTGCTGGTGTTGTGGTTGTACTGTTCTCGTCCTCTGTTGATTCTGTTATATTTTCTGGTAAGAGAATAATAATAAATCATTATAAATGTGGTAAAATATAATGGTAAATAGTTTTGACTTATAAATTAAACAACTGAACCGATTATGATAAAATTTCTACGAGACAAAACTGTACGTATATCCTTTATAATAAAAGAAGAATTTTTCAAACAGGTATAGAATTAACGGAGTTATGAGGTAACAAACATACAATCGAATCAAAAAATATACAACCGAATTGAGAACCTCCTTAAGTCGGTTGAAAATTGGTTTGTTTCAAACAAGTTTTTCATAAACTAAAACTCACCCGGCTCGTAGAACAGTTGGTCCAGGTCAGCTCTGAGGTCCTGGGTGAGGAGATCGGTCACCATCGGCGGCTCCAGCTCCGGAGGATCAGCTGACATCACAAACCTGGAATTGAAAGGTGAAAAATAGCATTCTCATACAGATTTTTTTTATTAACTTTCATCTCGGCTACAAGCCTGAATTGTATCTTTCAAAAATGTATTAAGTTATAAAAAATAAAACAATTATAAAAAATATGATTTGATGGATTTATTTATTAGCCGGTAAGCCTTTTAACGTAAAAGACTACAACAAAGGTAATAAGAAAACTTGACACCAGAGGGCGTCGCCCTCGTACAAATAATAGAGAGAAAAATAATAGGCTTTATTTATACAACACATATGGTTGGATAAAAATAACAATGACTACTTGCTCGTCTCTTAATTTCATCGTCATTTTTCAGTCATTTTAAGGTCGTAATAGAGTCCGAGCGGTCACCTTGTTACTTAGATTACAGACCAGATATCAAAGCGATATTGATGTTCTTCCTACCTCATTGCATCCCATTTTGAGGTTTTCATCCTATTACCAAAGGGAAACTTTGTACAAAAGTCACTTTCTTTGGCACCTCTGTCCCATTCGTGTTTCTACCGTGAAGCAGTTGTGTTTGCATGGCTGTGTTTCGGTTTGAAGGGTGGGATATGAAGTGAATTTACAGGGTACAGAGGAATAACACCCGAGTCCTCAGGAATGGCAACGCATGGGGGGTATCATGGGCGAAACAGTATACTCTGGTATGTCCATGGTACTGCTCATGTGTATAGGCGACGGTTACCACTTTCCATCAGGTGGGCCTGCAGCTTATTTGCCATTCTAAGTTGCATAAAAAAATTGGTTTTCTAGTATGACAGAGTGGAGGTGGAGTAGTGTATGCACGTGTGTACGCACCTCGCCTGTCGCAGGCGCACGTCGTGTCCGGCGGCGGCCGCCTGCACCAGCGGGTAGCCGGCGCGCTCGCACCAGCCGTCCCACGCCGCGCCAGCACCGCTACCACTGCCACCAGCACCACTACCACCACCAGCACCGTCCGAGCCGTCGTCCCGCTCCAGGGCTCGCCATAAGTCCCTGCAGTAATCAAATATTTATTTCTATTTATTATACTAAATAATTATATATTACTACTAGCTGACCCCGTAAACGTTGTTTTACCACTTATTGCGAAATATAAAAATCGCGATTAAAATACAGGGGTTGATCGTAAAACGATGAAAATTTAAAGTTGTATGTATTTTTCAATGCTAAATCATAATAAAATAAAAATTAAAAAATTTGTCAAAAAAAAAAAAATATTTTGGGGAGGGTCACCCTTATCATTGACGGGTATGAAAAATAGATGTTGGCCGATTCTCAGACCTACCCGATATGCACACAATATTTCATAAAAATCGGTAAAGCCGTTTCGGAGGAGTTTGGTAACAAACACCGTGACACGAGAATTTTATATATTAGAGCCTACAGCATGGGGTTCTTCGAAAGGGAGGGTACAGAGGTTTCTTCAGGGTCGGCAACGCGCGCGGAATACCACTGGTATTGCAGGTGTTCATAGGCTACGGTAACTGCTCACCATCAGGTGGGCCGTATGCTTGTTTGCCGCCTCAGTGGTATAAAAAAAATACAAAATTTCATTAAAATCAGTTAAGCAGTTTCAGAAATTAACAAAAACATCGTAATATAGGATTTGTATCATAGGGGGTAAACGAGCATGCGGCTCTCCTGACGGTAAGTGACTACCGCCGCCCATGATCACCCACATCATTAACGGCATTGCAGGTGTGCTGCCGGCCTTTTAAAATGGAATATGCTCTTTCCTTGAAGGTTACGATATCGTATCGGTTCGGAAATACTACTGCTGGAAGTTGATTCCAAAAAGTGGTTGTGTGTGGAAGAAAGTGCCTTGAAAAACGCACGGTGGAGGACCGCCACTCGTCCAGATGGTTGGGATGGAACTTTATATATAATAAGATGTAACCTTGCGTCTGCGCTGGCGGCGCGGTGGTGTCTCAATAAACGAGCAAGTGCAGCCCGGCCGGCCTCCTCGCCTGCAGCCTCCACCGCCATACTCACTATGGCTGCCCCCTGACAAATATACACATGCATTAGTAATAAAATTTACCGACTAGTGGAGTAGGGAAGGTAATGCAGATTGTGTGTGTATCAGCCATTAACCGTACACTGCTGGACATGGCTTTCCCCATAAGGTATCCCCCTTATTACCCCTTGCCAGTAGTTGTCACACTTGGCAGGCGGGTTGGCAACCGCAGTTTGGCTTTTGATGATGTTTGTGAAGGGACGCTGCTGCTCATTTCTTGGCCTTCCTTAGTCGGCTCTTAAGACACCCACGGGAAAGGAACGGGTGGCCTATTCTGAGCCAGGACCTTACGACAAATGCAGATTTGCAGCTTCAATATATCTCATCAGATCCATTTGCATGAGGTATTGGAAACTACTGTAATGAATTCCTAGTGAATTCGTTGTAATGGCCAACTGATCTCTGTTCTCACCTATTATCTCTCACTGGTGCCCCGCCAGCGTATACCAATAGCGCAAGACGGGGTCACCATTTAATTTTAATTAATTTATAGAAATTAAAAAATGAATGACGTACCCATAGAAAATCTGACGCTACAAGGAGAAGGATTGTAGTGGGTTCCATATGGTAGGTGAATTGGAGAGGAATTATTTCTAATCACGATCCTCAGGCATGAGGGTGGAAAGGGATTCTTAGAAATAGGGTCTAATTTCTCTCTTACTAGCAATACACCTTATCAGATCGACCTCCACGCGGTTCCCACTGAAAACTAACGTGGTTAATTGTAGTGGAATTCGTCACGATGGACTAATTGACCTGCTTTCATCCTCACCTATCATACCCCTACTGGTGCCCCGCCAGCGTATACCGATAGCGCATGCAGGGTTACTATTTCATTGTCACCCTTTCAAAAAAGACTCTCAGGCATGATGGATAGACGAAGAATTTAAAAAAGCTACCTTATGTAGGGAGAGGTCATCCGTGGCGGCTTCAATGTCAGCCCTGTCCAACCTCGGGGATGCTACCGCGCGAACCGAGTTGCTAGAGTCCAATCTGAAGAAATATACAATTTATAATCCTACTGATATAATAAATGGGGGGAAAAGGGATTATTAGTAATGCGGACTACCAGTCCTATTGCTAGCAATACACCCTGTCAGGTTGACCTCCACGCGGTTCCCCCTGGAAACCATAGTGGTTAATTTTTGTTCAATTAATCACTGTGGGCCAACTGACCTGCCTTCATCCTCACCTGTTACCTGGTGCCCCGCCAGAGTATACCGATAGCGCAGGCGGGGATACCATTCCATTATCACCTATTTAAAAAAATATATATGATAAATGTGATACTTTGTAAAGATGTTTGTATGTTTGTTACTTCACCATATAGATGATATTTTTTTTTAACCAACTGAGAATGGCAAACAAGCTGACGGCCCACCTGATGGAAAGCGGTAACCGTCGCCTATAGACATGAGCAGTACCATGGACATAACAGAGTATACTGTTTCACCCATGACACCCCCCCCATGCGTTGCCATTCCTGAGGACTTAGGTGTTATTCCTCTGTACCCTGTAAATTCACGCCATATCCCATCCTTCAAACCGAAACACAGCCAAGCAAAAGCAATTATTTCACGGTAGAAACACGAATGGAACAGAGGTGCCCAAGCAAACGACTATATTACAAGTTCTTTCTCTGGTAATATTCCGGTTAGAACCACCCATGTTGGAATTATATCATGGTTGGAATTCCATCAGAATGAGATACTCTCAGAACCTTACCTCAAAGCTGGCAGCACATGGTCTAGCAGCAGCGCGTCCAGTTGACGTTCAGCAGCGACCTCTCCTAATGGGGGCGCCTTCTCCGCCAGGACTGACGTCAGCGCCTCCATCAGCCACTGGGAGCTCCACCAGCGCGGTGATACGAGACCTCCGAACCACTGGGAATTAATGCCATTTTAGTATTTTTATTGAACAAGTCGTCACAATATAATATGTTCAATGAAATCTGATCAAGTTATTAGCTGTGTTTCGGTTTGAAGGGTGGGATATGGCGTGAATTTACTGGGTACAGAGGAATAACACCTGAGTCCTCAGAAATGGCAACGCATGGGGGGGTATCATGGGCGAAACAGTATACTCTGTTATGTCCATGGTACTGTTCATGTCTATAGGCGACGGTTACCACTTTCCATCAGGTGGGCCGTCAGCTTGTTTGCCATTCTAAGTTGTATAAAAAAAAAAAAGAATAATATTGGAATATATACCTGCTGTGCTAACAGTCTCGCGATGGTTTTGGTATCGGACAACGTGGATGGTGCTAGGGTGATGAGGCCCCAACCTTCGGAGTATGCGTTACCGCCTTCAACTACCACGATATCTGAAAAAAAAATACAAGTCAAAACTTGTGTCATTGCCCATGTGAAAATAATTGTACATTACTGCAGCGGCCAGCAACTGAGGCATTGATGGACGAACGTACAAATGTGGGCCGAGGTGTAGCCGAGGTACACATACGTGAGTCCATCAATGCCTAGTTGTGGCCAAGGCTTGTATAGTACTTTTCTCAAACAATGCGCGGAAATCAAAAACACAATTTTACTTTTTAAATTCAATGACCAATAACGAACAATAATAATTTTTCACGCGCCATAATGTTCCTTTGTTTTTTTTTTCAATAAATAGCTTTCTATTTGCAAGACAGTTCGAAATTTAAATAAAACCTTGTATTAGTTGCCTCCTTGGTAGCCATGTTTCAAAGTCATTCCATTTTTAAATTGCAGGACAGATATGAGTTTACATAGTAATTTATCTGGCCGCAAAACACGACAGATATGGATTTTCATACAACTTTTGCCGACCGCTGCCCGCATGTATCTGGCCAGTACGGCAATTTTGATTTATCTCGAAGAAGATTGTCAAAATAATGCTCACATTTTCAAGCATGTTTGAGAAAAAGTTATTTATTTATTTATTTACTGTACTGTACTGTTTTATGTACTGTATTTTTTTGCTCTAGTGTAGCCCTGATTTTCCTATGAATAAATAAATAAATAAATAAAAGTTATCTATGTCTATTTAAATATAATTGATCTATCTGTCAGCTGAGTTTTGTACAAATAAGTTTAGTTGTTTAAGCGTTACTGTGCAACAAATATCCAAACATGTACAAATTTTTATATTTAAAAAAAGTTTCTTATGAACGCTATTTTGGTCTATCCATATACAAAAAAAATCATTCAAATTTGTCCAGTGGTTTAGGTGAAACACACATCCGAATATTTTTAAAATTTTTCAATTTTATAATATTAGTGAGTACTTAGGTTGTTAGAAAACATGATTTAGACCTCTATTCCTTAAAGATAGTTGATCGGTTTCATGAAATATCCTGGATTTCAGTTGTTACATATGTACAGAAAAGAATATTAATAATATCTGGCGTAAAGACAGCTTCGTTTTTACGTCGAATACGCGGGAGTAGCAACAGTATCCTGAAAATGTTTGTTAATTTTTTTTTATACAACTTAGAATGGCAAACAAGCTGACGGCCCACTTGATGGAAAGTGGTAACCGTCGCCTATAGACATAAGCAGTACCGTGGACATAACAGAGTATACTGTTTCGCCCATGATACCCCCCATGCGTTGCCATTCCTGAGGACTCAGGTGTTATTCCTCTGTAGTCCTCTCGTGAGAATGCTCGCCGAGAGGACTGGATTATTATTAGTGATTAAGCATTAACATAGTTTTTAAGTACACTTACTAACAAAAATGGATCCAAGTTATATAAAAATAAATAAATAAAGAAATAACTTGTATAATATCGATTCGGTCTTACCAAATTTAGGAAGAGGGTATGATGTGTTTAATTCGTATGCGAAGTGTTGAATCGTCTTCTGAACCCAATCCAAAAGGGGCCTGTAAAATTATAAATAGTATTTTTATATTATAAAAAGAAAATATTTCATCAATAATATTTAAAGAATTAAATTAGAGTGACGGTACTAGTCTTAGACGGTGTAGCACGTCTTGGCGACGTCTGTGACGGACGTTGTCTGTTGAGGACGTCATTTTTTGGTCATTTTAAGGTCGCGACCGAATATAAGTATATGTCACTCTTTACACTTCTCGTCTTTTCATTCATTCCGCGTATTGTCCTTGCTATAATACACTCATACACACATATCATATTAAATTTATTTTTCCTTTGCATGTATATAACATACCTTGTGTTGTCCTCCTTTCCAGAGAACTCAACTGAACGATTTATCTACATTACTGAAAAATGTCATAATATAAATTACACGGAGTCTTCTCTAACCCTGACATTGGCAGAAAATCACCGTTGCTTCTACGGTGGAAGCCATATTTAAAAAAAAAAGAAGAAGAAGGTCGCGACCGTAAAATGACAACAGTGAATGTCAGAATCGCCGTGTTGGATTCGATTTATAGTTTTTACGAAAGATTTACTCGTTCATCACTGTATATATGTTTACGACTGAAGTCGCTGCCCTTTTAAGGAGCGGCAGACACAATAACTAGCCCAGCAAATGTTGTTTAGAAGTGCATTGCCATCTGTCTCCCATATTTTATTATCGGAATTAAAGCGATAGCTTTATAAATATATTTATAGAAATATTTTACTATACACATTTGTATGTATGTGCTATTCTTTTCTATCCTCTATCAAACAGACAGAAGAAGAAGCAGCGAAGCGCGCTGCAGAACTATACGACAGTGGTGCACCAGCGGAACGAGCGCTGCTTCTAGACGACGCTTTCGTCCTGAGCCGAGCTGGTAGACTGCCGGCAAGTAGGGCTGTAGCAGCCGCCAGTAAGTTCACCGTCATTATCATTGTCATATATCATACCACTTACCATCAGGTGGGCCGTATGCTTGTTTGCCATCTCAGTGGCATAAAAAAAATTGAAGTCTTTTTTTGAAGGACACCATCTTTAATTTTTATATACAGAATATAGTGTACATTGGTTAAGCCTAGATGCCATATATTAGTGAAAGATCAGGGGGCCTACCAAGAAATGAAATTCCGAAGTTTCGGACTCGAAATTCGTGTTTTCTTTCATACATAAATCGGCCCAGTAATTTTTTTAAACCAAACTTTTTTTTTAAGGTGGCAAACAAGCATACGGCCCACCTGATGGTAAGTGCTTAACATTTCGTTCGTCATAAATCCTACCATAAAAGTCCAAAGTTTTTAAACGTCGAGTATTATGTAATTTTAACATCCAATTTGTGTTTCGTTCGGCTCTGAAATTTCGGGAAACATTTCATGGTAGGCCCCTCTGTATTTGATGACGAATTTCGGATTGCAATAAGTCCTCTCACCCAGACTCGTCCAGGATCACTTGCTGATCGCTGTACAAGCTGATCTCGGGCGGTGGCAGTGCGTAGTCATCGTCTGGTTCCGTGGTCACCGCGGCCGTCGTGTCCGGCATAGTGGTCGTGTCGGTGTCGTTGTAGGCGAGCTCAGCGGGAGGAGGGGGTGCGGCGCGGCGCTGCAGCCGGCAAACGGCCACTGACATCATGTGCGGCGCCATCGGTGGAGACTGGACGAATTCGTCTTGCAGCTGCAATTATTGATTTACGGTTTCAGAGATGTTTCCTCCCACGAACACTCAGGTTATGGAATGAGCTCCCTGACGAGGTTTCCCCAAGAGACGACAGCGTGGAATTCTTCAAAAGGGGGGTAAAGAGGTTTCTTCAGGGTCTTCAGGTAATACCCCTGGTATTGCAGGCGTTCATAGGTTACGGTTTGACCAGAGGGAGATTTTGTACAAAAGTCGGTTGCTTGGGTACCTCTGTCCCATTCGTGTTTCAACCATAAAGCAGTTGTGTTTGCATGGCTGTGTTTCAGTTTGAAGGATGGGATATGGCGTGAATTTACAGGGTACAGAGGAATAACACTTGAGTCCTCAGGAATGGCAACGCATGAGAGGTATCATGGGCGAAACAGTATACTCTGTTATGTATTTTGTGCGAACACAACTGCTTCACGGTAGAAACACGAATGGGACAGAGGTGCCCAAGCAATCGGCTTTTGAATTTGACTTTATATAATGATGTTACCAATCTATGTCCCAAATAAAAGCCAGCCTCCTCCGTCGCCATGATTGGCATATTCGTCAAGGACACGTGGAATCTGGAAAAAAATGGAATAATTAACCCGTAAAATATATTTACTAGCGGCCCGTCCCGGCTTCGCATGGATAGACATTTTTACAACATTTTAAAAAGTGGTTATTGTGACATAACGATAATAGTTGGACATATAGTATCGCGAAGTTTTTTGTAGTTATTGATATTTCCTTCAATATTGTAGAACATACTTTTGTTCTATCACCAATAGTTTCCGCAGCGCACGCGACGAAAGATATTTTATAGCATTTTTTTACACCTTGAGTTACGTTACTAAAGTTTTAGTAAGGATCCCTAATCTTTTCTAGCAATAAATACAGCCTATGTTACTCAGGGTGAATGTAGCTTTCTAATGGTGAAAGATTATTTGAAATCGGCAAAGTAGTTTTTCAGTCTATTCGTTACAAACATACACACAAAAATACAAATCTTTCCTCTTTATAATATTAGTGTAGATTAATTTAAACAAACAGCACTACATTACGCAGTAAAAATAATTGACAAATAATAACCTAATAAAAAGATTTTTAAGTTAGATTAGACGCACCTGTCTCTGACAATGGTGAGTTTGAAGGTAGCCCTGAGATGCGGCTCGTCCAAGCACGGGAACGCTGAGCGAGCGTGCGTCAGCCAGAACCGAGAAACAGCACAGCGGCTTGAAAAAAAAAAAAAAAATAAAGGCCGAACATTTTACCCCCATAAAAAGGGAGATGTATTTTACCAGAGGGAGACTTTGTACAAAAGTTGATTGCTTGGGTACCTCTGTCCCATTCGTGTTTCACCCGTGAAGCAGTTGTGTTTGCATGGCTGTGTTTCGGTTTGAAGGGTGGGATATGGCGTGAATTTACACGGTACAGAGGAATAACACCTGAGTCCTCAGGAATGGCAACGCATGGGGGGTATCATGGGCGAAACAATGTACTCTTATGTCCATGGTACTGCTCATGTCTGTAGGCGACGGTTACCACTTACCATCAGGTGGGCCGTCAGCTTGTTTGCCATTCTAAGTTGTATAAAAAAAAAGATGTTAAATACAATATATATTAAAGATAAGACGAGAACCTCGTGAAAGCCGAAACCGAGAAAAAGAGAAAATATCTCGACCTGGCTCACGAGGTGACCGAAATGTGGGGGGTGACGTCCACCGAAATCATTCCAATCGTTATGTCGGTGAACGGTCTTATCCCAACCAGTCTGGAACAACATCTCAGACGGTTGGGATTCCGAGGCGGCTCACTCCCGAGAAAGATGCAGAAAGCGGTGCTCTTAGTTACTGCCCGCATTGTACGCCGGTTTCTCTCGCTGGGGCCCTGAACCGCGGCCGACTGTGCTTCTGCCGGGGGTTAGTTTGCTTTTTTTTGTTATTGTTTAAGAAATAATAGTAATAATAAATGTTTTTATTTTCAGGTATATAATATATCCATCATAGTTTACATACATTGCGATTATAATTTAAATATAATTAATTACAAATTCTACATTATATTATACGTACAATTTTTTTTTTATTAGTGTAAATGGTATGGTATGCTATTTCCCAAAGAGGGTTGACGCTAGGCAAGCGGCCGGTCGTAAAACTATAAGCCAAATCTTTTTGTAATATGGATAAAAAGCATATTACGCCGACCCCAAATAATAATTGGGATAAGGGTAGGAAAATGAATGATGATGGTATGGTAACCCCGCCTGCGCTAACGGGATACGCTGGCGGAGCACCAGTGAAGGGTAATAGATGAGAATGAAAACAGGCCAGTTAGCACATCATGATGAATTCATCAGGAATTAACCATGATAGTTTCCAGGGAGGACTGCGAGGAGGTCGACCTGGTTGGGCATATTGCTAGCAATGGGATTCTCAGTCTCCATTACTAACAATCCCTTTCCCCCCAATATATAGGATATTGGAACATTATCAATATTTTTATTATTAGCTTGTTTAGTACTCTAAATTGCATAAAAGTAAACTTACTGCTTATGGCTGCCCGTCAAAAAGAACCCTCTCTGTTTGTCGTTCCTCACCAATTTGGTGATGAATCGGAGGCTCAGCGTGTAATTGTATTTGCGACGAAGTTTTTCCTGGAAGTAACAGTAAGTTATAACAGTAAGCATATAAGCTGAATAAATATTGCTCCTAGAAATAATAAAGTAAAAGTCATGGAAGCATAAAACTATAATCCTCAGGAAGGGCTTATATATGGGGTATCGTAGATATTAGTTTCATAATTCTCTCCATAGAGGGGGTAAAGGGTTTGTTAGTAATGGAGTTTGACAGTCCCATTGCTAGCAATATGCCCTATCAGGTCGATTTCCACGTGGTTCCCCCTGGAAACCATCGTGAACAATTCTTTTTGAATTCGTCACGATGGGTTAACTGACCTGCTTCATCCTCACCTATCATCCTTCACTGTTGCCCCGCCAGTGTATACCGATAGCGCGGGTGGGGTTACCATTCCATTATCATCCATTAAAAAAATTCTTTCCATAAATCGCTGAATAACCTGAAGGTTTTACATACGGACAACCATGTAGGGCCATGTTTTGGTTCCATCTATAATCACATTCATAATTTCTTTTAATTTTTAGCTAAAATAGGTTTTTGACGTTTGACAGTTATGAATAGCTAGAACAGTTAGAGCTAGAAACTAGGTTTTTTTAATAATTTAAATGAATTTCTTCGGACCACACATTCCACAATGCATGGAGCCAAGTTCAAGTAACTTGGTTATATCAGTCACTTTAAAAATACGTTATTATTTGGTCAATTCGTGTTTCTACCGGGAAGCAGTTGTGTTTGCATGGCTGAGTTTCGGTTTTAAGGGTGGGATATAGCAGTGGATTTACAGGGTACAGAGGAATAACACCTGAGTCCTCAGGAATGGCAACGCATTGGGGGTATCATGGGCGAAACAATATACTCTGTTATGTCCATGACACTGTAATGTATATAGGCGACAGTTACCACTTTCCATCAGGTGGGTCGTCAGCTTGTTTGCCATTCTAAATTGCATAAAAAAGTAAGCAGGACAAAGTTGGGAAAAAGCCGAATTAAATTTTTTGTTGTTTCTGATGATTTTTTAACAAGCTTGAATATACATATACTCCAAAATCATTACCTTTCTCTTTTCGACAATAGAATAAAGTCTCGTTAGCTTTGGAGAACATGTGAAGCCATCATCCGGCTACGTCTAAAATCTTCGTTTACCACGAAGGCAGACACCAGAGAGCGCCACTTTTCCATAGTATCACTTACCTTGAACTCGATGTAGGTCTGATCAGCCGGCGGATAGTCCAGAGTCTTCACCACCTTGGGTCCCAAGGAGCCTCCACTCTTGAACAGAGCGCGTTCAGTCACATTCATGTCTCTTACATTGAGCACCACGAAGGTGGTGTCGCGGTCTACTTTGAAGTCTATGGACACTTCCCCTGGAGAAATAAAAATAAAACAATCAATTTTTTTATTAATATTTGTACATTGTAAAAACCTAACCCATCCTAACCTATACCACGTGGAGGGAAAGAGATTGTTAGTAATGGAGACTAAGAATCCCATTGCTAGCAATATACCCAACCAGGTCGACCTCCTCGCGGTTCCCCCTGGAAACTATCATGGTTAATTCCTGATGAATTCATCATGATGAGCTAATTGGCCTGTTTTCCTTCTCATCTATCACCCTTCACTGGTATCCCGTTAGCGCAGGTGGGGTTACTATTCCATTTTCTACCAATAAAAATAGGGTTTTCAGCCCCCATTTTTCCTCTTAGTCTTCCCTTGAAGTTAACGAAACAGGTTAACGTCATTCCGACTTACCTCTTAACTCGCCAGTAGTGAGGTTTGGATGTAACCACAAACTGTAGTGTTTCGGTATAACGAAAGTGGGTAAGCGGGCGCCGCGCCACGGGAACACAGCGCCGTTGCTTGCGATACGTTCCCTGTAATCAAATAAATCATTAAGCTTCCGCTGGTGGAAAACACCGTTAACAAATCAAATCCGAATGGGAATAACAGGCTTGTTGTCACATTAGATTCAAAATCATCATTATCATCACCATATCAGCCTTTAACTGTCCACTGCTGCCCCCCTTGGGGGGCTTTACCAGTAGTTGCCTCTATTGGCAGGCGGGTTAGCAATCGCAGTTAGGCTTTGGTGATATTTAAAGAGGGACACTGCTGGCCATCCCTTGACTAGTTTCTTTTAATCACCTCCTACGACACCCACGGGAAAGGAAGGAGTGGCCTATTCTATGTCGGAACCACATGGTGGATATAAAACTTGGAATACACATGGGTTTAGATGGTATTCTACAGGATTCGCTTTACATTTCACCAGAGGGAGACTTTGTTCAAAGTCGTTTGCTTGGGTACCTCTGTCCCATTCGTGTTTCTACCGCGAAGCAGTTGTGTTTGCATGGCTGTGTTTCGGTTTGAAGGGTGGGATATGGTGTGAATTTACTGGGTACAGAAGCATAACACCAAAGTCCTCGGGAATGGCAACGCATGGGGGGTATCATGGGCGAAACAGTTTACTCTGTTATGTCCATGGTACTGCTCATGTCTATAGGCGACGGTTACCGCTTTCAAACAAGCTGACGGCCCACCTGATGTGAACCTTACCTTACCACCTTATTTATTTATTTACTAGCGGCCCGTTCTGGCTTCGCACGGGAGGACATTTTTACATTTTAAAAAGTGGCCATTAAGGCTGCACACGCGACTGAAGCTTAAAAATGGGGTAACTTCTCCCGTTTTCCCAACATTTCCCTTCACTGCTCTGCTCCTATTGATCGTAGCGTGATGTAAAGTATAGTATAACCTGCCCAGGAGTATGAAGAATAATTGTACCAAGTTTCGTTAAAATCCGTCGAATAGTTTTTGTTTCTATAACGAACATACAGACAGAGAGACAGACAAAAATTTTACTGATTACATTTTTGGCATCAGTATCGATCACTAATCACCGCCTGATAGTTATTTTGGAAATATATTTCATGTACAGAATTGACCTCTCTACAGATTTATCTCGATAAGTATAGATAACGTGAACTAAATCGCTGGTATCTAAAATTGTAGCTTTAAATAAGTAATTGTGGCTTTTCATTTCGGTGCCTAGTTTAGCATCTTTATTTGTGTATACAGGTTTTAATTTAACAAGTTACAATGGCGCCCAACATGGTACACACGTGGGATATAGTTGGCGCCCAACGTGGGTCCCAAGACAAGCTTATTCACGCGTCCACATCATTATATAAATGTAAAATGTATGTAAAATAAACTTAAATGATTTACATAACATTTAAAATTCATTATCTTCATATCAGCCTTTAACTCTCCACAGTTGAACATAAGTCTCCCCTTTGACGAGTTTTGCCAGTAATTGCCATGCTGTTTGGCAGTCGTACGTCTAGCTATGTAAAGTTATTTTAATGTTACATTGTTGTATATAGATAAATATATGTGCATGTATATACATATATACATACACACACACGCACACACGCGCACACGCGCACACATGCACACATGCACACACACACACTCAGCTTAACTCACTTATTGGCAGCGGCAGCGTTGGCATCCGAGTCAGATGGCGGTTTTCTAGGTACAAGTGGACTGTCTTCCGCACACGGGCAGTCTAGAACAAAATAAGAAATGTAATAGTACTTCATTAATTATGTAATATACTTTATTATATATATATATATATATATATATATATATATATATATATATATATATATATATATATATAATGTACAATTATAATTTTTAAGTGTATTAATAAAAAAGTAATGCAGCGTAAAACAATGTAATAATAAGCGTATAACACTGTAATAAAATAAAAAAAAAAGGGCAGTGGCGAACATGGCGGAGAACACCCGAGCAATAAGGCAAAGACTGCAATGCTGCGAACATACCGCCATTCGTGTCTTATCCAACTGGTTGATAAAGGATGCAACAGTTGCTGTAGATAGATAGATACTGTTTCCTCCATAAGATTACAATAGTAAACTTATTATAGATACAAACAATTACAAGAAATGATCACAGTGAGGAAACAATGGGCGACCTTATCGCTAAGAGCGATCTCTTGCAGGCAACTTTTGGATACATATGTATTAATTATTTTGTATAATAATAATAATAAAGCCTTTAATTTCTTGCATTATTACAGTATTATCTTCTTTCTACTAGGTATGTTTTTTTAATAAATGATAATGGAATAGTAACCCCGTCCGCGCTATCGGTATACACCGGCGCGGCACCAGTGAAGGATGATAAGTGAGGACGAAGATTTATAATATTATTTAAATAAATAGTTACCAGGTTGTGGCGTGGCGTACACTACTAGTAGTGCAGTGGCGAACATGGCGGAGAAGACGAGGGCGGCGAGGCAGAGGGCGCGTCGCTGCGAGCACACCGCCACTGGTGCTTCGCGTAGCTCTCGCGCCTCGCGGGCCTTGTCTGTGTCTAGTAAAAAAAAATATAGAATAGATAAAAATAATAGTTTTAAAATAAAAGTAACACAAATTTTGGAGGGAAAATATTGTTAGTTGAATTTATATATAATATAAATTACTACGCTGTGTGGTCACCCCTTCCTTTCTTTCCCTTCCATTGCCTGTGGGTGTCGTAAGAGGTGACTAAGACAACTTAATGGTGGAAGGATGGACAGCAGCTCTCTCAGAACATCACTAAAAGCACAACTGCGGTCGCCAACCGACCTGCCAAGTGTGGCAACTATTAGCAAAACTCCCATAATGGGGAAGACTTCAGCATCTTATGTTCAACAGTTAACAGCTGATATTTGTATATACACTGGTTTTCATGGCGCCCAACGTGGAACCCACGTGGGACATTAGTGTTGCCCAACGTGGGTCCCACGTGACTCCTTGCCAATCCGTCTACCAAGCGTGGCACCTCATATTCAACTAATCAACAGTTAAAAGCTGAAAAGATGATGATTCTAAGATGTCTTAAAATATGATAAGTTGGTTTGACCATTTGCAGAGGACGCATGAAAGAAGAATTACAGTGGAGCTTTATCGAGCACGAATAAGTGGAGATGTTAGTCGAGGTTGCCTAGATAGACATTATGTTGACCAAATAGGCGACATGCTGAAGAAGGGCCAAATTAAAAGTACCTGTAACTGGCGAGCTTGTACGAATAGATTGAAGAATGTGGAGGAAGCGAAAGAGGTCTGTTTGAATCGAAGTATTTGGCGTTCTATTGTTTTAGCTTGGGGTAAGCAATGGAGACAGGCATAACGTATGTAAATTAAGTAACTACGCTAGTATATGCATAAAGTTATTAAATGACTTGGGTAGCAGAAATAACATTATCTTGAGATGGATCCCTGGTCACTCAAATATTCATGGAAACGAAACAGCCGACCAATTAGCAAAGGAAAGGGCAAAGAATGCCCAAAAAGACCAGAACATTATCGTGGCATACCTGAAAACTCAAACATCTCAAACTTGAAAGCTTAGAAACAGCAAATAATAGCTAGTTCCTGTTGTCAAAACTAAACCACTCAAAATCTTGATTAATGGGTTTTTAGAAAACTACTCTAAAAAATTAATTTTTTCGAGTGTAATATACATATGTGAAGTATATAAGGGCCCTCGCTGGACACTAAACAAGCATATGACCCAATTAGGCTTATGCCCAAAAAGTGTTTGCAGATTTTGTCACAGTGAGGAAAAAACGGCGCAACACTGAATGTGTGGCTGTAGCCCACTCATACGTAAACGATATATCTCTTTTGGAAAACAAATTATATCCTGAGGAGATAAACAACGTTGCTACAAAGAACATGTTAAAATTCCTATCATTGATAGGTATTAGCAGCGAACTCACCAGAGGGAGACTTTGTACAAAAGTCGATTGCTTAGGTAGGTACCTCTGTCCCATTCGTGTTTCAACCGTGAAGCAGTTGTGTTTGCATGGCTGTGTTTCGGTTTGAAGGGTCGGATATGGCGTGAATTTACTGTGTACAGAGGAATAGCACCTGAGTCCTCAGGAATGGCAACACATTGGGGGTATCATGGGCGAAACAGTATACTCTGTTATGTCCATGGTACTGCTCATGTCTATAGGCGACGATTACCACTTTCCATCAGGTGGGCCGTCAGCTTGTTTGCCATTCTAAGTTGTATAAAAAAAAAAAAACTTAAAAAAGAGGCGAGCACAAAAGATCGTGGAAAGGTCGCAGTGTCACAGGTTTTTTTGCCTGAAAAAGCCCGTATTTCAATAATGAATAATGATAACTATACTAAGCAAATTACGTAGGCATCTACCTATATCATTTTATTTGGGCAACTCCGGACCGGGCCGGGGATATTGTTAAGGTAACTCTGTTATTAAATTGTCTGAGGGTCAGTATACTAATCAAACCCAGACCCTGCAGACCCTTTGCGATATTAGAATGAATATTTTATTGCATCCAATACCCGACTGTCGTATTTAGGACTGTCGACATAATATTTATAGACGTAAAAACGTTTATTACTTATTTATCATCATATATGTCGTTAACTGCCCACTGCTGGGGGGAAAGAGATTGTTAGCTATGGAGTTTAACAGCCCTATTGCTAACAATGTTATTAATCAGACAGACCTCCACGTGGTTCCCCCTGGAAACCATCGTGGTTACTTCTCGTGGAATTCTTCACAATGGCCTAACTGACCTGCTTACATCCTCACCTATCATCCTTCACTGGTGTTCCACCAGCGTATACTGTTAGCGCAGGCGGGGTTACCATTCCATTATTACCTATTAAAAAAAAACTGTCCTTTGCTGGACATAAGCCTTCCCCGTAGATTGCCATAAAGAACGGTCCTGAGCCATATGCATCCACTGACTCCTTGCAATACATTTGAGGTCGTCACTCCATCTAGTAGGGGGTCGTTCTACTACTGCGTTCAAGAACCTTTTTTGTATATTTGTTTGTAAGAAATAAACTCAAAAACTACTCTATGAAAACTTTTTTATCTACACAAAGTTATGTTATCAGCAAGTAATATAAGCTATAATATATTATTAAAAAAAATTTGATCTGTACGAAGATTACATTAATACCAAAAGTATCAAAAATTTGCCTATTAAAGCAAATATAAAATATTAAATTACCTTTCTTTCTATCTACCCGTGCGGAATCGGGGCGGATAATTAGTTTTATATATTTAAGAGACTTCAAAATGTGAGGCTACCATTTTACCGCTAATTGTTTGTATTTTTTGTAATAAATAAATAGTATAGTTTATATTGCAAAAAGAATCATGGAAATCGGTTTAGAATTGTTGATGTGATTACGTAACGTAGTCTTTTAGAATTTTATATCATTTTTACCATATAATTTCGCCCTTATACTGAGTAATTTTTTTTTTATACAACTGAGAATGGCAAACAAGCTGACGGCCCACCTGATGGAAAGTGGTAACCGTCGCCTTTAGACATGAGCAGTACCATGGACATAACAGAGCATACTGTTTCGCCCATGATACCCCCCATGCGTTGCCATTCCTGAGGACTCGGGTGTTATTCATTATTATTAATAAATGTACATTATGGCAACCCTATTCACCCATACATGGATAAAATAGTTGACCTGTTTTCGACGAAGCATTTGTATGGAGACACGCTATCTTTTTTCATTTAAAATATAGCCGAATTGGGAACCTTTTTTCAATAGTTACTTGCAACCAAAGATTTCTGAACAAAATAGATGGAATGCATAATTCAAATAGTGTGTTGCTCATTGTATTTATGACATTACCAATGCGTAAGAGAGGGATATATATATAAAAACGCACATGCCTCGTGACTAGTCCGTAGTAAATTTTATAACCCTACCAAGTTCAGATACAACCTGCTCGCATACTTTCTACATAAACTGTGTCGAATATATAATCTAGTAATGTGAAATTTGTCATTGACAAATAATTGACATATCAAACATTTTCTATAAACTGGACTGCTATGAATTGAAAAAAAAACTGATGGTGTATCTTTCGTCCTCTTTTTACTAATTATATTTGCATAAGAAGAAAGGAGGCAACCGTATGATTTACAGTTTTTATTTTATCATTCCTTCTATGTGATTCCTTGTTCTTAGCTTGTAACCTCTAATTCTTGACTATCAGTGTTGCCAGGCATATAAATGGGTACAAGTATACTGTGATGTAGGTCAACAGAAGTGGCTCGTTCAGCCTGAGTGGACACTTCTGTCTGGGCTAACTACTAGTGCCACTTATTTTGCGTTCTTAACCTAGAAATATAACTAATATCTCAGTAGGAGAGGCGGGAGAGGGGGAAGGAATTGTTAGCAATGGAGTTTGACAGCCCCATTGCTAGCAATATGCCCTATTAGGTCGACCTCCACGTGCAAAAAAAGCACGACCAATTATTGTTGAATTCGTCACGATAGGCTAACTGGCCTGCTTCATCCTCACCTATCATCTTTCTATGGTGCCCCGCCGGTGTATACCGATAGCACGGGTGGGTTTACCATTACCATTATCACCTATAAAAAAATCTCAGTTGAGAGAAATATAGGTAATTATTTAAACGCATGTGTATTTACTTATAAACAATTTACTGAACTAGTTGTTATTTTGCGGAAGTCCATATCACTGGTTATGTGTTTAGAACTATATTGTTTAATTCCGCTACCGTTAGTATGTATGTGTCTGCCAACACTCGAAGATCGACCGCCACTATTACTACCAGAAATTCCATAACCTTCCATATTAGTCATCAATCTCCGACTGCCATTTTGTTCACGCACGTTTTGCAGCATGTGTTTCATTTTTAGACAATTTATTAAATTGCTGCTCGGAGCCTAGTGTTAACCGTTCGGCAGCTAAATTGCGAATGACAAATTTTTGACCGTGTTACCGTATTTATTTGCAATGAGTCGCTGCGACAATTCAATTCATTAGTGGTATATAGACATAGAATGGGCCACCCCTTCCTTTCCCATGGGTGTCGTAAGAAGGCACTATAGAAGGGCGAAGGATGGGCAGCAGTGTCGCTCTTAAAACATTTCTAAAAGCCTAACAGCAGTTACCAAGCGTGGCAACTACTGGCAACACTCCCCTTATGGGGAAGACTTAAGTCCAGCAGTGGACAGTTAACGGCTGAAATAGATAGACTCTTTATTGTTTCCTCCATAAGATTACAATAGTAAACTTATTGTAGATACAAACAATTACAAGAAATTATCACAGTGAGACAACAATGGGCGGCCTTATCGCTAAAATAATAATAAAAAATATGTTATAATTTCTGTTATATATTTACTTTAATCCCCTTATATATATATATATATATATATTATATATATATATATATATATATATATATATATATATATATATATATATATATATATATATATATATATATATATATATATATATATATATATAATTATACTTACCAGCCAGAAATGCAACATCGTCTAAATCTTGGTCCACCATGTTACGCCAGGCAGCTGCTGAGGACAAAAAAATATTACTTGTCAATAAGTAGAAAAAAAATATCCCGCCTGCGCTAACGGGATACGCTGGCGGAGCACCAGTGAAGGGTGATAGATGAGAATGAAAACAGGCCAGCTAGCCCATCATGATGAATTCACCAGGAATTACCCATGATAGTTTCCAGGGGGAACCGCGAGGAGGTCAACCTGGTTGGGTATATTGCTAGCAATGGGATTCTTAGTCTCCATTACTAACAATCTCTTTTTCCCCCTATGTTCACTATTATAATCATTATTGGGGTAGTCAGACCTAATTTCAAAGGACTTCAAAAAGGCACTTGATTCGTTTTTTTTTATATTTATTACCTCATAACACCGTCAGTTTTTTTTTAATGAATGACAATGAAATGGTGGCCCCTGCCCGTGCTAACGGTGCACACCGGCGGGGCACCAGTGAGAGATGATAAGTGAAGATGAAAATACAGTTAGCCCATCGTGATAAATACACCTAAAATTCAACAAGATGGGTTCTAGGGAGGACCACGTGGAGGTCGACCTGGTTGGGTGTATTGCTAGCAATTGAACCCTTAGTCTTCATTATTAACAATCCCTCCCCCCCCCCCCAACACCGTCAGTTGTAAACCGATTTGAAAAATTCATTTTTTTTATCTGAATGGATATACTCACAGATTGATTTATTTGTTAAAATACATTACAGGGGGAAGGGATTGTTAGTAATGGGGAGGTTTGCTATCAATATACCTTATCAGGCCGACCTCCACGCAGTTACTCATGGAAACCATCATGACTAATTTATTGTTGAATTCATAACGATGGACTAACTGACCTGCTTCATCCTCACCTATCATCCCTCACTGGTGCCCCGCCTGTGTATACCGATAGCGCAGGCGGGGTTACCATTACATTATTATATATATAAAAAAAAATACGTTAAAAATTAGTTATGTATTCTAACAAATTGTTAATTAAATTAAAATTTACTTTGCCAAGGTCATGAATTTTGAATAAATGAATAAGTATACTTTATTTGCATTATACAATATAGGAAATAAGCAAGACAATTAATAAATGTAACGATACAGTTGTATAAGTACGGTAAGGCGGTCTTATTGCTGAGAGCAATCTTTACAAGACAACCTTAAGGTAATGGACTAATTGTGTGTGGCGTGAATTTACTGGGTACAGAGGAATAACAACTGAGTCCTCAGGAATGGCAACGCATGGGGGGTATCATGGGCGAAACAGTATACTCTGTTATGTCCATGGTACCGCTCATGTCTATAGGCGACGGTTACCAGTTTCCATCAGGTGGGCAGTCAACTTGTTTGCCTATCTAAGTTGTATAAAAAAAATTGTTGTACAAGTAGGTATGATAGCTTTTGTCTAAAGATGAGAGAGAGTAAAGAGGTTTCTTCAGGGTCGGCAACGCGCGCGTAATACCTCTGGTATTGCAGGCGTTCATAGGCTACGGTAACCGCTTACTGTCAGGTGGGCCGTATGCTAGTTTGCCACCTCAGTGGTATAAAGAAAATATCACGGCACTCACCCTTGGCAGATCCGTTTCTATCGGCCTTGTATTTGCCGATTGGCTCCATCTGAATACCGTCCATCTCACGCCGTCCACGGCATGCCGCTGTTTGTCTATGGAAAAACAAAAATATACCTTAAGATCTATTTCATGTTACCGCTTTAGATGATACAGATAAACTCCATAGAAATACTTCGAGAAAAACGGGTCAACTTTTTCATACAATTTTGCGTGATAAATAGTTACGAGTGATTCCTTTATAACTTCTATATTTATTTTGTGATCAAGAAGTGTGATCGATCTTCCGGAGGTTGAAAAAAGCAACTAAGCCATACAGTTGAGGAGACGGTCCAGCTTATCGAGAAGATCTTCATTAAGATCTGGGTAACACACATCAGCATAATCAATAATCGGAATAATTAGGGCGTGAACAAAATTATGGCATCATAGGGCCTTACTTTTTTGAGGACGGCAGAGGGCGTGCTGTTACTGTTACTTCGCAGCGATATGTGGCCTTGATCGAGGAGTTTTTCACACAAAAATTGCAAAACTTTCCAGGCTTTAATGCCCAAACATGGTTTCAATATGGACTGATATAATTAGGCAATAAATACCCATATAATTAGGGCGTGAACAAGATTAATTTTTGTAGCGATAGACAAAAACTTTTTAAATCGGTATAAGGAGCGTAAAGTAACAACAATGGAGCGACTCACCTCAGCAACTTGATGTGACCAGCCGAGTGATGAGTCTATGTAAAGGCCAAGATCTTTAACGCAGCCACATAAAGGCTGATATGAGCCAAAAAGTGTCCAGACAATAGCCACATTACATTGGATATATGTAAGATGGTTTTTTACTACTGTCGTGGCAAACAAGCATACGGTCCGTCCGATGGTAAACGTATTTTCTGCATAACTAATAGAAATTGTACTAAAAAAATCGATAATATTTATTTATACTAACAAAACAGAAGCCCGGCAAGCCCCTTACCAGAGGAAGACTTTGTACAAAAGTCGTTTGCTTGGGCACCTCTGTACTATTCTTGTTTCTACCGTGAAGCAGTTGTGTTTGCATGGCTGTGTTTCGGTCTGAAGGGTGGGATATGGCAGTGAATTTACAGGATACAGAGGAATAACACCTGAGTCCTCAGGAATGGTAACGCATGTGGGATATCGTGGGCGAAACAGTATACTCTGTTATGTCCATGGCACTGCTCATGTCTATAGGCGACGGTTACCACTTTCCATCAGGTGGGCCGTCAGCTTGTTTGCTATTTTAAGTTATATAAAAAAGCCATGTGATGCCGGGATGGAATGGGCCACGCCTTCCTTTTCCGGTGTCGTAAAACATGACTAAGGGAACTTAATGTTCGAGAGACGTGCAGCAGCGTTCCTAAAAGCCTAACTGCAGTCGCCAACCCGTCTACCAAGCGTGGCAACTACTTGCAAAACTCCTCCTCGTGCAACAGACCTAGGTTCAACAGCGGACATTTAACGGGTGATTGAAAGTGATTGAAAAAATATATCAACATGGATATATCGAGAAATAACAGAGTGCTTTTTTTAACCTTCCCAATGACAATATGAAACAAGCTACAATGGGGGAAAAGGGATTATTAGATTACTAGTGACCCGCCCCGGCTTCGCATGGGTGCAATGCTGATACTAAATATACCTACTACAGAATACAATTTCGAATATAATTTTTTTTAATTTACTGTAACGTACTTATAAGTACGATAAATTTATCAGTGTTTCTCTATAATATTATGCATGTATTATACATATAAACCTTCCTCTTGAATCACTCTATGTATTAAAAAAAACCGCATTAAAATCCGTTGTGCAGTTTTAAAGATTTAAGCATACATAGGGATAGACAGCGACAGCGACTTTGTTTTATACTATGTAGTGATGATGAAATTGATTTTGGGGTCTGACATCGCCCTTGCTAGCAATATATCCTGTTAGGTTGACAATCACGCGGTTCTCACTGGAAACTGTCATGGTTAATTCGTGAATTTGTCACAATGGGTAGACTTGCTGTCATCCTTACCTCTCATCTCTAATTGGTTTCCTGCCAGCGTATATTGAGCGGGAATGGGATTGCCGGCCAATCGTCACCCATTTAAAAAAAACAAGCTTCAATGGAAAATAATATTAAATTATTTTATCCATTATTCAATTTTTCTGATCCTTATCCTAAATTTACAAAAATACACTTTTCCAAATTTTGTTTTTTGACGGATGCACTCTGTTCCGTATATGAACAGAAAAACAATTGGATCTTTACGTTTGTGAAGGGTTCGTTGGATAGAACAGTAAAATAGAAAATACTGAATAAAGATACATTTTTCCCTAGTACAATAATAGTGATGTTTTAAAAATGACGTGCTCTAATAAACAAAATATTAATTGACAAAAAAAGAAAATAAATAAGATCTATTTTTAAAAGTAACATAAATAAAACCTCAACGCTGTTAATAAAAATAATGTATCAGTTTTGGTTGATTGTTTATTTATTTATTTATTATTTGACAAAAACACAAAGTTACAAATACAAAATACAATGGGGCCGCACACTAGGCGAACCTATATCGTTGGCACCCGACAAAGATTAACAAATCACAATGTTATAATAAAAAGTACACAGTGGGGGGGGGGGGGGGGTTATTTATTTAAAAAGAAATAAAAAATTGAAATATTGGTAAAAGTAAAAAAATCAACAATATAAATACACAAGCAATTATAAGATACTGACAATATATGCCCTTAAGAGAAACGAAGTTGAATAAATGAATGTGGAAATGTTCAGGAGTATGTGTGAATGTGTGTAGTGTAATCCTTGTTTATTGTATTTAAATCGTTTTGAATCTTGTAGTAATATGACTGGAATTTATTGCACAGAAGAATATAAAAAAAACCTTTGAAAGGCGAAACCGGTCAGAAATTTATTATTACAATTCATGGAAAAATACTATTATTAGAATTAGAATTTTGTAATATTGATATTTATATTAAAGGGTTTATTTATGGTTTTTAAGAGTACAGTTTCAAAAGCAATGTGTTTAATATTTTCGCGCGTAAAATAAGAAAGCTTATGAAAAAAGGGCTGCAAAGGAAACAAAGTCATTCAGCTATCCCATTATAAGGATAAAAGAGTATTGAAGTTCAAGGAACAAAGCAGGATAACATCGTGATCTAGCGCTCTGTAACACCCTATCCTGCTGCCCTAAAGAGGGTGCGGCGTAAAGGAAGCCATTCATTTTCTGGATAGACAGATGCACAGAAAAAAGGGCGGGAAATACTAACGGCTTTTTAATAGCACTTATAATTATTTTTCATTTTCAACTAATGAATAATATAGACAAGTAAAAAGTAATACTAACTTTTCTAATCATGTATCATAAACAATTTATTATACTTTTACTAGGGCCCAAAAAAAAAAAAGGGAAAGCAAAGGAAAGCACAGTCATACAGCCTATTCTATAAAAGTTGAATGCATTAGTACGAAAATAATCACAGCATTAAGGGTAAAGGTATTCTATTGTGGAATGCATAATAGCATGCCTTTCACGTCATCTTAATTGTTGCAGGGAAAATATAATCGCGGAAGTTATTCATTCATCGCTTTATATGGAAAACTGACAAATGCTTTATTGGAATTGAAATTGAAAATATACGATTGCCAAAGAAAGGTAGTTGATGTTTTTTTAAGCATTCATTGCATTAAGAAGAGAAATTCGACAGCTACATAAAGCAATCATATTTTAATAGTCTATTAGATATATCTATATACATAAATAATAAGATTTTTTTTTAATAGATATACAGACAAAAGCGTGACTGTCAAACAGCCATATTGATATTCATGCCTTTATCTGTGTAATTTTAAAAAACTTATTACCTACCTATTTTAGATTGTGTATAAAATGTTATCATTATTTTTTATAATTCAAATTTTTATATAAGGATTCAAATGCCTGTGTCAGAATAAATGGAGTCTATACAGACTGGTTTGGCATTGAACGCGGTGTTAGACAGGGCTGTGTAGCGTCTCCTTGGCTGTTCAACCTATTTATGGACAGTTGCTTGACCGATTTGAAAGGATCTAATTGTGGATTCAGGATGAATGAGTCTCTGTTTAAGACTCTTTTATACGCCGACGACCAAGTACTTTTTGCATCGTCGGAGTATGAATTACAACAAATGGTGACTATAATGAATGAAGCGTATGCAAGAAAAGGTATGAAAATAAATGCGAAGAAGACGAAGGTAATGGTTTTTGAGAGGAATGAAAGTTTAACGGCATGCCAGATTATGATAGGAGATGAAAAAGTAGAGCAAGTGAGTGAGTTTCTATATTTAGGTTCTTTGTTTACGAGGGATGGGAAGTGTGACAGAGATATTGAGAGGAGAGTAAAAGCGGGAAACAGTGCTAACGGTGCACTGCTCTCGATTATGTCAAGTAAAAATGTATCGAGCAAAGCTCGCCTTGCTATAATTCAAGGAGTACTGACACCAACACTCATGTATGGAAGCGAATCGTGGGTATGGCAGAAGAAGCATGAAAGTAAGATAAATGCTGTACAGATGAGAGCTTTGAGAAGTATGTGTGGTATTACTTTAAAAGATAGAGTAAGAAACAGTGTGGTTAGAGAGAAGTGTGGACTGAAAGACGATGTAGTGACAAAAATTGAAAAAGGAATGTTGCGTTGGTTTGGTCATTTGGAGAGGATGGATGAAAGAAGAATTACGAAAGAGATTTATCGAGCAAGAATGAATGGAGATGTCGGTAGGGGCCGCCCTAGACGGACGTATGTCGACCAAATAGGCGACGTGCTGAAGAAGGGCCAAATTAAAAGTACCCGTAACCGACGAGCGTGTATGACAAGATTGATGAATGTGGAAGAAGCGAAAGAGGTTTGTTTGAATCGAAGCATTTGGCGTTCCATTGTTTCTGCCTACCCTAATGGGAGACAGGCGTGACAGATATGTATGTATGTATGTATTTTTTATAAATATGTTAATTAATTTAATTTAACAAAAGTACCTATATTATATATCAACAATTTACACTTTTTTTTATACTCGTAGCTTACGTTTGGATTTTCCAATTTTTGTCACAATTTAGTGGTTATGACAAGAATTATCTTTATTACCACTGGTAGGTAGGTACCTAGTTTGTCACATATCGTATTCTAAGAGCTTATACCCGAATCGCGTCTATCGCGTTCCCATTTATTTCCAATTTTCCAATAGCCTTCCGGAAATTTCCATTTAATACGTAATCTCCGTTCAAACTGTCTGACTGGCCCAGGAAATCTTGTCATGGAATGAAAATAAATTAAATAAATAAATAATGACAAATGTAGACATAAAGGCATAAATATAGAGGTGGCTATTGCGGAACTTTAAAATTAAGTCGACTTTTACATAAAACTTATAAGTAAATATCTAAGTATTCGACATTCATACCAGCCGTCCACTGTCCACTGCTGAACATAAAACTTAAGCTTATGCCAGTAGTTGCCACGCTTGGCAGGCGATTTAGCAACCAAAGTTAGACTTAAAAGTCGATTGCTTGTGCACCTCTGTCCCATTCGTGTTTCAACCGTGAAGCAGTTGTGTTTGCATAGCTGTGTTTCGGTTTGAAGGGTAAGATATGGCGTGAATTTACTGGGTACAGAGGAATAACACTTGAATCCTCAGGAATGGCAACGCATGGGGGGTATCATGGGCGAAACAGTATACTCTGTTATGTCCACGGTACTGCTTATGTCTATAGGCGGCGGTTACCACTTTCCATCAGGTGGGCCGTCAGCTTGTTTGCCATTCTAAGTTGTATAAAAAAAAAACTTTGGTGATGTTTTAAGAGGAACGCTACTACCTATTCCTAGACTATTAAATTCCCTTAGGGAAAGAGAAATGATTAATGAAGAATTTAATAAAACTAAACAAGTTTTGTTTTAAATAAAAAAATTCTGTAAATCTGAAATTAATAAGAAATCTTATTATTCAGTCAATTTTTTTTTATTAGCACTATTATTAGGCATCAGCAAATTGGTATACGCTATGGTAGATTCAATTATTCGTTTGTTTATATTATTATTGAATTTTATCAAAACAAACTATATGTCTCTTGTCCATTATTGCAATAAAATACTTAATATAAATGTATATATTAAATTTTTTTTTTTACAAAAAAAGCCAACGACTGCACGAAAATGTTAGTACTCAAAACGCTGTTAAAAAAATGTAGAATGGCGCTTTGTAATTATTATTACCTTTATGTTGGCAATCAAAGAACTACAAACAAATAGGTACAAAAGTACAGATAAAAAATATTCATAGAGATCTTTTAACACTACCATGTCTCTTAAGCAAGGCTAAAATCAATATATTTTAATTAAATATGCAATAAAATTTACTGTAAAATTATTTATTTTTGATATAGGAAAAGGTCAGAGCTTTATTTCTGTAATAAAAAAAGATATCGAATAAAAACATCTATTACTATTTAAAAAAATATAATTTTAAATTTAGAATGTCTAGCCATAATAATGCAACAATTTTCTACGCAAAAGCACTCACCGGACAAATGAATGTCCTTCTTGATATGAGTTTCACAAACTGTAAACGGATTTTTTTTTATTACAACGAACTCAACTATTTTTTTAATAGCTTTTTATACGAAATACGTTTTACTTTTAACACTTATCCGAACGTATTTTCATAAGATTTTCGGTGCAATTTTCACGAACACCACGCGCGTACTGAGGCAATGTGGCAAAATCGATTTTACGCGGGAAAGAGAACTTCCTTAATGCTAGAAAGGGATAACAACATCAATAGGTGTGAGCTAGAAAGAGAAAAATATATGAGGCGGCAATAGCAAGGGGAGACGTGGGTGTGTTGAACCCTAGAAAATGGGGTAGGTACGAGAGTTACCAATGTATTTCGATAGATATCCTTATTATAAATGTGAAAGCAAGTTTCTTAGTTTGTAACCTTTTGGTATCTTAATTTAGTTCACATATTGTTATTAAGGTTGAAGATCATAAGCTATTTTTTGCCCTGATCATGCAGACGATGTCGCGGACAAAAATACTACAAATTCGTGTTACATTTGATAAAAAAGTTGAACAGAATGAAACTAGAGTAACGACATTGTTAGCAATATACCTTACCAGCTTGATCTCCACGCGGAGCCCCTGCAAACCATCAAGACGAATTCCTAGGGAATTCATCAGGAATTCGTCCGAAACCCAAGTGACTTGACTTCGTTCTCACCTATCATATCTCACTGGTGTCCCGTCAATGTATACCAATAGCACAGGCTGGATGAACATTCCATTTTCAATCCTTTTAAAAAACAAATATGGTACACGAACACAATTGAAGGTTTAAAAAAAGAACTCGATCAAAACTCGAATGTTTTTTTTTTCCTTTTTGTAGAACCCGTAGTGATATTTCTCTTGTGTTTTCACTACCTACTCCTAGCAGAAGCGCCGTAACTAGAGCACTGGGGAACCGGTAGGCTTTCGCAATGTTTGTTTTTGACCGACTATAGAAAAGACAGGTTAAGTTTTTGCGAAATTTTCGTAAGATACTTACTGCTTAGGATAAAATCAAAATTTTAATTAGCGTCCTTAGAATAATTAGGAGTATTCTCACCAGCGCTGCATTTAGGGTCTGTGGGCCTACATCTGTGGTGAAGACCTCATTTTATGTATAAAATAGATTATTACATTTCTAAATTTAACTTTAGAACTATTAATTATTATATCATGGGGTATCATGGTGTACATTTGTGATTGAGGCCTCTTTGTGTCGGAGGCCCCTAAGCCATAGCCTAGATAGCCTATATTTAAATAGGTCGCTGTCTTTTTTTTATGCCACTTAGAATGGCAAACAAGCTGACGGCCCACCTAATGAAAAGTGGTAATGTTCGCCTATAGACATAAGCAGTATCATGGATATAACAGAGTATACTGTTTCACCCATGACACCCCCCATGCGTTGCCATTCCTGAGGACTCAGGGTTATTCCTCTGTACCCTGTAAATTCACTGCCATATCCCACCCTTCAAACCGAAACACAGCCATGCAAACACAACTGCTTCACAGTAGAAACATGAATGGGACAGAGTTGCCGAAGCAAACAACTTTTGTACAAAATATCCCTCTGGTTTCTACCAGTCACAATAAATATTTTACCTAAAGGAACATGGATCGTTATCACGATATGGGTAACATAGCTCATCTTTATTTCGCTTTTGGAGTCTTCTTTTTTTTTATAGGTGATAATGGAATGGTAACCCCACCCGCGCTATCGATATACACCGGCGGGGCACCAGTGAAGAATGATAGGTGAGAATGAAGCAGGTGAGTTAGCCTATCGTGACGAATTCAACGAGAATTGTTCACGATGGTTTCCAGGGGGAACCACGTGGAGGTTGACCCTACAGGGCATATTGCTAGCAATGGGGCTGTCAAACACCATGGCTATCAATCCCTTTCCCCCCTCGCTTTTGGGGACAGCCTATAATCCGCAGCACATCGACCCATATACTGTGTTCACCCGCCTTACTCTATCACTTTGTAGATCTTGTTCGCTAGCCATAAAATGTCCCGCGGTTTATGATACCCACTTACATAATATAAATGGAGCATCTAGTAGTTAAAACAGGTCAACATTTAGTCAAGTAACTGTCAAATTAAACGACTCTTTTTTTTTAAACAGTGTTCCATAAAATAAAGAATTAGCGCCATTTTTCAGTGTTGCAAGTTTTGGAAAAAAATATCCTCATAATGGACTCTAATTTTACCAAACGTGATGATTTTTGTCTAATGCATGTTTTTAAGTGTTTAAGTTTGTAGGTTAAACCCAACAGCGAATGAAAGACATGCTATGATACCCACTTACATTACATAGATGGGTTATCCACTGGCAAAAGCAGGTCAATATTTAGTCAGGTAACTGTCAAATTAACCGACACTTTTTTTTAAAACAGTGTTCCATAAAATAAAGAATTGGCGCCATTTTTCAGTGTTGCAAGTATTTGAAAAAATATCCTCATAATGGACTCTAAAGTTACCACGTTTGGCATCCGTAGTTAGGCTTTGGTGATGATTCAAATGGCTTTGGTAGTGTTTTAAGAGGGACGCTGCTGCCCATCCCTTGACCATTCAGTTCTCTTAATCGCCTCTTACAACACCCACGGGAAATGGAGGGGTGGTCTATTCTATACTGGGACCACATGTCGTTGCTATAATAATGAAATGGCGACCCCATCTGCACGGGGGGAAAGGGATTGTTAGTAATGCGGACTATCAGTTCCAATTGCTAGCGATATACCCTGTCAGGTCGACCACTACGTGGTTTCTCCTAGACACAATGGTGCTGAATCCCTGGTGTATTCATCACGATGGATATTCATCACTAACTGACCTGCCTTTTCATCCCTCGCTGGTGCCCTGCCAGTGTATACCATTAGCGCGGGCGGGGTTACCATTCTATTATCATCCATAGAAAAACCATAAACGTAGTAATTGAAAGTTTATTCGTATGTCACCTCTTATAATAATAAAAAAATATTTACCAGGAACATAATTACATTATGTTGCAATTTCTTTTTTTTTATGTTAAATATGTGTTGCCATATTCAACACCTTGTAAATCATTGTAGGTAGTATTTTTTATACTACTTAGAATGTCAAACAAGCTGACGGCCCACCTGATGGAAAGTGGTAACCGTCGCCTATAGACATGAGCAGTACCGTGGACATAACAGACTACACTATTTCGCCCATGGTACCTCCCATGCGTTGCCATTCCTGAGGACTCAGGTGTTATTCCTCTGTACCCAGTAAATTCACGCCATATCCCACCCTTCAAACCGAAACACAGCCATGCAAATACAACTGCAAGCAAACGACTTTTGTACAAAGTCTCCCTCTGGTATTCATTAAGGTATTGATCTTGGCTTTAAGCAACAGATCTTCGTAAAATTTGGTATACACTTACTATATGTCATGAGACATTATCAATCCGGTCACGCTAACGAAGTCACGGGCAAAAGCTAGTATTTGCATAAATAAAACAATACTTTGTACTTATTTTTTTTATTTTTTTTTTATTAAAAATAATCTTAACAAGAACATATAACTAACTTAAACATATTGACATCTCGAGTACACAGAGAGTCTCAAACTCGTCATAAGAAAATGTACAAATAATCAAATAAGTCAATGGGGTAGATTCTGATGCGTCATTTTTATAAACCTACCTCTTAGTTTCGGAAAAATACTGTTTTATAGACTATCACTGTGCAACTATTGACTAAACCCTTCAAGAGGGTGGGGGGAAGGGATCGTTAGTAATGCGGGCTACCAGTCCCGTTGCTAGCAATATACCCCTGTCAGGTCGACCTCCACGCGGTTACCCCTGGAAACCATCATGCTGAGTTCCATGAGTGTATTCATCACGATGGGCTGACTGACCTGCTTTTATCATTATTCACCTATCATCCCTCACTGGTGCCCCGCCAGCGTATACAGTTAGGCCCTACTGCCTACCATTCCATTAATCATGCATTAAAAAAACCCTTCAAGGGGATGGGTGGAAAGGGATTGTTAGTAATGGGGTCTAATAGCCCCATTACTAGCAATATACCTTTTCAGGTCGACCTCCACGCGGTTCCCCCTGGGTGGTGTAGTGTTTTTTTTTAATTAGTGCTCTACATTGATTGTCGGACTAAAAGAACGTTATATACCCAGTAATTATACCAGTTCAAGAAATTACAGTCCACTCTTTACATACCCTGACCATATGTGGTCCTTCGAGCCGGACAAATTAATGACAAGTGTACTAAACACATGTGATTACAAACGTCAATTCTGTCAAAATGTGTCAACATATCAATATCAGTGCGTCAAAATTCGACATTTCGAACGTTAATGAAAAGGCTCATAAGGATCTGTATCCAGAGCCGTAAAACATACACAAAAAAAAAAACAAATTCGAATTAAACACTCAAACTGTACATTCTAAATTTAAAATAATAGTTATCGTAGACAATAAGCTTTATTTAATCTTAAACAAAGACGTCCCTCTTATACTGCCATAACCAAACTTCTAAAATGTTTGGAAATTGTTAAAAATTATCGTGGTTTATATAAAAAATAGTGGAATGACATTTTATCATTAACCTTTACACATACTGCCGACTAGTTCTTCAGTTTATTCATAGCTTTATACTGAATTTACTGGGACACTTCCATCATCTGAGGTGCATCTGAAAAAAAAAACTAAGTACTTACAACTTATCTTTCTACAGATACGAAGTTTGTAAGGATGGGAGATGGTTTCTCAGAAACTAGAGAGATAGATGGATAAATAATTTATTTACATTACTTACAGCACACAAGTTACAATAAAAAAAAAAAAACATACATATAATACACAGTAAAAGAGATAAAAGAATGAAAATAAAAAAGCACAAAACAAAAAAAAAACAAAATATATAAACTAACAATCTCCCTTCTTTCCCTTCCTTCATGCGTGTGCCACAGTAACATAAAATGGTCACAACTCAGTTGATTGCTTTGCCCTTGAAAGAGCAAAACACTGATATTCTGTTGTGGCCAAGAGTCAGTCGCGAAATTCCTTATTAAAAATAATAATAATAAGAAATATAAATAAAATACAGTGTATGTGTCCAATTACATTCGCCTCCATTTGATATTATATTCTAAATAAATAAATAACAGATACCATTAGACGAGGGGTAGTCAGAGATCACTTTCTGTCACATTCAGGTATTCAGGCAATAAATATTTCCACTACGTACCCATTAGGTATGCCAATTTTTTGTTTATTAATTAAAAAAAATTTAAGTAGTTTTTTAAAATTGCGTTTAGTTTCAGACAATCAGTAAATTAGTAAAAACTAATCGATTTTAATTTGTAATATTATCATTGGATTTTTTTTTTAGTGGATGACAATGGAATGGTAACCCCACCCGCGCTATCGGTATACACCGGCGGGGCAACAGTGAAGGATGATAGATGAGGATGAAGTAGGTCAGTTAGCCCATCGTGACGAATTCAACAAGAATTGTTCACGATGGTTTCCAGGGGGAAACACGTGGAGGTCGACTTATAAGGCATATTGCTAGCAATGGGGCCGTCAAACTCCATAGCTAACAATCCCTTTCCCCCCATTATCGTTGGATTGTCTACGGTTGGGTGCGGCTCGATTATTTATTTACAATTTCATTAATTCGTATTAATACAGATTGTATTATTATTTAAATCCTTACAATTTTATTACAATATAACAAACTGTAATAAAGAAACATTGCCTTTTTTTATGCAACTTAGAATAGCAAACAAATTGACGGCCCACCTGATGGAAAGTGGTAACCGTCGCCTATAGACATGAGCAGTACCATGGACATAACAGAGTATACTGTTTCGCCCATGATACCCCCATGCGTTGCCATTCCTGAGGACTCAGGTGTTATTCCTCTGTACCAAGTAAATTCACGCCATATCCCACCCTTCAAACCGAAACACAGCCACGCAAACACAACTGCTTCACGGTAGAAACACTTTTAGAGTTAAGCTCGCCTTTGTACATTTGATCAGCTGTCTGTTATTTTTATGTATAATTAGTGTGTACAATAAAGTATTAAATAAATAAAAAATAGAATTAGAATTTAATTCTAATTACATTCACAGTAACTATTAAACCGATAACTACTGTATCCATTTTTATAAAATTTATAATGGACCAATCTATACACATATATATATATATATATATATATATATATATATATATATATATATATAAAACTATTTAATAATATTTCAATTTAAGTTTATCTATTTCTGTTAGAGGATTATGGTAAGCTGATATAAAATCGTTGATATAAACAGTTAAAAACTTGCAAAAATATTTCAGATAGAAAAAGAATTGTCCAAATCGGTTTACAACTGAAAGAGTTATTAAGTAACAAATACAAAAAAAAATACAACCAAATTGAGGAACTCTACCTTTTTGAAGTCGATTGGAAAACATACTTACTATCACCTCCGGCCCCGTCGTCAAACATAAACTCGTCCTGGTACTCTTTGAGGAACTGCTCCGAACGGTGCTCGTCCAGGAAGAGGGAGTAGACCTTCTTCACGTCTTCCATGCTTACCTGGTAGAAAAAGTATGTTTAGAATCATTTCCACGAGCTTTTAACACGAAAGAAAGAATAAAACATGCTTTAGTAAGTTTTTTTTTTATACAACTTAGAATGGCAAACAAGCTGATGGCCCACCTGATGGAAAGTGGTAACCGTCGCCTATACACATGAGCAGTACCGTGGACATAACAGAGTATACTGTTTCGCCCATGATACCCCCCACGCGTTGGCATTCCTGAGGACTCAGGTGTTATTCCTCTGTACGCTGTAAATTCACGACATATCCCACCCTTCAAACCGAAACACAGGCATACAAAGACAACTGCTTCACGGTTGAAACACGAATGGGACAGAAGTACTTAAGCAATCAATCATTCTCACCTATCATCACTCACTAGTGGCCCGTCCGTGCATACGATAGCGCAGGTGATTAAGCTAGGACTACTTAGTACAAAAGTTGTTTACTTGGGTATCTCAGGCTTCTTCGTTCGTCTTCACCTATCATCTCTGCAAGTGAACAATTAATCACGATGGTTTCTAGAGGAAACCGTGTAGAGGTCGACCTGGCAGTGTATAATGCTAGCAGTGGAACTGTTAGATCAGATTCGAGTATTAAAGACTTACTTCGGTGGCTTTCCTCCTCCTGGCGACGAGGGACGCGGTGGTGATGAGTTGGATGGCGTACCGCAGGGAGGTTTCCGTGGCAACTCGCGTCAGCACCGTGAGAGCATCCGCAGACATTTGGCAGTCTTCCTCCTCGCATCTAAACAAATGTATTGTTTATTAAATTTCCGCTCGCTACTTCGTATGCGTGGACTGCAAAAGTTTTGTTCACTATTATGGCGATAAACAAGCATACGGCCCGACTGATGGTAAACAATGGATATCGTAGCATGGCAGACTCTTAAAACGCCCTCTTTGAAGAATACCATGCTGTAATCTGTAGGGAAAGCCTTGGCAGGAAGGTCATTTCACAACCTGAACGTTCGTGGGAGGAAGCTCCTCTGAACTTTGGGGTTACCATTTGATTATCGTCAATTAAAAAATATATATTTTTTTTTTATTTTATTTATTCATTAGTACAAATATGTGTACATGGCGGACTTAATGCTAAAAGCATTTTCTCCCAGTCAACCATAGGGAACTGTCAGAATATTCGAATGCGGTACTAGTAATTATTGATATACATACATACTAAAATTATATATAAAAACGAATAAATATATATCGTTCGGGCCAATAATATAGAAATCCAGTCCACCAACTAACCTGATATTGAGTATCTCCCGCAGTTCCTGGTGAGAGTACGGCGTGGTTGGCACTATGATCATGCGGTCTAGCAGATCCAGGGGTATGCCGTGCGGGCTGCGGTAGTTGGTGCCCCTGATGCGAGTGATGCCGCGGTTGGTAGCCATGATCACGACGGGCGCAGTTTCCGACTCTAGCGCGCGGTTAAGGAACGAGAAGCATTCAATGTCCAGCATGTGGGCCTGGGGAACACAGATTTTTTTATAGATATCCTATAAAACATCATTAAGGGGCACACCTAGTGTGACATTTTCAAAAAATCGAATTTTTTTCTTCCTCTTCTTGAGCTTCTTCAGCTCAACTTTCACTGCACACACACAGCAGCACTTTTTGAGGAAGAGGAAGGTGAATTATATGGGCCTGGAATAGCAGATTAGCTGTAAGTATGATTTTAATCCATTTATAACAGTGAAAACGATCATTTTATCTTTAAACGCATTTTTCTCGAAACAGCATTTTTCGAATTTGCTGGAGTGATTACTCGGAGACAAATGATCCGATCGCTATCAATTTTTTTTTGCATCTCCTCTATATAGTTCTCCATACGATGACCCTCCAGTTTTTTGATCTGATCAAAAATCGAATTTAGGCAGGTCAAAAACGACCAAAATTTTGGGAAAAATTTAACTATTTTTTTCAACATGCCGCCATTTTGTCAATTTTTGATTTTTTTGTTCGCCCGAGGGTCATCGTACAGACAATATGTTTTAGTTTAACGAGAATTTTTTTTTAGGTTTTATCAACGGAGAAGGCTGCAATCACTCCAGCAGTGGAGGACCTTTTTTTTTTGGCGCCGCCGGAGATCGCGTGTCATTTCAAAAATATTTAATATTTTAATTCAAAAATTTTACTGTGTATTCTCAAAATATGTATAAATATACCCTCAAAATTTTAAGTAGATGGATTCACTAGTTTTTTTTTAATTCCCAAAAATGGCCTTTTTTTAGGTTGTCACACTAGGTGTGCCCCTTAAAAATTTTGGCCTTATCTACATTTTAATCATCTCTGCCTTATCGTATCACAAATTACATATACAGAGAAGCTGGCAGTGACCTTACTTCATCGACGAACAATACCACTGCTACAGTCTTGGCTTTACGATTTCAGGCTTCCCTGCCCTATCATTACACAAATTACATATACATAGTGATGGCTAACAGTGACCTTATCTCATTAATTAACAGCCTTCCTGGGACAATCTCGGACTTACCTAGTATTTCTTGTTACCCTGCCTTATATTATCACTAACTATATAAACAAGTACATAGAGTTAGCTGCCAGTGATCTTACATCATCAAATAACAGCATTTGTTGTACAATCTCGGCCTTACCTGCCATTTCGTGCTTCCCTGCCTTATGCTGTCACAAAATACATATATAGAGAGGTAGTTGGCAGGTCTTACCTCATCAACGAAGAGCACCCCCGGTATCATCTCAGCTTTACCCTCCTCGCGCCACTCCGCTACTTTGCTGTTGATCTGCTCGCGGATTTCTGACTTTATTTCACCGGTGTCCCCTGATGATGAAGAGATATATATAAATATAAATCTTTATTATTTTTACATAAGACTAGATACATCTCACGACTTCGTCTGCGTAACTTTAATAATACAGAATAATAGATTGAGAAGGAAAAGGATTGTTAAGAATAGAGTCTAACGGCCCTATCGTTAGCAAATCCTATTTTTCTTAATTCATGATTAATTATTATTAATTATTTAGAAAATAGTTTTGTAGGAGGTTATTATTATCATATATTCTTCATTGTATTTATTGTAGAAAAAAGATACTGAAAACAGTTTAACAATTTGTTAACAAGCGTGGACTTATCTCTGAAGGGGATCTCTTCAAGTTGACCTAACGCATTGAGAGAAAATGACTAGCGGGTCATCTAGTGCAGGAAAGGTGCAAAAAGAAAAATGAACTTAGCGTAAATGTAAATAGAATACCTACTAATAAACATACACAAATTTTGTTATTGCCCATTGTTGCCCCATTATCTTGTTTTTATTTTATTTTATTTATTTATTCTTTATTGCACAATAAAACTTTGTACAAGTGGCGAGCTTAATGCTATACGGCATTCTCTACCAGCTAACCATTAAGTGAGAACAGAAAGCGTATGAAGGGCAGATGTGGTGAATATATGAGTACAAATATATGACGTAATTACAGTAACATACTGAAATAATTATACATAGTAATACATAAGAAATACACATATAACACATAAATACTACTTATATTAATAATAAATTAAGTAGTTATACTAATATATATGAAATATATACATACATACATATATATACATACATACTTACACATACACACACATACATTTTTTTTTATACAACTTAGAATGGCAAACAAGCTAACGGCCCACCTGATGGAAAGTGGTAACCGTCGCCTATAGACATGAGCAGTAGCATGGACATAACAGAGTATACTGTTTCGTCCATGATACCCCCTATGCGTTGCCATTCCTGAGGACTCAGGTGTTATTCCTCTGTACCTATACATATATACATACATACATATTGTTGATTTTTAAAATCTGTATCATTCATTGAAGGGAAGAATAAAGAGTTATCATTCCTTCATTACCAGAGAACAAAGCCAGAAATCCGTGCGTTCTAGAGTTGATGACGTCAACTTCGTGAAGGGTGACCGTGTGTACCACTTCCTTACGCTTCTGCAGCTCGCCCTCTGGACACTGCACGAAGCGTGCTTGCTGACCTGATGGGAAAACGAAGAAATTATAACATTTTTATAGCACTCCACCCCGGCTTCGCTCGAGTTGAAGATACAGATATAAATTAGATATGAGCAGTACCTTGGACATAACAGAGTATACTGTTTCGCCCATGATATCCCCCATGCGTTGCCATTCCTGAGGACTCAAGTGTTATTCTTCTGTACCCTGTAAATTCACTGCACATCCCACCCTTCAAACCGAAACACAACTGCTTCACGGTTGAAACACGAATTCCCATTCGTGTTTACCATTACCATTCAGAGTTACCCAAGCAAACGACTTTTGAACAAAGTCTCCCTCTCATTTAAACTTTAGTGCCCATTTATATAAAGTTTTTATAACACAGGGGGATAAACAAGCATACGGTTCACCTGATGGTATACGACTACCGCCGCCCATGATCACCCACAACACCAAAGGTATTACAGGAGTGCTGTTGGCCTTTTAAAAAGGAATATGCTCCTTTCTTGAACGGTTACGATGTCGTATCGGTTCGGAAATACTGCTGCTGGAAGTTGATTCCAAAGAGTGGCTGTGCATGGGCTAAGTGGGTAAGGCAAGTGCTGTACTTGTACATTTTTTTTTATACAACTTAGAATGGCAAACAAGCTGACGGCCCACCTGATAGAAAGTGGTAACCGTCGCCTATAGACATTAGCAGTACCGTGGACATAACAGAGTATACTGTTTCGCCCATGATACCCTCTTCCATTGCCATTCCTGAGGACTCAGATGTTATTCCTCTGTACCCTGTATCCTTTAAACCGAAACACAGCTATGCTTGTTGCAACTGCTTCACAATAGAAACACGAATGGGACAGAGGTACCCAAGCAATCTACTATTGTACAAAGTCTCCCTCTGGTACATATGGTAGACTTAACATCTAATGGCGTTCTCTACCAATCAATCGTGATGCAAGCAGAAAATTAAATTTATCTGTTACAAACAAACATACAGACAATCAAATCTGTTCTGTTCATAATATTAATACAAATATGTATATATACCGGTGGCGTCGTAGTCGCGGGCGCGCGCGAAGCTTCTGCCCAACTTGTTGATCTTGCCTGTGGCCTTGTCGATGGTGATGACGTCACCAGCTTGCACCTGCCAAGTTATTCTTTATCATGACTCTAGTGCTGTGAATGGGGAGTAGAACCATAACACAAATGAGGATGTTCCAAGTATTTTTTTAATGGGTGATAATGGAACGGTAACCCCGCCTGCACTATTGGTATACACGGGACACCAGTGAGAGATAATGGATGGGTATGAAAACAGGTCAATTAGCCCATCGTGAGGAATTAAAAAATAATTAATCGTGACGGTTTCCAGGCGGAACCGCGTGGAGGTCGACCTTGTAGGGTATATTGCTAGCAATGGGGATGTTAGACTCTATTATTAACAATCTCTTCTCCCCCCCCCCCCTGTTCCAAGTATTAGGTAAGGCAGTTATTGAAGATTTTTGGCCTTACCTCCCATCCCAATTAACGCATCGTCACATATTTCTATAAACCCCCCCTCACCAATTTAAAAAAAAAAATTCTATTGTATTTTTTTGTTAAGTCAGAAGTCAATTTTTATCTGAAATGGGAGGTAAGGGAATCTTTGAAGATTTTTAACAGCAGTTGACAGCCAATATGATGATAAGTAAATATATGTTAGTTATCTAATATGTACAGTACACGCTTTGCTTAGTTTACAACTAGATGGCGTAGTTGATACCGAGTCCTATTTATTGGTTATTACTACCTTCTCTTTGAGCAGCGAGTCGATCATCTTGGCCCCCAATGTCGTAGTTGGTCTCCATGTCGGTGGTCTTGAGGGTGAGCCGGCCCACGCGGGCGCCGCCGCCGCCCGCCGCGCGCTCCACCACCACCTCCACCACTTCGCCCTCGATTATCTCCGATTCCTCTCTGGAAAGGGACATTGGATTACAGATCTGATTTTTTTGTATGTTTCTTTGTGATGGATAAAATAAAAAACTGGTTTAAATAATTTTTAAATCAAGATATATAAATATATAAGTTGTATATAAACAAATTATAAATGTATTTACTTACTTAATTCTGATTCCGATTGACTTTCTAATGGCTTGTGTTAGCGCTTCTGTCTTGCTCATTTCTAGTGAATAAATCTCAGAACCTGAAACAATTTCAGTGATATAAATTATATATTTTTTTTTTCATTTAAACCCTCGAGCATTTATGCATCATAGGCTGTACCGGTCAAAAATGTGGTACTCAGCGCTAATGCAACAGCATCTGTTGCATAACTCGAATTTGCAGCGTCTTTTTTATTTAATTTATGTAGGTAATAAACCTATTTATCCATAATGTCTAATCGAAGTTTGGTAATTTAAAAAAATCGGTGACGCAGTGGGTGTAGTGTGCTAGCCTAGAGCCAATCGCTCCACAGGTTAAGAGTTGGTTTCCTGTCATCATGTAACAAATTCATGCATTCTCTTCCAGTCAGCTTTATTATAGGTCATATCTTTGACCTCCCCATATGTCAAGACCATGTTTCCTTTATGTAGTTTTCTAATGTAGTTACTTCTCCATATTCCCGTTTCTCTATTACAGTTCCCAAATCTTTTTACTAATCTTATAAATGTAAGTGAATGGATTTCTTTTTAATAGCACATAAATGGCAAACAAGCATACAGCCTACCTGATGGTAAGCAGTTATTGCAGCCTATCATAGTAATAATAATTATTATTATAGCTTTTTATCCACTTGAGTGGTCCCCAAGGGTAAAAGCCTCCTCCATCTTTTTCCACTTCTCCTTATCTATAGCAATACTTGTCCAGTTTTTTCCTGCTGTCTTTTTTATGTCATCTGCCCATCTCTTTCTTTGCCTTCCAACATTTCTTTTTCCTGCTATCTGTTATATGCTGCTATATGTTTCCTGCTATATGCTGTTAATTGTCCACTGCTGAACTTCTCCATAAGCATTTTGCCAGTGTTTATCATGTTTGGCGGTATGATTTAATTCAAAATAGCTTTTGGTGATGTTTTAATAGAGATGCCGCTGCCTATACCTCAATAATTAAGTTCCCTTAGTTTCATATACAGAATGGCCCAAATGAGAGGCTAAGCGCAGAAAATAGAGTCCTATTTACATTTACAAGTTCCCTTAGTCCCTTCAAAACTCACAAGTGTGAATGTATGAAGGGAGTTTGTGACTTACTTTTAGGTTTTAATGTCTGATTAAAAGATCTTGTCAATCATAATTAGTATTAGGTAACCTCACCTGCCATGCTTGTAAATGGTGTGTCAGGACCGAGGGCCTGTGCGAGACCCATGGCAATGGCCGTCTTGCCTGTACCAGGCTGGCCGGCAAGTAGAACCGCTCGGCCAGCTATTTTGCCTGTAAATATTTCAATTTTCAAAATAGGTGATGCAACCATGCATGTCACAGATGTTCGGTTTCCATTAAGGGAAGTGACTGTATGTAATATTACTAGCAATGTATTTTATTAGGTCAACATTGATATGGTAGCTTTGGAAACCATAGTGTTTAATGCCTGATGAATTAGTCATGATGGACCAAAGGGGGAAAGGATTGTAAGTAATAGGGTCTACCAGCCCCTTTGCTAGCAATATAGTCTCCATGCGGTTCTCTTGGAAATCATCATAGTTAATTCTTGTGGAATTAGCCACCATGGACTAACTGTTCTGCCAGCGTATACCCATAGCGCAGGTGGGGTTACCATTCCATTTTCAACCATTAAAAAGACATGAGGGGCCAACTGACCTGACTTTATTTTCACCTATTGTGGTTACTATTCTTTTTTTTTTTAAGTGGTAACCGTCGCCTATAGACATGAGCAGTACCATGGACATTACAGAGTATACTGTTTCGTCCATGATACCCCCCATGTGTTGCCATTCCTAAGGACTCAAGATGTTATTCCTCTGTACCCTGTAAATTAACACCATATCCCACCCTTCAAACCGAAACACAGCCATGCAAACAGAACTGCTTCACGGTAAAAACACGAATGGGACAGAGGTACCCAAGCAATCGACTTTTATACAAAGTCTATTACTATTTATTAAAAAAAATTAGACTAGCATCGTTATTAAAAATCTGTTACCATAGCAACAATGTTTATTCGATACTAACCTTCTCGAATCATCTGTAAGATGACCCCGGCGGCCTTTCTTGCCATCTTTTGGCCAACCATGCCCTGAGACACAGCTCGTGGTTCAAGCGAGTCATCTAGCCCTAAACCTCGAATGTGAGAATGAGCGCCAATTCTCTCTATTCGTGTTATAGAACGCACTTCTTGCACTTGAGCTGCCGCTATCGACTAAAAATTCAAAATAAATAAATTTAATATCAATATTTTTAAATGAAATGGAATAAAAGTGAGGTTATATCTCAAAACACCGACTGAAGAATACAAGTAAATATTTACAATTTCATTAAGTAATCGTATAAAGATATACTTACAGCCATTTCAAATATTTATTTAGTTGAATTTGATGGGTAAATAAAATATTTTAATAAATTGCAAAAGGCACTAAGTTTATACGATAATATAGAATGAACAAACACAATACAATATACACAAAACACACTTGTACGATAAAGTTTCATTCGTTCGGGTCGCAAAAAATAATCACAGATTATACAGTTTGGCATAGATAAAGCAACAAAAATATTTATAAGCTTAGAATTCATAGTATGATTTTTTGGTTCACTTGATTAATACGACCTTTATAATAATACATGTATATATTGCTGTTTATAAAAAACAAAAATCTTCTTCTCTTATATAATTATATAATATAATATAATATATATATGATAATTTTCAGTTTCGCACACAAAAATTTCTTTCATTTAGCAAGTCATAAAATTAGTGTTCCTTAATTTTCTACCTGGTAATACAATCTTCCAGATTTTTAACTGACGTTTGTTTGTCCATACATGGCATCCCCATATCGATTTATCATTTTTATCGCATTTTGGGCTGTCCTATTATTGCAAAGTGAATTTTTCAACTAAACCAAAATGCTGGCCATCAGGAATATTCTTAGAAACAGCGCTCAGATGAGCAAAAATGTGATACAGCAACGAAACATGAGCGTACTGGCTGTTCCCGCTAGGACTAAGGTTTCCAAAGGAGTAAGTTGAAAAACAATTTTCATATTTTAAAACCCTATGAATTTATTAACTATATATATTATGAGGTACATAAAATAGTTTTATAATTAATTGTGGATCTGGAATTGAAGTTATTCTCTTTTCGGACTTCAAATTTAAAAAAAGAACGGGTTACGTAATTTTGCCAGAGATATAGGTTATGTTAGGTTTAGATTTACTACGTTTTTACTTCCACTGATTTCATTATGACTTTTTACCGCCTTACTTGAATTTATTCGACTAATATTATTGTTCCCTGTCGTACTTAAATCGGCAACTTTATGATTATTACTGACCCACCTCGGTTTGCATAGGTCTGCTTGTTTTTTAAATGTGAAAGTATTTTTTTTAATTACATAAGTATTGTTTGAGTTATCCAAAACAAAATATAAAATTTTTGCTCTATAATATTAATTTAGACTAGGTATACAAAGTAATTTTGTCTTGTCTCTATTTTAAAACTGTTAACGTAGTTGAATAAATGGTTAAAAACAAAAAATAAACTTTCTCTGTTGAAACATTTAATAGATAAATCCAATTATGGTTTAAAATGTTAATAAACACTTTTCTAATAAAATGTCAAATGATTCAGTAGGAGGTCACTTGGTTTTTCATTATAAATTTATGCATTGTATTATATATTTTAATCTACCGCCAGAACAAGTTCCATGTAGAGAAGGCAGGAAGAAGAGCATTTGCATAACTCATGTCTTTATATACATAGAATGCGCCCATAGAAATGCCTTGAGGAAAGCAGGTCTTTTTCATACAAATTTGCAAGATAAATAGTTATGAGTGATTCCTTTATAACTTGTATATTTATTTTGTCTTATAATTTCTGTATCTTTTTAATGTGTAAACACTCATTAAATAATATGTCAAGATACATTTTATGTGTAAGTTTATAGAATACTGATAAAAAAATGAGTAAAAAAAAACCAGACAAAAAATTGAGCTGTTTTTGAGACCCAATGCTCTATTTATATAATCTAAGCTCGTGTCATTTATGTATGCCAGCTCTATTAACTTCTCCCTCGGATAGAACACAGTCTTATGTGATCATATCAAGTTAGTGTAGGTCTCCTCTTGTAACTAACTTAATTACTTGTTTTACTTTAATAATATTATTCTTTGTTCCAGGAGGTGATATTTCTATCAACTCTGATGGTCCTCGGCTGGTCAGCAATCCCAGCTTGGGTGCTTGTCAACATCAAAAATTATCGTGAAAAGAACTAAATTACATAGACATTTGTAGATTATGGCATAAAATGTTAATTTGTGATGCAGTTTTATTATAAGTAAAATAAATATAAATATTATTATGTTTTTAATTACATTTCCAATTAATCTAGTCCAAAATAAAAACAATGTTGGTTATTCTTAATTATTTAATCATTAATCACAGTTACATAGTTTCCGCTTCTCATTAAAAATCATTATTTCATATTCCTTGGTCTATGTTCTGAGCCATAAAGTGGCTACACTGACGACCATAAGCAAAGGCGACGTTTTCACCAATATGGCGGCATCACGGGAAATTGGCGCGCATTCTCTTTCCAACCATTCGAAATCTTCTGTGAGGTTTCTCTCTTTTAAAATTGGTCCGATTGTCGCTAACACCCGTGCATGATAGTCGTTTAAGTACTTAATCTGAAATAATAAAAAAACAATTAAATGGAGATACCAGTGTCCCGTCAGCGTATATAGACAGCGCATGCGGGGTTACCATTCGATTATCGTCAATTAAAAAAAAAGTACATCGAGTAGATATGTATAAAACTTACTTCTAGATCATCCAAGAGTTTGACATCAAGGCACGCGGTCTGGTGGGGCACCAGCGAGATGGTATGAAAGCCAAGGGCTCCGGCCCCACCGAAATCGCCCACAATGCTCTCCGCCTGTTTACATTAACATTTCTTTTAAAATATTTAGGTTACTTGCTCTTTGAATAACTATGGCATGAGGGAATTCGGACTATCGGCACCATTGTTAGGAATATACCCTGTCTGGATAACCTTCCCAGGGTTCCATCTAGAAAATATAAAACTGGTATTAAATGTTAGAAAAATGTAGGTAATTAGCAATAGTAATAACAACAGAAATAGATAAACTCTTCCTTTCTTTCTATTATACTATTAATATACTAGCATATTTTATACCTTCTTTGTGTAATTTTTTTTTATACCACAGGTGGCAAACAAGCATACGGCCCACCTGATGGTAAGTGGTTACCGTAGCCTATGAACACCTGCAATACCAGAGGTATTACGCGCGCGTTGCCGATCCTGAAGAAACCTCTTTACCCCCCTTTTGAAGAACCCCATGCTGTAGTCTCTTGGGATAACCACGGCAGGGAGCTCATTCCACAACCTGAGCGTTCACGTTATGAATAGTGTGCAAAGGTTTTGACAGCTCAGTTGGAAAACGTTTGGCTGCAGTTCAGGGATCTCAAGTTCTAATCCGAGCCTCTGATTTTAAAATCAATATTTGAAATTGCAATAATTTAAAAATATTTATCCCTTAAATTATCGCTTCGCCCTTTGAAGCACAGATGAAGCAGTGTCATCTGCTAAGTTACGTAAGAAGACTGCACTCAGATCAATCCAGGTTTTCTCTTTGCCCGCCTTGAATTGGTGTGGGACGTGTGAGGTGGGGCGTCGAGGCGAACCCCATTACCCCAGCATCTCTGGAGGCTAGGGTCTCCGGTTCACTGGGTTTTAAACCGACATACACAAGGCGTTGTGTATGTCGGCGTGGCATCTTCTTTGTGTACTAAAAAGGCGGCCTTGGAAACTTGGAAACTCTGGACTCTAGAGGGTGACACTCTTACATGAGTATTAGCGTAACGTGTAAAGGAACATAAAATATAAAAGTAAACAAATGTAAAATCATACAACTTACATGTATATGATCAGCGTCTTTAGTCACAGCTATTACTTCCACCACGTCCTCATGCCGGATTCCGTATTCTTCGACTTCATAGTAGCCAGGTTCTTAAAAAATATAAAAAAAACTAGATATTCTGATTTATATTAATAATATTCACCCGTAATTCCGTTCTGCTGTTTTAACGTTAAAATAAATAGCTATTTTTTTTTTTATGGAAGATCGTTACAAGCATTCTAAATTTCACTTACCGAAGTATGGCAACAACGCAATTATCAGTCAATTAAAAAAAAATATTTTGACAATTGCCAATGTTTCTGACCTTAGTTTCTGAATAATTATTTAAAAAAGTACTTTGCTAGCGAACTGAAATTTGAATCATAGAACATGTTGCACCCTAAGATTGCCTGTTAAAATATTTCCTATAGAGTTCCTTGCTCTGAATAATTATAGCATGGGGGAATACGGAACATCAGTTCCATTGCCAGCAATACATAATATTAACCGTCACTTATAGACATGGGAAGTACTATGGACATAACAGAGTATACTGTTTCACCCATGATACCCCCCCCCCCCCATACTTTGCCATTCCTGTGAACTCAGGTGTTATTCCTCTGTACCCTGTAAATTCATTACCATATCCCACCTTTCAAACTGAAACACAGCCATGCAAATAACTGCTTCATGGTCGAAACATGAATGGGACAGAGGTACCCAAGCAATCGACTTCTGTACAAAGTCTCCCTCTGGTAACTAACTACTAAACTAACCATTACTGAATATCATCTTCTCCACAATTCCAGGGTCCGTGCTGCTCGGTCCCGAGAGGATCCAGGAGGGTCCCTCGTGGACGTTGAGGAAGTGGCCCAATCCGTGGCCAGTCCCGTGTCCGTAGTTCAGCCCCACCTCCCAGAGGGATCTACGAGCGAAGCTTTCTAGCGTGTGCCCCTTCAACCAAGCAAAATTACAATTGAAAGAATTAATCATTTCTGTTTACCCCAAATGGGAGAGAAATACAGATATTTTTTTAAAGTATTTTATTTATTTATTTATATTTTATTGTACACAATAATTACATTATTGTAATTTATTTTAAATAAAGATGTACAACAGGCGAGCTTAACTCTGGAAGAGTTCTCTTCCAGCAAACCTTGTGTGGAAAGGAGCATTTATTAGCATTAATAATTTTACTAATAAAGAAAGTTGACGTCAGGCAGGCGGCCGGTCGTAGAACTATAAAATAACATAAATTACCAGCGGGCAGTGTGCGTACAATAAGAAGAGGTAATGGTATGGTTGGGGGGGGGGGGAAAGGGATTGTTAGTAATAGAAACTAAAAATCCCATTGCTAGCAATATACCTAACCAAGTCGACCTCCACGTGGTTCCCCCTGGAAACTATCATGATTAATACCTGATGAATTCATTATGATAGGCTAACTGGCCTGTTTTCATTCTCATCTATCACCCTTCACTGGTGCTCCGCCAGCGTATCCCGTTAGCGCAGGCAGAGTTACCAATCCATTTTCATCCAACAAAAAAAAATGGTATGGTTGTTTCTATTAAGAAATTATTTATATTTTAATTTTTTTTATGTATTGGTAATAAAAAAAATCCATTTTGAGTTCTAACACAAGTTATAAGGAATGGGTTACATGAATTAAGTTACTAATAATCTCAGACACGTCTTTGCGAAGCTTTTTCACATCCTGGAATGAATATCGCATCCAGATCCTCCCCATCCTTCCCCATAATACGCCCCTAGTGATCTGTCTGTGTAAAGGAAGTTACCACAGTGCCTCTTGGGAAGACGACAGTGGCCAAGCTGATCTGTCCCTTCATGACCCTGGTGAAAGTCATCCGCTGTGCATCCGTGGGTGATGCGCTCATGTGACGCGTACGGGTTATGTCCGTCGTACCATCCCTGTAGAGGAAAAAATAAAGGGGAAGAAGATAGTGAGCTTTACGTGCCTAACTGTCTTGGACGACTTAGAAGAGAGCGGCAGCGAAGAAGAGAATACTTCACAGACAATAACTACACGAGACATGGCTACTCATTGCCGACAACATCGTTGTCTCCGGTCGTCATTATCCCTGACTCTACTCCTGCCTCTAACAACGTCTTCACAGACTATGCGAAGTGAAGCCCACAGTGCGAGGCGAGACTCTGTGACACAAAGCGCCAAACACAGGGGGTGTTTGGCGCTTTGTGTAGACTTCCGGATGAAGTCCAAACAATTGTCGGAAACGACAAAAACACTATGTGTTCTTTAATTTTCCGTTATATATTTATATAGACATAAAAAATAAACGGGTTTAAAGATTACATTGTTATTTAAAGTTCCATCTGGACTATTTACTAAAGGGAGACTTTGTACAAAAGTCGATTGCTTGGGTACCTCTGTCCCATTCGTGTTTCAACCGTGAAGCAGTTGTGTTTGCATGGTTGTGTTTCGGTTTGAAGGGTGGAATATGGCGTGAATTTACTGGGTACAGAGGAATAACACCTGAGTCCTCAGGAATGGCAACGCATGGGGGGTATCATGGGTGAAACAGTATACTGTGTTATGTCCATGGTACTGCTCATGTCTATAGGCGACGGTTACCACTTTCCATCAGGTGGGCCGTCAGCTTGTTTGCCATTCTATGTTGTATAAAAAAAAATTTGGATGAGTGGCGGTTCTACTGTGTATTTCAGTAGACATCTTCTTCCACGCACAACTAAAGTATGGAACCAACTACCAGCAGCAGTATTTCCGAACAGATATGATTTTGAAACCTTCATGAAAAGAGAATATGCCTTCCTACAAGGCCAGCAAACACCTGTAATTTCTCTGATGTTGCGGATGCTGGTGGGTGACGGTAATCACTATCAGGCGACCCCATGACCGTAGCAAGGAGGGGGGAGAGGCATTGAGGGGTAATCCTCATCATTTCAGCCATTATCCGTCCACTGCTGATCATAAGCCTCCCCCATAGTCTATGGGGGAGGCTTAACCATAAATAACGGTCCCGACCCACCTGCATCCACTGACTCCCTGCAATGCATTTTAGGTTGTCGCTCCATCTAGTGGGGGCATCAAAGGCCCAATGTCCTACCTTAAAATGCAAGGCTTCAAGAAAGTTGGACAGATTGGCTTTTTCGAAGTCACTTAATTATGGCTTCTGACCTACCAAAAACTACTTTTGCCCTACCTTAAACTTGGGTCTAGCTATACAATCTTGTGCCAAATACTTGATCACTCACTTGTACTGTCCACCGGAGTCGACTAAGAGCATATCGTTTCGTCCGATCACCCGTGAGCCCTCCAGTGGTGGCTTGTAGTGGATGACAGCACCGTTTTTACCAGCCCCCGCGATAGTTGCAAATGACGGGCCGTGGGAGTCCACTTCCATGCTGAAAGGTAATGAAAGGTAAACTTTGATGACAATAGCTTATAATGCATCATCCAATAAAACCTTTTGTCATGGTTACTCCATATGTAATAGTTAACTATATTAATGGTATACGCTGGCAGATCAGTGAAGAATGATAGGCGAAGATGAAAGAGCAGGTCTTTTTTTATGGGTGAGAATGGCATGGTAACCCCGCCTGCGCTATCGGTATACACAGGCGGGGTACCAGTGACAGTGATAAGTGAAAATGAAAAGGCAGGTCATTTAGCCCATCGTGACGAATTCAACGATAAATTTGTCACGATAGTTTCCAGGGGGAACTTTGTGGAGGTCGACCTGATATTTTGATAGCAATGGGGACTAACCTTCTTATTACTAACAATCCCTTCCCCCCTGAAAGAGCAGGTCAGTTAGCTCATCGTGATGAAAACAACTGGAACTTAGCACGATGGTTTCCAGGGGGGATTACATGGTGGTCGATCTGGCAGGGTATATTGCTAGCAATGGGACTGGTAGTCTACGTTACTAACAATACCTTCCCACCGTACAATATGTTGTACAAATGGCAAGCTTAATCCGAAAAGATATCTTTACACATTGGTCCTATAGAATTTTTATCAAATACGGTTTAGTATTTTAATTTTTAGATCGAAATAAATGGTTTTGACACAAGTAGCTTTTTTTTTTGTAGGATCTTTAATTATATGTTATCAATTTATGACTAGCCTCATTGCTAGCAATATGCCCTGTAGGGTCAACCTCCACGTGGTTCCCCCTGGAAACTATCGTGAACAATTCTTGTTGAATTCGTCACGATGGACTAACTGACCTGCTTCATCCTCACCTATCATTCTTCACTGCTGCCCCGCCGGTGTATACCGATAGCGCGGATGGGGTTACCATTCCATTATCATCCATTTAAAAAAATATATCTAATGACTACCATTTACTTGAGTATCCCCATCATTTCATAGATCCTATGTGTTACCCTAACGATATTCCGCGGTTAAAGATATCTGTAGTCCCCTGGCTCCGGATAAGCCGTTCCCAGTAGACTCATACGCATACTTGTCAACGAATCGCAGTTGCACATCAAGTGTTCCATGGATTCCGATCTCTCCCCGCACAGCCTGCACAGTGTGTCCGAAGATAGCACCAAGTACATACCGTCTGAACTCCTCAAGTTTATCTGAGACGTCAATCTCGGTGATGTTGGCCCCAGCCGCGACCTGCTCCTCCACCCACCTCAGACCCCTCACTAACGCCACACCGTCCTTGATGTGTGCATTACGGAAGCCCTGAAGAAAAAAAAAAAACTATTTATGAATGAATCATCGTCATCATGCCGATGCAGCCCGGACATAGTGCCAAGTGATTACCACCTGTTCCTGTCCATGGCGAACGCCCTTGGTGGTGTAAAGTTAAACTCAAAAGAGGCTTGTGAAAAGTGGTTGTCCGAGTTCTTCGCAAATAAGGAGGGGGGCTTCTCCGAGGGGGGTATTATGAAGTTGCCGTCTAGATGGAAACAGGGGGCCTACCATGAAATGAAATTCCGAATTTTCGGGCTTTATTTCGTGTTTTTGTTCGTACCTAAATCGACCCAGTAAATGGAGCTTAACGTTTCATTTATCATAAATCCTATCCTAATAGTTCAGAGGAACGATATTTTAATATTTTTAATAATTTTAAACGGCATGTATTATGTAATTTTAACATCAAATTTCTATTACGTTCGTACCCGAAATTTTGGAAAATATTTCATGGTAGGTCCTCAGATTATCGAACAAAACGGCGCATATTTGAACTAAATCCGATCACTGTAACACTTTTTATAAAGCATTGAATAAAGAGCAAAAAAGCGGAAGGGAGACATTTAACAACAATATATATATATATATATATATATATATATATATATATATATATATATATATATATAACTTATGCAGTAATTATATTTATACATTACTTACCTGTAATTCGACATCGTTCTTCACGCATTTTATAAGAGCCACAGGCGAGAGCGTCGAACGAATATTAACGTTACCCTGTAACAATAAGGTACAATATTGCATACGTTTATTCAGTTACTCAGTCTGTTAGAATCATAGACTGAGCATAATGCATTACATACTTAATTTAAGGTTGGACGTACGATAACGTAATACGTGTCAGAATAGATCTAAGAACAAGGAATGACATGGAAGGAATGATAAAATAAAAACTGTAAATCATATGGTTGCCTCCTTTCTTCTTATGCAAATATAATTAGTAAAAAGAGGACGAAAGATACACCATCAGTTGCTATTTTTGTTAATTCATAGCAGGCTAGTGTATAGAAAATGTTTGATATGTCAATTATTTGTCATTGACAAATTTTACATTACTAGATTATATATTGGACACAGTTTGTGTAGAAAGTATGCAAGCAGGTTGTATCTGAATTTGGTAGGGTTATACGGCCGTAGGTATAACATTTATAAAGTTTAGTGATCTTTTCAATAATTTCTATTGAAAAATTATACCACATATGAGAGATAGTTTTTAATGGATGAAAAAGGAATAGTAACCCGTATACGCTATTGGTTTTCGCTGGAGGGGTATAAATGAGTTATATAAAAAAAAACTTACGGATTCTGCAGCTAGAAATATAGCATGACTCGCATCGTTGGTCAGCCATATTGTGCTGTCTATGGGTAGAGAGTTCTGAAAAAATATAGAAATAAATTGGTGAAATAAGTATAAAAAAAAGTTATGCAAGTATTCGTGTGGTCTCGACATAGCCCGTGGGTATTGTAAGAGCCGACTAAGGGAACTTAATGGTCCAGAAATGTACAGAGTTTTTAATAAGAGCAGTAGCATACAATCTTAGATTATAGGGGGGAAAGGAATTGTTAGTAATGGAGACTGAGAATCCCATTGCTAGCAATATACCCAACCAGGTCGACCTCCTCGCGGTTCCCCCTGGAAACTGTCATGGTTAATTCCTGATGAATTCATCATGATGGGCTAACTGGCCTGTTTTCATTCTCATCTATCACCCTTCACTGGTGCTCCGCCGGCGTATCCCGATGGCGCAGGCGGGGATACCATACCATTATCACCAATTAAAAAAAAAATCTTAGATTATATAAACAGAGTGTCTCCATACAAATGCTTCGAGAAAAGCGAGCCAACTTTTCCATACAATTTTGCGTGACAAATAGTTATGTTTCCTTTATTACTTCTATATCTATGTAATTTGTTTTATAATTTTTGCATATTTTTAATGAGTAAACAAACATTAATTTTATTTATTATTTAATTAAATATTTATTTATTTTATTTATTTATTTATTTAACACTTTATTGCACCAACATAACATGATTTGTTAAAACAATTTTCAATACGTACAGTGTAGTACCTAAATATATACAAATATAGATACGTCAAGATACATTGTATGCGTAAATTTATAGAAAACTGATAAAAACGAATCAGCTGATTTGAAAATTAGCTGACAAAAAGTTGACCCGTGTTTAAAGCTCGATGCACTATCTATATAATCTAAAGCATATAATATGATATACATATATTTTTTTTAATTTTTGTTTTATCCGGTAGATTTCTTCCAGCAAACCTTTTCATGTGAAATGGATGTTATTTAAAAAATAATAATAGGCAGTCATACGGTCCGCGTACATTGTATAAGCACATTCGTAAAAAGTTTTCCATTAAATAATTCGTCTGTCAAATCTCTGTATTCTGTAGGTAATTTATTATACATTTTAACTGCCATTTTCTATCTCCTTCTTACATTCTCTCCGTTCTACGTTCTCCTTTAACTAAAGGTTGTCTGTAAGAGATTGCCCTAGCGATAAGACCGCCTCTTGTACCTTTATGTGTATATTTCAATCTGTATTTATGTTACTGTATTTCACTTGAATTATTCACTTGTCATTGTATATTTTTATTTGTGGTGCAATAAAGAGTTAAATAAATAAATATAGTGACAATTTATTTTATTTCTCTCACAAAATGACAAGATAATAAAGTTTACAGCTATATATGTAGGTTGCAATTTAAAAACAATCTTTGTGAGAGACTGGTGTCGGTAATAGAATTACCCGTCTTACAGATCACCACGCTCCCAAACTCAAGGACGTCTATTTTACTTGATCTTTAAAGGTAAGAGTATACAAGTTAATAAATGAAATTAGGATTTTTTTTTTTTAATATCTTAAGGGCTTTTACCTTCTTCAGGTATATCAGTCCTATTGTACCCTGAACTGATTTCTCCAACAAAACTTTATCTACCTTCCCTAGACGCGGAAAGAGAAGAATTAATGGGCATCAATAATTTACACAGATGTTCAAAAATTTCTGGTTTGAGTTCAGCTAACATAGTTTGAATAAGACCAACATTCAATTTATTTAAGTTAAAATGGCGCATGAATTCTTAATTTTATAATCTACGTGTATGTATATGTACGTAAATTCTTGTTGTACAATACCAATCTATGTCGAGGCACTATAAGTGGTCACTGTGCAACCTTTCTCCTTAATAAACACATTTCATCTTTCTTAAAAATTATGGTAATAAATGTGGCCTTTGAAATGTGGTGCTGGAGAAGTATGGAGAAAATTAGCTGGAGGGAACGAATTAGCAATGAGGAGGCCCTGCTTAGGGTTAAGGAAAAACGACAAATTATTAGAACTATTGAGGACAGAAGGGGAAAAATGTTGGGACACTTGATACGACACGACGAACTTATGAACATTATAATAGAAGGAAGGAGGGGGAGAGGGAGCCCGAGACATAGTTACATCAGGCAGATCGAGGAAGGAGTTGGTGTCGTGTCGTATCAAGAGGTGAAGAGACTCGCTGCAAATCGTAGTGAGTGGCAAGAGCTCCACCGACAAGAGCGCAGCTCTTAAATAGGATAGATAGATAGAAATAAGATTACTAACCGAATATTGAGACAAATAGTTAAATATATCCGAGTAATCTCTGGTTTGAATCTGCAACCCCTCGGACTGGAGGTGATCTGATATGTTACTGTGCAATACGCCGTTGCCCCAAAACAAAATGACGTTTTCTGGAGATGACTGTAAAGTAAAAAATGCTGGTTAACTCTATAAGGTTTTTTTTTATACAGCTTAGAATGGCAAACAAGCTGACGGCGCACCTGATGGAAAGTGGTAACCGTCGCCTATAGACATGAGCAGTACTGTGGACATAACAGAGTATACTGTTTCGCCCATGATAACCCCAATGCGTTGCCATTCCTGAGGACTCAGGTGTTATTCCTCTGTACCCTGTAAATTCACTGCCATATCCCACCCTTCAAACCGATACACAGCCATGCAAACACAACAGCTTCACGGTAGAAACATATATGGGACAGAGGTACCCAAGCAATCGACTTAGTATATTTCAAGTGGAAAGGGGTGGGGACATATTATTAGTAATGCGGACTACCAGTTCCATTACTAGCAATATATCCTATTAGGGCCACCTTCACATGGTCTTCCTGGAAATTATACGACATTATAACCTTCAAGAAAACAGCATATTCCTTTTTAAAAAGCCGGCAGCACACCTGCAATGCCGCTGGTGTTGTGGGTGATCATGGGCGGCGGTAGTCACTTACTATCAGGTGAGACGCATGCTCGTTTGCTTCTTGTGTTGTAAAAAAAAACTATTGTGCTGAATTCCAGGTGTATTTATCACGATGGGCTAACTGACCTGCCTTTTCGTTCTGACCTATCATCCCTTACTGGTGCCCCGCCAGCGTATACCGTTAGCGCAGGCGGGGTTACCATTGCTTCTTCATCTATTAAAAAAAGTATATCTTAGGTATGTCTTATACTTCCTCAAATCCCTGTCTTCTGTCATTTCCGAGCTTACTCCTCTTTCATGCACATCATCCTTCACACACTCCATCCACCTTTTCTTCAGTCGTCTCCTTCCTTTCATCCATCCATCTACTTTTATAACACTTTCTTTAAATCATGGCTTTTATTTCAGCGAATGACATGACCATACCAAGACATTCTATTACGTCGTAATTTCTCCAATACTGGTTCGACTTTCAGAGTTCCCCGTACATTATCATTCCTTATTCCTTCATTCCTTGTCACCCCAAATATCCATCTTAACATTCCCATTTCTGCGATATGTATTCATCATCCATCGATTTCACCAGAGGGAGACTTTGTACAAAAGTCGTTTGCTTGGCCACCTCTGTACCATTCGTGTTTCAACCGTGAAGCAGTGGTGTTTGCATGGCTGTTTCGGTTAGAAAGGTGAGATATGGCAGTGAATTTACTGAGTCCTCAGGAATGGCAAGACATGGGGCGTATCATGGACGAAACAGTATACTCTGGTACGTCCATGGTATTGCTCATGTCTATAGCGACGGTTACCACTTTCCATCAGGTGGGTTCTTAGCTTGTTTGCCATTCTAAGTTGTATAAATAAAATTGTTTTGCACTTACCACATTATCTTTTATAATTAAGTACGAGAAGAACACAGGGTTGTAAGGTATGTCGGAGCCCCGGAGATTCAGCGTGTCTGAAACGATTTTTGTCATTAACGTAACCGGTTTAACTTACTTTTTTTTTTAATGCTTGCTTTTATGCAGAGATGCCCACCTCTGTCCCATTCGTGTTTCATCCGTGAAGCAGCTGTGTTCGCATGGCTGTGTTTTGGTTTGATGGGATATAGCAGTGAATTTACTGGGTACAGAGGAATAACACCCGAGTCCTCAGGAATGGCAACGCATGGGGGGTATCATGGGCGAAACAGTATACTCTGTTATGTCCATGGTACTGCTCATGTCTATAGGCGACGGTTACCACTTTCCATCAGGTGGGCCGTCAGCTTGTTTGCCATTCTAAGTTGCATAATTTTTTTTTTATAATACACAATTTTCATTTACAATTCACAATATCCGTCGTTAACTGCTGAACATAGGTTTCCCTCATTGTATGGGTTTGCCACTCTTGGTAAGTGGATTGGCAACCGTCATCGTACATCGCGCAGTCAGGCCCACGCTCGCGTCAGCCGCTCATGATTAAGGGTCACGAATTGATCCCGAAACTAGTCGAGATTTCTCAACCTAATTGCAAGTAAGTTAAACCGGGGGGAAAAGGGATTGTTTGCAATGCAGTTTGACAGCCCCATTGCTAGCAGTATGCCCTATTAGGTCGACCTCCACGCAGTTCCCCCTGGAAACCATCGTGATTAATTCTAGTGGAATTAGTAACGATGGGCTAACTGATCTGCTTCATCCTCACCTATCATCCTTCATTGGTGCCGCGCCGGTGTATACTGATAGCGTAGGCGGGGTTACCATACCATGTTCACCCATAAAAAAACCAACCGAATTGAAAACCCCCTTTTTGAAGTCGTTTGAAACACTTACAAGCAATGTCATCCAATGCGGTCAGGACTAAGGCTGAGGCACCAGCTGATCTTATCTGTGACAGCAACTCGGCGATTTTGTCACTCGACCTTCTACCTGTGGGAGAAAAAGTAACAATTATGTGTATGTATATGTAGTACTAGCGGCCCGTCCCGGCTTCGCACGGGTAGACACTTTTACAACATTTTAAAAAGTGGTTATTGTGACATAACGATAATAGTTGGACATATAGTATCGTAATGTTTTTTTTGTATTGCAATGCTTGTATTGTAATGCTTTTTAGGTATTGATATTTTCTTCAATATTGTAGAACATACTTTTGTTCTATCACCAATAGTTTCCGCAGCGCACGCGACCAAAGATATTTTATAGCATTTTTTTACACCTTGAGTTACGTTACTAAAGTTTTAGTAAGGATCCCTAATCTTTTCTAGCAATAAATACAGCCTATGTTACTCAGGGTGAATGTAGCTTTCTAATAGTGAAAGAATTTTTGAAATCGGCAAAGTAGTTTTTCAGTTTATTCGTTACAAACATACACACAAAAATACAAATCTTTCCTCTTTATAATATTAGTGTAGATGTAAATATATTATTTGTTATAATAAATAGTCTAATAAACAATATGTATTTGATGTTTTTGTCCATTATACGTAAAAAATATTAATTCACTCTTGCGCCACCTGCCCATGTCTATCTGTTCTCCTTTAACCAAAGGTTGTCTGTAAGAGATTGCCCTAGCGATAAGACCGCCTTTTGTACCTTTATGTGTTTATTTTGATCTGTACTCCATGCTACTGTATTTCACTTGAATTGTTTATATGTCATTGTTTATTTTTATGTTTTGATGCAATAAAGTGTTATATAAATAAATAAATTATTACATACTTTTTTTATGAGTGAAAATGGAATGGCAACTCGCCTGCGCTAACGGTATACGCTGGCGGAGCACCAGTGAGAGATGATAGGTGAGAATGAAAGCAGGTCAGTCAGCCTACCATAATGAATTCATCAGGAATTAACTATGATAGTTTCCAGGGGAAACCGCGGGGAGGTTAACCTGGTTGGGTATATTGCTAGCAATGGGATTCTCAGTCTCCAACTAACTAACAATCCCTTTCCCCCCATTATTACACACTATCACCCCATTTTCGCCGTGTACAACAAGTCAAATCGCGACAAACAACCAAATTGTTTTGGCATTCATTAGCCGCATTGCCTACTGCTAAATATAGGCTTCTCCCATAGGAGAGTTGTTGCCAGTAATTGCCACGCTTGGTAGGCGGGTTGGCAACCGCAGTTAGACTTTGGTAATGTTTTAAGTTGTAGGTTGGAATTTGTGGAAGAATATGTTTACCTAGGTCAAATTATATCTCCCGAGGATTTTATGTCCAAGGAAATAAATAAAAGAATAGCTTGCGGATGGAAAAAATACTGGTCCTTAAAAGAAATAATGAAGAATAAAGATCTAAGCATGCACATCAAGCGAAATACTTTCAACACTTGTATCCTCCCGTGCATGACATATGGTTGTGAATCATGGGCTCTGACACACCAGCAAAGAGAAAGATTAGCTAGTACACAAAGAGCAATGGAAAGGAGCATGTTGGGCACCGTGATTAATGATCAAATCAGAAATTCTGAAATAAGAAGAAAAACTAATGTTACAACTATAATAACTCTTACAGAGCATTTAAAATGGTGTTGGACAGGACATATGCTACGTTGCAATATTGACAAATGGAGTAAACAAGTAACTTTATGGTATCCAAGAGAAGACACTAGAAGAAAGGGGCGTCCGAAAATAAGATGGGTAGACGACATCCGTCAAACCTTAGGACCTTACTGGAGTAGAGTGGCGGAGGATAGAGTTCAGTGGAGAGTGCTGGAGGAGGCCTATGCCAGGAGGCACACCGAATTGAGAGATATATTATAATAAATAGAAAGGGAAAATATGTCTTACTAGGGTTATAGAGAATTCGGAGTAAAAGAGCTATATATATATATATATATATATATATATATATATATATATATATATATATATATATAATGTTTTAAGAGGAACGCTGCTGCCCATCCTTCAAGCTTCATCCATTCCGTGATTAGACATACTTAAGGAAGTTTCGTAGAGGAACCTTACCTGTAAAATCCACAGTGAGGGCGATCAAATCATTATTAGGTCTCGGAGGTGGTGGATCGCCGATATTGGTTCTGGCTATATCAACCAGGTTCTCTGATATTGCTTCTAGAGTTACGTTAGATGCTTTCAGTGCAGTCTGGAAGCAGAACAGAGATTATTTTATACAGTAAGTAATCAAAGTAAAAAAATCATGAATTCTTTATGAAGAAGCTGTGAGAATAGTTCATCATCATTATCGTTGGTTATCATCTGTTATTAATTCCTTTTCACCTTTGAAAAAAACAAGCACTTGGCCATTGGTTTTTTTTTTGATGGGTGAAAATGGTATGGTAACCCCGCCTGCGCTGCGGGATACGCTGGCGGAGCACCAGTGAAGGGTGATCGATGAGAATGAAAACAGGTCAATTAGCCTATCCTGATGAATTCATCAGGAATTAACCATGATAGTTTCCAGGGGGAACCGCGAGGAGATCGACCTGGTTGGGTATATTGCTAGCAATGGGATTCTGTCTCCATCACTAACAATCCCTTTCCCCACTCTCGGCTATTGGTTGAAGTCGTTCTGGAAACCGAAATACAAGGTGCAGGCTAATTATTTAGTGCATAGATAAGTGGGATTATAGAAAAACCTGAGCGTTCCAGCTCAGTCAAGGAACCGTTTGATAGTTTTTTTTATGCAACTTAGAATGGCAAACCAGTTGACGGCCCACCTGATGGAAAGTGGTAACCGTCGCCTATAGACATGAGCAGTACCATGGACATAACAGAGTATAGTGTTTAGCCCATGATATCACCCATACGTTGCCATTCCTGAGGGCTGTGTTATTCTTCTGTACCCTGTAAATTCACTGCCTTATCTCACCCTTCAAACCGAAACACAGCCATGCAAACACGACTGTTTTATGGTTGAAACACGAATGGGACAGTTGACTGCAGTCCTAAGATTTCTCTATATGTATCTATTTCACATGTCTCTGTCCCTGAACGTTTTCTATAATGATCAATTTCACCTACAGATCAATTAAAGATGTCACTGCTCGACAATGCAGTTCAATTTACACGGAGTGGTTACTCCAGAACTCTTCTTTCGATGTTACTTCTTGGATGACAGATTCTTTGCAACCTTCGTTTGTTTGGAACAAAATTTTATCACCATTAACAAGTTAAGGTACAGAAAGATAATCTTACTACTACCAGCAGAAGACTTTGTACAAAAGTCGATTGCTTGGATACCTCTGTCCCATTCTTGTTTCAACCGCGAAGCAGCTGTGTTTGCATGGCTGTGTTTCGGTTTGAAGGGTGGGATTTGGCAAGAATTTGGGTACAGAGGAATAACACCTGAGTCCTCAGGAATAGCAACGCATGAGGGGTATCATGAGCGAAACAGTATACTCTGTTATGTCCATGGCACTGCTCATGTCTATAAGCGACGGTTACTACTTTCCATCAGGTGGGCAGTCAGCTTGTTTGCCATTCTAAGTTGTATAAAAAAAAAACAAATGATGAATCTTGGAATTTCCCAGGTATTTAGAAGTTGCGCTGTTATGTCATACGAAATGAGGATATCCACAGAAGAAGCAAAGTAAGCAATTGATTTTGAATAAACGTGAGTACCTCTAAAGGAATCCAGGCGTTGCGTGTGTACGTAGTGGGATCAACGGCGACTACTGAATCGAGTGCCATATTCGACGTCAACCAGTTTTGGATAGAAGGATCGGTCCCTGAAATCATATATTTTGTAACTATTTGCAATCCGGACTTTATTCAGGAGGAATTAAAAGTAATCTGTGTTAGTTTAGGGCATGGATCAGATAATGCAGGTATGGCAACTTCCACCTATGTTCTAGTATTATAATTCCGAGAGTTGCTTTAGGAAAGGGGTGGCGTCGATACATCCAAAGCCGAACACGAGACTGGAGATCCGGGAAGGGTGCGCTGCGTATTCCCGGCGCACCACTCGGAATGGTCCCGTAGGGGAGCGGCGCTGCCGGTGACGCGGAAGACTGCAACCGCGAGCCCTCGTCACCGGCACATGGCGCTGAGAGGAATATCGGGGCTATTTTTAGTGGGTAAAAATCCCACAGTACCTCTCAGGTCTCTTTTTTTCAAAAGCCTAACTGCCAACCTGCCTGCCAACTGTGGCAACTACTGGCAAAAACTTTTTTTTTATGGGGAAGGCTTATGTCCAGCAATGGACAGTTAATAGCTGAAATAATAAAAATAAAGATTTAATATTACCTTGCCTCATGAGCGTCCATAGGGAAGTGTCAACTTGCATTTCGAACTGTGTGAAGTATCTCGCGTCAGTCCAAAGGAGCGCTTCATTGGCAGTCACCACAAGGGTCCCGGATGAACCGGATAAACCTGACAGCCATTCGCGACGAGCATCCGCCGGTGATAAGTACTGGGACTATAAAATCATAGTAATAAAAATTGGAGCTAGATATATAAAAATAACCCCTTCTTTCCCATGGGTGTCGTAAGAGGCGACTAAGAGAACTTAATTGTCGAGAGATAGGCAGCTTAAAACATCACCAAAACCCAACTGCGGTTGCCAATCTGCCTGCCAAGCGTGACCATTTCTGGCAATATCCCCCATTACTCAATTTTTTTTATACCACTGAGGTGGCAAACAAGCATACGACCAACCTGATGGTAAGCGGTTACCGTAGCCCATGAACGCCTGCAATACCAGAGGTATTACGTGCGCATTGCCGACCCTGAAGAAACCTCTTTACCCCCCTTTTTGAAGAACCCCATGCTGTAGTCTCTTGGGAAAACCTCATTCCATAACCTGAGTGTTCGTGTGGGAAAACATCTCTGAAACCGCGTTGTACGCGACCATTTAGGCTGTAAGGTATGAGGGTGAACTCCCTGTCGTGTGATGTCCCTGTCGAAATTCAAAAATTACTCAACCGATTTTAAAAATTCCGTCACCTATAGAAAGTTACATTATCAGCCAGTAAGATAGGCCATGTATTATTTTCGAAAATCCTTTCTACCCGTGCTTGGGCCCCTTTAGAAGAAGAAAGTGCAACACATCCCGATGGATCGATGTGCAAGAGTTCAGTTGACCCCATGCGAAGCCGGGGCTAGTGCTAGTGTTAGATAATCTGACTCACATCATGGGCATCCGATGTCGGCACAATATAAGCATCAACTTTGTAGTCCGCCAGAACTTGACGCATGGAAGTCAACCGCTCCAAGCTGTTCCCTATTGTGTTCCTGGTGGTGTCCACGACATCTGAAATTATAGCAATATAGGCATTTCATTGCCGTGTAGTCCCGGCATAGAATGGGCCGGCCCCTCCTTTTCCCGTGGGTGTCGTAAGAGGCGATTGAAGGAACTTAGTGGTCAAGGGATGGACTGCAATTTCCCTGTTAAAACATCACTAAAAGCTACGAACTACGCTTGCGAAGTAGCCTGCCAAGCGTGGTAACTTTTTTTTATACAACTTAGAATGGCAAACAAACTGACGGCCCACCTGATGGAAAGTGGTAACCGTCGCCTATAGATATGAGCAGTACCATGGACATAACAGAGTATACTGCTTCATCCATGATACCCCCATGCGTTGCCATTACTGAGGACTCAGGTGTTATTCCTCTGTATCCTGTAAATTCACGCCATATTCTCCCTTCAAACCGAGACATAGCCATGCAAACACAACTGCTTAACGGTAGAAACACGAATGGGACAGAGGTACCCAAGCAAATAACTTTTGTACAAAGTTTCCTTCTGGTAAACATGACTCTGATTTGATAATAACCTTCGTTTAACAATATCATGTTCTTCAAGTCGATGGCAAAATAATAGTAATAAATTTTATAAAAATTTTGCATAGAACTTACCGTAGGTGGCGCCATCTGGCTCGGCCCAGTTAAAATGTCGTATTTGTCCATATACCAGACTTATAGTCACACTATGAAATTGTAAATTAATTAATTACTATATTGAAAATAGAAATGTAATTTTTTTTATACAACTTAGAATGGCAAACAAGCTGACGGCCCACCTGATGGAAAGTGGTAACCGTCGCCTATAGACATGAGCAGTACCATGGACATAACAGGGTATACTGTTTCGCCTATGATACGCGTTGCCGTTGAGGACTTAGATGTTATTCCTCTGTACCCAGTAAATTCACTGCCATATCTAACCCTTCAAACCGAAACACAACCATGCAAACACAACTGCTTCACGGTTGAAACACGAATGGGACAGAGGTACCCAAGCAAACGTCTTTTGTACGAAGTCTCCTACTGGTTGTTTTTTATGTTTGTTACTTATAACTCTATGAGTTATAAACCCTGGTACGTTCATGGTACTGTTCATGTCTATAGGCGACGGTTACCACTTTCCATCAGGTGGGCCGTCAGCTTGTTTGCCATTCTAAGTTGTATAACAAAAAGATAAAATAGTATTTATTACTTTTTTCACTATTTCAATTTCATATCCTTTTTTATATTAATACCCGCCCACTATGTACTTTTTATTATAACACATTGTGATTTGTTAATCTTTGTCGGGTGCCCACGATACAGGCTCGCCTAGTGTGCGGCCCCATTGTATCTTGCGTTTGTAACATTGTGGTTTTTGTCAAATAATAATAATAAATAAATTTCTATTACTATGTTATAGTAGATACCTATCAAATATTACGACACACCCTCAACGGCGATTGGATCGGACCACCTAGCATGACGCAAGAAGGTGCGCTACCGAGAAAGACACCTGCGTCCAGTCAGCATTTCAATTCCCGCAGCAAAAATACCCATTTCCTTTATGTTTGATTTTATATAACTTCACTTACGGATCACACATCGATCTGAAGACGCTTATTATTGTAGTAATTAATTTTAGAATTAAATTTAGTTATATTTATAGAATTGGTTTTTGTTGGGTCTTCCGCCAGCGACTTTAATAACTAGTATGTAAATTACTTACAGAAAATATGTGAGCCCCAACATTCTCTTCAAGGATATATAAGTAACTAAATATGTGACTATGGATATATCAGAGCTACTTCATACTATCAGCAAATTAATATATAATAAGTGATATTCAGATTTAGCGCTGCCGCACACTACGCGACCGTCGGCGACTTCGTCGTGTACGGATAGCGCCCTCTATAATTTTTTTTATGATGGATGAAAATGGTATGGTAACCCCGCCTGCGCTAACGGGATACGCTGGCGGAGCACCAGTGAAGGGTGATAGATGAGAATGAAAACAGATGAAGGCATACTGCATTGACCCCCAAAATAAATGGGACAAGGCAATGAATGAATGATAATACATGAGTGAGACGCATGTCTATCGAATTACCGCCACAGTAGTGCAATGTGGGGGGGAAAGGTATTGTTAGTAATGGAGACTGAGAATCTCATTGCTAGCAATATACCCAACCAGGTCGACCTCCTCGCGGTTCCTCCTGGAAACTATCATGGTTAATTCCTGATGAATTTATCATGATGGGCAAACTGGCCTGTTTGCATTCTCATCTATCACTCTTCACTGGTGCTCCACCAGCGTATCCCGTTAGCGTAGGTGGAGTAACCGTTACCATATCATTTTCACCCATAAAAAAAAAGTAGTGCAATGTGCAATAGGTCTTAGATATTACTGATTCGATTATATGCTTCGAACTTGTAATACATTGATAATAACATATTTAGATAGGCACATTTATAGATAACTAGTGATCTGGCCCGGCTTCGCATAAGTAAATAATATTTTCGAAAATAATATTATAAATAGCTTATATTACTCGATAATAATGTAAATTTTGATAAGTGGAAAAGGGATTATTAGCAATGGAATTTCACAGCCCCATTGCTAGCAATATGCCTTATTAGGTCGACTTCCACGTGGTTCCCCCTGGAAACCATCGTGAACAATTCTTGTTGAATTCGTCACGATGGGCTAACTGACCTGCTTCAACCTCACCTATCATCCTTCACTGGTGCCCCGCCGGTGTATACCAATAGCGCGGGTGGGGTTACCATTCCATTATCATCCATTAAAAAAAAAAAGTGCATATTTTTTTAATCGGTTGAGTAGTTTATGAGTTTATCTATCTATCAAAGTGAATTAATTAAGTGAAAAAATTTTGGTATCGAGATAAATGGGATCTTGGAGACAGTTATGTTATAGGCTTATTTTCCTCTTGTTCAGTGAACATATCTCGTTCACTCGAACGAAGTCGCCGGTAAAAGCTAGTAGGTAGTACGTAAAATAAAATAACCCAATTTAGATCTTTTTTAAATTTATTATTTGATACTTTTCATTATAAATATTGTTCTTTAGCAAAGGTTTATAATTTGTAGATACACATTTACCTGAAACAAAAGACAAATAAATATTAACTTAGTAATATCAAAGATATTGGAAATCCTCGAAACGGTGAGGTCGCTCCGTGAGGTCTGTGAAGATTTCAGGAAGCTTCTGTGCTTCTGGGCGGAGCTGGGTTGGCTGCACTAGCCACGACTCATGCGCACAACGGCCCAAATGAGAGGCTACGCGCGGAAATAATATTCCTCTGTACCCAGTAAATTCACGCCATATCCCACCCTTCAAACCGAAACACAGCCATGCAAACACAACTGCTTCACGGTTGAAATACGAATGGGACAACGGTACCCAAGCAATCGACTTTTGTTTATGGTACAATAAGAGTTAAATAAATAAATATATACAAACCTATCCCCTGACGATGGGTTGACACTCCCTCTCCAGCCACTCGAGATCCTGGACCAAACCCCGTTCCTTCAGCTTGGGGCCTAGTGTGGACAGGACTCGCTTGTGGTAGTTATTTATGTACGAAAGCTGTGGACAAATATTTATATTCTTATTAAAAATTATATAAAAAAAATACAGTGAACGCTCTATATAAGCTACTTATTTTTACCAGAGGGAGACTTTGTACAGAAGTCGTTTGCTTGGCCACCTCTGTACCATTAGTGTTTCTACCGTGAAGCAGTTGTGTTTGCATGGCTGTGTTTCGGTTTGAAGGGTGGGATATGGCGTGAATTTACAGGGTACAGAGGAATAACGCCTGAGTCCTCAGGAATGGCAACGCATGGGGAGTATCATGGGCGAAACAGTATACTCTGTTATGTCCATGGTACTGCTCATGTCTATAGGCGACGGTTACCACTTTCCATCAGGTGGGCCGTCAGCTTGTTTGCCATTCTAAGTTGTATAAAAAAATCAATAAAAACGTTTCTTATTGGGAAAAGTTGCTTATAGGGACAAAAGGAGTATAAAAATACTTACCGTCTGTGAAATATTTTTACTTATTTCTTTTACTAACTAAGCTGAGTACAATAAATAAAAATTAAAGAATGTTGCTTATATAGATCGTTCAGTGTATTACATATATTAGTCTCGCCATGCGTTTTCTGATGGGTGAAAATGGTATGGTAACTCCGCCTGCGCTAACGAGATACGCTGACAGAGCACCAGTGAAGGGTGATAGATGAGGATGAAAACAGGCCAGTTAGCCCATCGGGAATTAACCATGATAGTTTCCAGGGGGAACCGCGAGAAGGTCGACCTGGTTGGGTATATTGCTAGCAATGGGATTCTCAGTCTCCATTACTAACAATCCCTTTCTCCCCAGTCTCGCCGTGTGGTCCCGGCATAGAATGGACCACCGCTTTTTATTTCTTTTTATAAAAATTTAATCTATAAAAGAACTAAGAAATACGCAACACCCATTGAAAACGTTATCAGAAAGTGACATGGGCCATATATTAGATTTTTTTTTAATAGAAATTTCTAGATTGTTCTAGTTTTTAAAGGGTGATAATGGAATGGTAACCCCACCCGCGCTATCGGTATACACCGGCGGGGCACCAGTGAAGGATGATAGGTGAGGATGAAGCAGGTCAGTTAACCCATCGTGACAAATTCAACTAGAATTGTTCACGATGGTTTCCAGGGGAAACCACGCGGAGGTCGACCTAAAAGGGTATATTGCTAGCAATGGGGCTGTGAAATTCCATTGCTAATAATCCCTTTCCCCCCCAAAGGATTGTTTTAGGTTAAGTTATATTGATAAGGTGTTCTGGGATGTGTTTCTATAAGTTGTCGCCTTGTATCTCATAACATATCCTGGCTTGAGGAGCAGGTGATTGGTGTGGTCGTGCAGCAATCAAAAATTAAAAAAATCTAGACCTATTCATCAACATATCAGCCTTTAACTGTCCACTGCTGAACATAAGCCTTCCCCAGAAGGAGAGTTTTGCCAGTAGATGCCAAACTTGGCAGGCGGATTGGCAACCGTAGTTAGGTTACGCAGATATTTTAAGAGGGTCGCTGCTGCCCCTCCCTCCTCCTATTTCTGCTCTCTCTATTGGAAGTCGGTAAAAAATGAAAGAAAAGTTGCAACCTTACCTCCAGATCGTCCAGCATGGCGGCGTCGATGCACTCGCGCTGGTGCGGCACCATCGTCAGGGTGCTGAACCCGAGAACCCCACGCCCGTCGTAGTCACCTACTAGATTCTTGGCCTGCAATCACGTAACATAACGTTATCCCGTGAATTCACAATGCTGGGATCTTACTAAAGTGGAAGGGAATGTTAGTAATGGATATTACCAACTTCATTGCAGTAATATACACAGGGGGGGGAAGGGATTGTTAGTAATGCGGACTATCAGTCCCATTGTTAGCAATATACCCTGTCAGGTCGACCTCCACGTGGCTCCCCTGGAAACCATCGTGCTGAATTCCAGGTGTATTCATCACGATGGGCTAACTGCCCTACCTTTTCATTCTCACCTATCATCACTCACTGGTGCCCCGCCAGCGTATACCGATAGTGCAAGTGGGGTTACGACTCCATTGTCGTCTATTAAAAAAATATACACAATCAGGTCGACCTCCTCACGGTCCTACCTGGGAACCATCATACTGACTTACAGGTGTATTTCATCACGATGGGGTAACTTTCCTTTCCATTCTCACAAATCATCACTCATTGGGGTCCTACGAGCATAGGCGGGGTTACCATTCCATATTGATCTATTAAAAAACCGATTTTTGTGTGCCTAACCAAGTGGCCGGTACTCTACATTCCATGGTGAACCTTCTGGAAACTGGAGAACAGGATTTTTAATAATGGGTTTAAAGCCCCATTGCTAGCAATACACGCTAGCAGGTCCTTCTTCTGTAAACCATCGTAGTAAATTTTGAATTCGTCAGGATGAGCCACTTGACTTGACATCTTCACCTATCTTCTCTCACTGGTGTCCCGTCAGCCATACCGTTAGCGCAAGCGAGGTTACTATTCATTTATTTATTGCTATTCCATTATCACCCATTGAAAAAGCCTTTTGGAAACCATCGCGGTTAATTTTTTTTTAACACAGGGGGCAAACGAGCATGCGGCTCACCTGGTGGTAAGTGACTACCGCCGCACATGATCACCCACAAAACCAGCGGCATTGCAGGTGTTCTGCCGGCCTTTTAAAAAGGAATATGCTCTTATCTTTAAAGTTATTATGTATTATTGGTTCGGAAATTAATTCCCGGTGAATTAGTCGCGATTTCCCAACTGAGCTGACTTCATCCTCACCCACCATCCATGAAGAAAAGGATCGCCGTTGTGACTCACCCGGGGATGATCGGACTCCTTGGTGATCGCCACAATTTCCACCAGGTCCTCGTGGCGTATGCCGTACTCGTCCACTTTGTAGAAACCGGGCTCTGGGGATGAAAAATAAATTCTTTGACAGTGTTTTTTTATAATACAACTTTGAATCGCAAGAATGGCAAACAAGCTGACAGCCCACCTGATGGAAAGTGGTAACCGTCGCCTATAGACATGAGCAGTACCATGGACATAACAGAGTATACTGTTTCGCCCATGATACCCCCCCCCCCTCCATGCGTTGCCATTCCTGAGGACTCGGGTGTTATTCCTCTGTACCCAGTAAATTCACTGCCATATCCCAACCTTCAAACCGAAACACAAACATGCAAACACAACTGCTTCACGGTAGAAACACGAATAGGACAGAGGTACCCAAGCAAACGACATTTGTAAAATTTCATCACAATCACCCACAACACTAAAGGCATTGTAGGTGTGCTGGCGGCCTTTTAAAAAGGAATATGCTCTTTTCTTAAAGGTTACGATGTCGTATCGGTTCGGAAAAACTGCTGCTGGTAGTTGATTCCAAAGAGTGGTTGTGCGTGGAAAAAGTGCCTTGAAAAACCTCTTTTCAATTTTGAAGGCGGTTAAAAAAGGTAAACAATTTTGGCAACAATCTACATAGCAGTTCAATGACAAATACATCATACCATTGCTCAGTATGTGCCCGGGTTTCATCCCCGGATCGTGGGGGTACGGGCGCCAGGATATGCCCGAGGGTCCCTCGTGCACGTTGAGGTAGTGGCCCACGCCGTGGCCCGTGCCGTGGGCGTAGTCCAGCCCCACGTCCCACAGGGACTTGCGGGCGAAGCTGTCAAGCACGTTGCCCTGCGATCAAGTTGTTGTTGGATGTACTTCATCAATTGAAAGTTTGTTATGTCGATGTTTTAAAGGTCCATACAGTGGCAATGAAGTTGATACCCCACTTGACGGTAAGTGGTACCGTCGTTTACAAATATGAACCGTGGACGTCACAGAATATTTATTTATTTTAACACAATAAATATATATTTCTCAAACATGCTTGGAAATGTGAGCATTATTTTGACAATCTTCTTCGAGATAAATCAAAATTGCCGTACTGGCCAGATACATGCGGGCAGTGGCCGGCAAAAGTTGTATGAAAATCCATATCCGTCGTGTTTTGCGGCCGGATAAATTACTATGTAAACTTATATCTGTCCTGTAATTTAAAAATGGAATGACCTTTTACTTCGAAACACGGCTACCAAGGAGGTAACTAATACAAGGTTTTATTTAAATTTCGAACTGGCTTGCAAATAGAAAGCTGTTTATTGAAAAAAAAACAAAGGAACATTATGGCGCGTGAAAAATTATTATTGTTCGTTATTCGTCATTGAACTTGAAGTAGAAAAAGTAAAATTGTGTTTTTGATTTCCGCGCATTGTTTGAGAAAAGTACTATGCATTATACAAGCCTTGGCCACAACTAGACATTGATAGACTCACGTATGTGTGCCTCGGCTACGTCTCGGCCCACATTTGCACGTTCGTCCATCAATGCCTCAGTTGCTGGCCGCTGCAGTAATGTACTATATTTTTAATATTAGTTAATTTAATTCACTTATAATCGTATTTACTGATATTGCTCACAACTCAGGTTACATGTTTATTTCTATAACTAATAACGCAACTTTTAAAATATACATAGTCTAGTGTTATTTAATTCATTATAATTGTTACTTCATTTTTTCGCACTGTATAACTACATATGTTAAAGTAAATGCTGTGAATACCTATAATAGGCATGTGCATTAATATTGTATTATATTTAATGTTTGTTGTATGTTTTTTTTATACAACTTAGAATGGCAAACAAGCTGACGGCCCACCTGATGGAAAATTGTAACCGTCGCCTATAGACATGAGCGGTACCATGGACATAACAGAGTATACTGTTTCGCCCATGATAACCCCCCCCCCCCCCGCGTTGCCATTCCTGAGGACTCCGACCTGGTTGGGTATATTGGTAGCAATGGGATTCTCAGCCTCCATTACTAACAATTCCTTTCCCCCCCAACTGTCGTAGTTAATTCTTGTTAAATTCTTTACGATGGACCAATCAAGGGGATTGTTGGTAACGGACTTGTAAGGGTGTATTGCTAGCAATGGGGCTGTTAAATCTCATTACTAACAATCGTTTCCCCCCCGAAGCAGTTGTGTTTCGGTTTAAAGGGTGGGATATGGCAGTGAATTTACAGGGTACAGAGGAATAACCCCTGAGTCCTCAGGAATGGCAACGCATGGGGGGGTATCATGGGCGAAACAGTATATTCTGTTATGTTCATGGCACTGCTCATGTCTATAGACGACGGTTACCACTTTCCATCAGGTGGGCCGTCAGCTTGTTTGCCATTCTAAGTTGCATAAAAAAAACTCCTATCATACCTTCACGCCGAGCGGAAATAGAGCGCTGCCAACCGCAATCTGCCCTTTGAGCACGCGGGTGAACGCGTCCCTCTGCTCCGGTGATGGTGACCTGTTCATCATCCTTGTACGGGTGATGTCTGTGGTACCGTCTCTGTGACGACAATATTGGTGATTAGTGTAATATCACTAGCTTTTACCCGCGACTTCGTCCACGTCAAGATATACCCACTGACCGGGACAAATATGGAGGAAAGGGATTGTTAGTAATGGGGTCAAATTGTCCTATTGCTAGCAATATACTCTATCAGGTCGACCTCCACGCGGTTCCCCCTGGAAACCATCGTGATTGATTTATTATTGAATTCGACACGATGGGCCAACTGACCTGCTTCATCTTCACCTATCATCCCTCATGGGCGAAACAGTAAACTCTGTTATGTCCATGGCACTGCTCATGTCTATAGGCAACGGTTACCACTTTCCATCAGGTGGGCCGTCAGCTTGTTTGCCATTCTAAGTTGTATAAAAAAAAAGGTAAAATAGCCTTTTATAATCATTTCTCTGCGACAAATAATCCGTTTTAAAAAGTTACATTTTAAGTGAGTAAAATTTTCAATTGAGCCGCTGAGTAAATAATGCATAAACAAAAGCAGATAATTGCCTCATATTTGTTTGTATGACTTTATACATAATAAATGCTATTTGAAATATTGGATAAGGAATTTTTTTAATGGGTGAAAATGGAATGGTAACCCCGTCTGCGCTATCGGTATACGCTGGCAGGACACCAGTGAGAGATGAGAGGTGAGGATGAAAAGGCAGGTCAGTTAGCCCATCTCGACGAATTCCACTAGAATTAACTGCAATGGTTTCCAGGGGGAACCGCGTGGAGGCCGACCTGATATATTGCTAGCAATGGGTTAATTACACCTCATTACTAACAATCCCTTTCCCCCGAATAGGGAAATTACGAAACGGAAAAGAAGTTTCACAAACTAACCGATAGATGGCGCTGTATAAAAATTGAAACGCGCTATGGTTTAACTTTGATAGTCCGTACTACAATTATTGATTAAAAATACTAATTTACCGATTTTGATGAAATTTTGTACTTTTTTGGAATCGCTAGTATCTCACGATACGAAAGCGAAGTAATATACCATATAAATGGAGAACAGCATTGGAATATGTAAAATTTATACAAGAATTTAAAAATATTTGAAAATTCACCTTTCACGTATTTGGAGAAATGAAATGTTTCTAGGAGTATTTAGGTTATTTTAAACCGACTTCGAAAAGGAAATTACCAATTCGGTTTTTTTTTTAATCTCTTTAAATAGTATTCTATTGATTCCTTTTTTTTTACTTATATTTAATATTATTATATTTAGTTTTAAAATCCTGAGTTAAGGGTTTCAGAAAATTATTTTAAGAAATTAATTCTTCTGAGTAAAAGTAATATGTTAATACACGCATATTGTTTTCAAAGGCCCAACTAGGCTTATGTAGGGGGAAAGGAATTGGTAGCAATGGAGTTTGACAGCCCCATTGCTAGCAATATGCCCTATTAGGGCGACCTCCACGTGGTTCCCCCTGGAAACCATCGTGAACAATTCTTGTTGAATTCGTCACGGTGGGCTAACTGACCTGCTTTATCCTCATCTATCATCCTCCACTGGTGCCCCGCCGGTGTATACCGATAGCGCGGGTAGGGTTACCATTCCATTATCATCCATTAAAAAGTATTAGTAATTATTGATATACATACATACTAAAATTACATATATAAACGAATAAATATATATAAATACACAAATATACTTACACATATATGACATATACTATATTATACACGAAATTGAGAATAATATAAAGCACTTACTGCTCGGATAAAGTAAAAAAGTAAGCGTGAACGTTTTTTGAAAGACTATTTGTCCAAAAGCTTGTAAAGAAATACCGTCTGCTTATGAGTAAAGTCGGTAGTGCCTTACTTGTATTGGCCGCCAGAATCCAACAGGAACATGTCCTGTTGGTGGATGGTCCTCTGGGGCCCCGTGCGGGAGGGGCTGTAGTGGATGATGGCCCCGTTCGCCCCGGCCCCCGCTATCGTCTCGAACGAGGGGCCCATGAAGTCGTCTTCTTCTCTGTAATCAATTTTACATATTTTTTTATGCCTTTATGTCCTTAACCAGTGCGTGTTGCCAGTAATATACGATTGCTCGTATGCAAATAGTTCAGCGAGCTATGGAGAAGATCGTTCTCGGAGTCTCTTTGCGTGATAGAATCCGAAACGAGGATATCCGCAAAAGAACCAACGTAACCGACATAGCCCGAATGATAAGCAAGCTGAAGTGACAATGAGCTGGTCACATAGCTCGAAGAACCGACAACCGATGGGGAAGGAAGGTTCTTGAGTGGCGACCACGTAATGGTCACAAAACAAAATTAAAGTAACCGATATAGCTCGGAGGATAAGCAAGCTGAAGTGGCAATGGGCTGGTCACATAGCTCGAAGAACTGACAACCGATAGAGAAGAAAGATTCTTGAGTGGCCTCCCCGTACAGGCAAACGCATTGTAGGACGACCTTATGAAGTGACGACCTCAAATACATTGTAGGGAGTCAGTGGATGCAGGTGTCTCTTGACCGTTCCTTATGGCAGTCTATGGGGGAGGCCTATGTCCAGCAGTGGACGGATAATGGGGGGGGGTTGCCAGTAGTTGCCATGCTTGGCAGGCGGATTGACAACGTAAGTTAGGCTTTAGAGATGTTTTAAGAGGGACGCTGCTGCCCGTCTCTCGCCCTCCCATAGTCGCCTCTTACGACACCCAAGGAAGGGGTGGCCTATTCTATGCCGGGACCACACGGCTAATTAAATTTACAATAAATATCTTGTAATTAATTTTAAACTTTTGCGTCGTGTACACATATTTTGAATACATTGGTTACCGGGGAGAAGGGATTGTTAGTAATGCGGATTATCAGTCCCATTGCTAGCAATACACCCTATCATATCATATCAGGTCGACCTCCACACAGTTCCCCCTGGAAACCATCGTCGCCCAACAGTCACTCACTTCCTGAACTCGAGCAGTTTGTCGGCTGCCTGTATCTCGGTGACCGCCTGGCCATCATCCACCTGCTCGTGGAGCCACCTCAGGAACCGGACCACCGCTATGCCGTCCCGTATGTGGCAGTTGCGGAAACCCTACAAGCAGGGGGGAAAGGGATTGTTTAGTAATTCGGACTAACAGCCCCATTGCTAGCAATATACTTTCCTATCAGGTCGACCTCCACGCGGTGGGGGGAAGAGATTGTTAGTAATGCGAAGTATCAATCCCAGTACTAGCAATATATCTTGTCAGATGGCCCGCCAGTAATGGGTTCTAATAGACCCATTATCTAAGTTGACCCCCACGCAGTTTCCCCTGGAAACCATAGTGGTTAATTCTTGTTCAATTGGTCACTGTGGGCCAACTGACCTGCCTTCATCCTCACTTGTCACCCTTCACTGGTGCCCCGCGATGTATATACAACTTAGAATGGCAAACAAGCTGACGGCCCACCTGATGGAAAGTGGTAACCGTCGCCTATAGACATGAGCAGTACCATGCACATAACAGAGTGTACTGTTTCACCCATGATACCCCCCATGCGTTGCTATTCCTGAGGACTTAGGTGTTATTCCTCTGTACCCAGTAAATTCACGCCATATCCCACCCTTCAAACCGAAACACAGCCATGCAAACACAGCTGCTTCACGGTAGAAACACGAATGGGACAGAGGTACCCAAGCAATTGACTTTTGTACAAAAGTTCAATTTTTATCCGTTACAAACAAACAAATATTTTCTAATATTAATATTAGTATATACAGGCTTGCTTATAAAAGTTTTGCAATTCTGTGGATACACTGACCTCTAGTTCGACCTCCTTCTTGACCAGCTTCATGAGCGCTACCGGAGACACTTCGGAGATGAGGGTTAGCGGTTGATTCAGCACGTCGGACTGTAACGTACGGCAGTTACATATTTTTTATTTATTTTAATAACATTACATCTGGAATCAACAGTTTTTTATCTAGAATAATTATACGATATATATATATATATATATATATATATATATATATATATATATATATATATATATATATATATATATATATATATATATAAATCGTATCATGTGCATAACAGTATACTGTGTCGCCCATGATAGCCCTGATGCTTTGCTATTCCTGAGGATTAGGTTATGCTTGTGTACTCTGTGATTTTGTTACCATATCCCACCCTTCAAACCGAAACAACTGCTTATTTTTATTTTATTTATTTATTTATTTATTCATTAGTACATATATGTGTACATGGCGGACTTAATGCTAAAAGCATTCTCTCCCAGTCAACCACAGGGAAGTGTCAGAATACTCGAATGCGGTACTCGAATGCTTTAAAAACACGAATAGGACAGAAATACCCAAACAAATGACTCGGGGAGGAAGACACTGGGAAGTAATGCGGACTACCAGTCCCGTTGCTAGCGACATACACTGTCAAGTCGACCTCCACGTGATTTGCACTGGAAACCATCGTGCTGAATTCCAGGTGTACTCATCACGATGGGCTAACTGACCTGCCTTTGCATTCTCATCTATCATATCTCACTGGTGCCCCGTCAGAGCAGGCGGGGTTACCACACCATTATCAAAAGCAAATGACTCTTGTATAAAGTCTCCCCCCCCCCTCTAGTGATCTGTGTAGCGGTTGATAATTTCTGAAACTGGTGTACTCGTTTACCCCAGAAGCAGCTCTGTGTATCGCCTCGCTCGCCTCATTCGACAACCATACGGCTCGACCGCTGCCGGCTGCTTCATTTTTCTGCAACAATTATACAATAGTTATAATAATATCATAATAATACCAGAGGGAGACTTTGTACAAAAATCGTTTGCTTGGGCACCTCTGTCCCATTCAGGTTTCTACCGTGAAGCATTTGTTTGCATGGCTGTATTTTGGTTTGAAGGGTGGGATGTGGCAGTGAATTTACACGTTACAGAGGAATAACATCTGAGTCCTCAGGAATAGCAACGCATGGGGGTATCATGGGCGAAACAGTATACTCTGTTATGTCCATGGTACTCCATATGTCCATGGTATGCTCATGTCTATAGGCGACGGTTACCACTTTCCATCAGGTGGGCCGTCAGCTTGTTTGTAAGTTGTATAAAAAAAAATATTTAATATAGTACGTGTATGTTTATACTAGTCTAATTATAAATTGGATGACAAATTAAATTTGCCCAATTTACACTCTTAGAACATCACCAAAGCCTGACTGCGGTTGCCAACCCGCCTGCCAAGCGTGGCAACTACTGGCAAAACCCCTCTTTATGGGAGAGGCATATGTTCAGCAATAGACCAATAATGGCTGATACGATGATGACGACGATGACACATTTCACAAAATGAAATTTATAACTGTATCTATGTTTATGCAAATAAATAAATTATTGATTAATTGATTGGTCGATTGATTATTTGTTTGAATGATTGATTAACCCTTCTTTGCATAATGATGGAAATTTCCATCATAACATTGAACGCCCAAAAATTATATAAAAGACCAAGTCCACTTTAAGTTGATCGTGTCTGGATACCATTTTAATGTCCATTGCAGAAAAACAAAACATAGCTGTCAAATTTATTGTTTAAACCATTTTCCCTTTAATTTTGACCATGAATTATATCACCTTGATTTATTTCACCAATCAAAAAAAAAACATGCAAAGAAGGGTTAATTGATTGGTTGATTATTTGATTGATCTATTGATGATTTGATTGGTCGATTTATATATATATATATATAGTTAATTAGATAGTTACTCACAGCTAACTCCTGTAAATAAGGCACTATATTGCTATACGGTTTAACTTCGATTTTCACTCCTTCTTCTTTCAGCTGTTCAGTCACCGTGTCTGGTAGACTTCCTGACGACCAGAAGAGAATAGAGGACGCGGGAGTGATGACGAGGTAGGCGAAGAACACCGGGTTGTAATCTATGTCGCTGCCTCTCAGGTTTAAAATATCTGGAATAAAAAAAAATACTTATATATGACTGCTTAGGTAACATTGTCCCACTCGTGTTAACATTGAGAATATTTACAAAATGGCCGCCGTTACAAAATGGCGGACCATAATTTTTCACAACCTCCTATCAAATGAAAGGGACTTCTATCAAGAGTAGTTAGTGACGTCACACTAAATTCAATATGGCCGCTGGCCGCTCCAAGATGGCGGATTGTGTTTTTTACTAGCTGATAATAAAATTATAACCTTGCCAGGGCTAGCGGTATATGCTGTCAAGGCACTAATGAGGGAAAATAGGTGAAGATGAAAGCAGGTCACTTGGTCCATCGTGACGAATTCGTGGAATCACATGGAACTCGACCTGATAGGGAATATTGCTAGCAATGGGTCTGTTAGAGCCTATTACTAACAATTCTTCAAAAGGGGGGTAAAGAGGTTTCTTCAGGGTCGGCAACGCGCTCGTAATGCCTCTAGTATTGCAGGTGTGTTGCTACGGTAACCACTTACTATCAGGTGGGCCGTATGCTTGTTTGCCACCTCAGTGGTATAAAAAAAAATCCCTGTCGTCCCCGAATACCAAACGAATTACATTACAAAAAAAGATTGTTTTTAAAACTATTATTAAATATGTTTTTAAAAAGTCTTGTATATTCTTATCGATAGATAGACACTCTTTATTGTTCCCTCCAAAAGATTACAATAGTAAACTTATTATAGATACAAACAATTACAAGAAATGATCACAGTGAGGAAACAATGGGCGACCTTATCGCTAAGAGCGATCTCTTGCAGGCAACCTTTGGATGGAGAGGAGTAATTATAAACAGTTCGACTTGAGGCACGAAAATCTGTTTGTTCTTTTATATACATATAGATACATGCATACTTACGTAAATATATAAATGTACATTTGAGGTATATTTTTATACATACACGCCACCTCGTCCAACGCTGTCACGACCAGCGCTGACGTCTTCTTCTCTGCTATCTTCTTTCTAAGTTCTTTTATCTTCTCTCCGGCCGTCTTACCTTTAACGAAATGTTAAGTTGTAATGAAAACTTGAATATTGTATAGAATAATGTTGTAAATATGGATAATAATGTCCATAGGCGACGGTCATCACTTTTTTTTTAAATTTTTTTTATACAACTTAGAATGGCAAACAAGCTGACGGCCCACCTGATGGAAAGTGTTAACCGTCGCCTATAGACATGAGCAGTACCGTGGACATAACAGAGTATACTGTTTCGCCCATGATACCCCCCATGCGTTGCCATTCCTGAGGACTCAGGTGTTATTCATCTGTACCCTGTAAATTCCCTGCCATATCCCACCCTTCAAACCGAAACACGGCCATGCAAACACAACTGCTTCACGGTAGAAACACTAATGGTACAGAGGTACCCAAGCAATCGACTTTTGTACAAAGTCTCCCTCTGGTACTACGAATTGAAAATCTCCTTTTTTTTTTAAAGTCGGCTGGAAAAAACCACTTACCAGTGTATTTGATTGGTAAGGCCACAACCTGGTTACAGGGTCGCCGCGGTGGTGGATCGCTCAGCTGACTCCTGGCCGCGTCCACCAAATTACTGGCTACTGGCAGCAACTTCATTTTTGACCTAGTCAATGTTGTCTGAAAATATTTTTTCACTGTTGACAATATGCCCATCATCATCACCATCATTGATGATGTGGTGATGATGATATCAACTATTAACTTTCCAATTTTGAACTTAGGTCTCTACCAAATGGGGGGATTTTTTAGGGGATTGTTTTAAGAGGGACGCTTTTGCCCATCCCTTGACCATTACTGAATGATAATAGAATGGTAATCCAGCCTGCGCTATCGGTATACACTGGCGGGACACCAGTGAGGGATGATAGTTGAGGATAAAGCAGGGCAGTTAGCCCATCGTGACAAATTCACTAATGAATTAATCACGATGGTTTCCAGGGGGAACCGCGAAGTGGTCGACCTGATAGAGTATATTGCTAGTAATAGGGTTACTAATCCCCATTTCTAACAATCCCTTTCCCCCGATCCCTTGACCATTAAGTTCCCTTAGTCCCCTCTAACAATACCCACAGGAAAGAAAGGAGTGGCTCATTTTATGCCGGGACCTCACGGAGATAGGGAGGAAGGGATTGTTAGTAATGGGGTCAAATAGCCCCATTACTAGTAATATACTCCGTCAGGTCGATATTCACGTGGTTTCCCCTGGAAACCATCGTGGCTAATTCTGATCGTGACGATTTTTTTTATACAACTTAGAATGGCAAACAAGCTGACGGCCCACCTGATGGAAAGTGGTAACCGTCGCCTATAGACATGAGCAGTACCACGGACATAACAGAGTATACTGCTTCGAACATGATACCCCCCATGCGTTGCCATTCCTGAGGACTCAGGTGTTATTCCTCTGTACCCAGTAAATTCACGCCATATCCCACCCTTCAAACCGAAACACAACCATGCAAACACAACTGCTTCACGGTTGAAACACGAATGGGGCAGAGGTAGCCAAGCAATCGACTTTTGTAGAAAGTCTCCCTCTGGACGACCACAAATACATTGTAGGGAGTCAGTGGATGCAGGTCGCTCAGGGTCATACTTTATTTCGATGGGCTAACTGATCTGCTATCATCTGTCACTGGTGCCCCGCCAGCGTATACCGGTAGCGCAGGCGAGGTTACCGTTCCATTTTGATCATATTAAAAAAGAAACAATGGGACAGTATGGTTATGGCGTCGTGAGGTTTTTTAATGCGTGATAATGGTATGGTAACCCCGTCTGCGCTATCAGTATACAATGGCGGGGCACCAGTGAGAGATGACCGATGAGGATAAAGCAGGTCTGGTAGCCCATCGTGACGAATTCAACGATAAACTAGTCACGATAGTTTCCAGAGGGAACTGCGTGGGAGTCGACCTGATAGGGTATATTGGGAATAACCTGGTCATTATTAATAATCTCTTCCCCCTCCCCCCCATGGATATTTGTTACTCTTTCAAACAAAAGCTAATGAATGGATTGGAACGACATTCGGTACACGGGTACGTTATATCCGAACTTATAGCGGGTGATATGGAACACGGCTAATCTTTAATACATACTTGCAGCGGTGTCCATTCCTCCCTGGTCATGGTGTGCGGGTCGACCCCCACCACGTCGCCTTCAGACAAGTTGGTAGAGAGCCACGATTCCATGGAGGGGGTGTCTGGAAGCGCTGTAATGAACATTATAAACCTTACAATTTTTATTAATTTATGTTTTTTTTATACAACTTAGAATGGCAAACAAGCTGACGGCCCACCTGATGGAAAGTGGTAACCGTCGCCTATAGACACGAGCAGTACCGTGGACATAACAGAGTATACTGTTTCGCCCGTGATACCCCCCATGCGTTGCCATTCCTGAGGACTCAGGTCGTATCGTATGTGAGTTCAAATACTAACACTGCTTCATCAGCGTCCAGAGAGCCATGTCGGCCTCCTTTTCGAACTGCGTGTAGTATCTCCCATCGGTCCAGACCAGAGCCTGGGATGCCGTCACCACGGCGGTGCCTGCAGATCCTGTGAACCCTGATATCCACTCGCGGCGGGCGTCCGCTGCCGCTATGTACTCGGACTGTGGAAGAAATGCCACATATAGATAGATAGATAATCTTTATTACCAGTAATAAAAAAAAAATCAAAAATAAAAAGAAAAAAAAAAACAATTAATGTTGCTGGTAATAGGAGCCGCCCCAGTTGTTGCTATATATGTACAGCTCCAGCGAGATGTACCTATATAGCGCTGATTCTCAGGCGGCCCCTTAACTCCTTTACTTTTAGCATGCGTGCGGGTCGCCAATACCTATTTCTCGGATGGGAGACTCGACGCGCTTAACAACAAATACATAAAACATTACAACCAAAACTGAAAAGAACAAATTCTGAATAAATCGCACTTTACAATGACAGTGTCATAAAAAAAGAAAAAAAAAAGAACGTGAAACGTCAGTTTCTCAACTGTTATGAATTTGTTTCTCCAATAAGATATATATATATATATATATATATATATATATATATATATATATATATATATATATATATATATATTAACATATTATATTTAAATGTATTTAAATATTTCCTATGTATCATCCATACCATCGTCTAGTTACAATTTTATTAGTATAATTATTATACCGATAACTTAAGAGTGGATAATATCTATATTGCAGTTACAATATCTATACATATATTGACCCAATAACAAATTATTCTATATATCGGTTATCCAATATAGAATATAGATATTCGACTGGTACGGGCGATATGGCAATGGATAGTCATTGGGAGGATGGGATTGTTAGCAATGGAGTTTGACAGCCCCATTACTAGCAATATCAGGTCAACCTCCACGTGGTTCCCCCTGGAAACCAACGTGAACAATTCTCGTTGAATTCGTCATGATGTGCTAACTGAGCTGCTTCATCCTCGCCTATCATCCTTCACTGGTGTCCCGCCGGTGTATACCGATAGCGCGGGTAGGGCTACTATTTCATTATCAACCATTAAAAAATATGGATAGTCATTAATATACACAAGTACTCAATATATAGGTATCGGATATTACCCATCTGTACTATACTTACATTATGCGCGTCAGCTGTAGGGACGATATAAGCGGCCAATTTGGTGGGCTGACTCGCCATCAGCGCGCGCAGCGCTGTCAACCGCTGCAGCGACATACTGGGAGTATCTGACAATCGATTTGCTCACGTTAGGAGGTAAAATATCGCAAAAATAGATTTGCCCCACAAACGAGTAGATTTGCCCCACAAACGAGTGGGTTTGCCCCGCAAAAATAGAGTTGGTCCATAAATAAGTAGCTATGCCCTGTAATAGATTTGCCCCACAAACTAGTAGTTTTGCCACGCAAAAGAACAGTCTTGGCACGCATAAGAATAGTTTTGCTCCGCAAACGAGTAGCTCCGCTCTGCAAAAACACTGCAAATCGGTCTTTAAAAACTTCTCTAACAAACTTTTCCCAACATTATATCACGCGTGACTAAATAGGACACATGACTAAGGATCACGAATTGCTCCCGAAACTAATCGAGCTTTCTCGATCTAATTACACGTAAGTTAAACAGGTAATTATTACAATGAAATAACACATTTGTTCACATTTCTATTAAATTCTATTGAAATAAAATTACCCATAGACGCGCGTGTTCCCACAAGCTATACGATTCTGACTATTGTACAGAAAATGTATGATTCTTTATATTTATTTTTAAAGGACACTATATGTAATACATCTACAATACAATAGATAAGAGAATAAATCTACACAAGTGTTAAATTATCTTACAAGTGATTTATTTATACGGTTTAACTATAAGATAAGATCGTGAAATATATGGTACATATCTACACTAATATTATAAAGAGGAAAACTTTGTTTGTTTGGTTGTAACGAATAGGCTCAAAAACTACTGGACCGTTTTTAAAAGTTCTTTCACCATTCGAAAGCTACATTATCCACGAGTAACATAGGCTAAATTTATTTTGGAAAAAAATAGGGTTTCATAAAATATTTGGGTTTTTCGGACACAAGGTGTAAAAAAATATTTACTTATTTTGCTACAGCTACATCATAGGATGTAGCTATCGATATATGTCATTGTATATAAAAAGGTTAGTTTTGAACACTCAGGCTATGGAAACATTAAAATTTATATATGTAGCACTAAAAATTTTGCTGAACTAATATTATACTATGTAATGAGGGTTGAGTGCTGTTGTCTGAGATACAGGTTTTATAACCTAGTTCAGACACAGATGTTTAAACTGATCCAAATGTACAAATGAATTCGTACCTACCTTTACTGTAATTTCCAGTGCTGAGTTTGTTACAATCATGGTTATGCAGCAAAGTTATATATATATATATATATATATATATATATATATATATATATATATATATATATATATATATATATATATGTTATGTACTGAAAATGTAGGTATGTTTATATACTATTTTATATGATTTTATGAATAGTAAATAAGTTTTATGTAGTAATTTATTTTGACTTATTTACAAGTCAAATAATTCATGATAATTAGCCTTTAACTGTCTACTGCTGATCATAAGCCTCTCCCTTGGGGGGTTTTGCCAGTAGTTGCCACGCTTAGCAGGCGGATTAGCAACTGCAGTTAGGCTTCAGATATTTTTTTTTTACAACGCAGGGGGCAAACGAGCACGCGGCTCACCTGATGGTAAGTGACTACCGCCGCCCATGATCACCCACAATACCAATGGCATTGCAGGTGTGCTGCCGGCATTTTAAAAAGGAATATGCTCTTTTCTTGAAGGTTATGTTGTCGTATCGGTTCAGAAATACTGCTGCTGGAAGTTGATTCCAAAAAATATTACTATTTATCCTTACCTTTGTTTATTGCTGTATAATTATTCTCATTTATTCTAGGCAAACTGTTTGTGTATAATCTGAAACAAAAAAAAAAAAACATTTTTTTATACAACTTAGAATGGCAAACAAGCTGACGGTCCACTTGATGGAAAGTGGTAACCGTCGCCTATAGACATGAGCAGTACCATGGACATAACATGATACCCCTCATAATTCCTGAGGACTCAGGTGTTATTCCTCTGTACCCTGTAAATTCACGTATTTAAATCATCATCAGGTTTAAGATTCTATATCCAGTTATGTTAATTTCCCTGTCCATTTTGGACAAACCTGTTCTGTTGGATGTTTGCTTCTAACTCAAGTAATATGATTTGCGTTGACTGAATGTTAATGACCTTTGATAATTTTTAGGGTTACCATAAAGGTATAAAGGAACCTTAGTGTGAGACCTCGTCAGTCCGTCTGTCACAGCGCTACTACTAGATAAGAATAGAAAATATTTATTGCCAGAAAAACACATAGTTACAACAGAAAATACAGAAATATTATATACTTATTAGCGGCCCGTCCCGGCTTCGCACGGGTGGACATATTTACAACATTTTAAAAAGTAGTTATTGTGACATAACGATAATAGTTGGACATATAGTATCGCGAAGTTTTTTATAGTTATTGATATTTTCTTCAATATTGTAGAACATACTTTTGTTCTATCACCAATAGTTTCCGCAGCGCACGCGACCAAAGATATTTTATAGCATTTTTTTACACCTTGAGTTACGTTACTAAAGTTTCAGTTACGATCCCTAATCTTTTCTAGGCACAAATATGTTACTCAGCCTATGTTACTCAGGGTGAATGTAGCTTTCTAATGGTGGAAGAATTTTTTAAATCGGCAAATTAGTTTTTGAGTTTATTCATTACAAACGTACATACACACAAAAATACAAATCTTTCCTCTTTATTATATATATGTATATATATAAGAAGTGTCTCGTATTAGGCAAAAGCAACTTGCTCAGCTGACGCTGCGAGTGTCCCAGTGCAGTGTGTATGTGTACAGCTGCACAGCGCTGGTTTCAGTCAGTCCCTCTCTTAACAAAATACAACGAAAATACAAAAGGGATACAACTGCTACTGCATATTACTAGAATTATAATATTATTATATATTATATTACATTATTATATATTCTTTATTGCACTAAAACATACAGTAACAACAATAAGTTAATAACAATGTTAGCAAAGGTGAACTTATCTATAAAAGAGATCTCTTCCAGTCAACCTAACGCAGTGGCATAGGAAGTAGTGAGTGGGCAGTAGTAGTGCAAGACAGGAATTTAAATAAATATTTACATAAATTATAAATAATTATATATATATATATATATATATATATATATATATATATATATATATATATATATATATATATATATACATTACATTTATGGCAATACAACATTTAACTAAATATAATCCAAATGTGATAGGCGATGAATGGGCGAGCGATGGGCAGCAGCGTTGCCCTTTAAACATCTATCAAAAAGAAACCTCCAAAAAGAAACTTTGTTATGCTGACTAGTTTTTTTTTTTTTGAACAAAATTATGGACCAAAATACGAAATTACAAATTACAGTATCAATAAGTGTCTATTCCTTATAGGAAATATATTAATCTATTAATATTTATCTAATAACTAATATAATATTTGAAAGCAGAAAGGGGCCTACGACTTCACCACACAGGGAATTTATTTTTATGCAACTTAGAATGGCAAACAAGCTGACGGCCCACTTGATGGAAAGTGGTAACCGTCGCCTATAGACATGAGCAGTACCATGGACATAACAGAGTATACTGTTTCGCCCATGATGCCCTCCATGCGTTGCCATTCCTGAGGACTCAGGTGTTATTCCTCTGTACCCTGTAAATTCACTGCATTATCCCACCCTTCAAACCGAAACACAGCTAATGTTACTTCTTGGAAACAAATGTATAATTGTTACATGTCTTTTTGTTTTCAATAAATATAATTATTACTAGCGACCCGCCCCGGCTTCGCATGGGTGCAATACTGATACTAAATAGCGCTGCCGGCCCATTAGAAACCTCTAAATTTATCAGTGTTTCTCTACAATATTATGCATGTATTATACATATAAACCTTCCTCTTGAATCACTCTATCTATTTAAAAAAAACGCATTAAAATCCATTGCATAATTTTAAAGATTTAAGCTTACATATGGACGGACAGACAGCGACAGCGACTTTGTTTCATACTATGTAGTGATTACGTACGGAACTCAACGTGCAAGTTTTACGTGCGAGCTCAACTCGCATGTGATCTGAGAGCCTACCATGAAGTATTTTCCGAAACTTCGGGGACGAACGAAACAGAAATTTGATGTTAAGATTACATAATAAATGCTATTTAAAATTATGAAAAATGTTAAAATATCGTTCCTTTGGACTATTAGATTAGGATTTATGATGAACAAAATGTTAAGCTTCATTTACTGTGTCGATTTTGATACGAACAAAAACACGAAATTGAGCCCGAAATTTCGGTATTTCATTTCATGGTAGACCACCAGTTTTATTTCCTATCCACATTTGTCAATTTGAAATAAACACTTCTGTGATAAATTGAACAAAATTTTATTTATTACCTTTTCATTAATTAATATTTAATTAGTAATTATAGTCTTTCGAGTTGTTAACACACGTTTTAACTAAATTATTGGGAATTAACGAGACGCGATTGTAGGTAAATAGTACCTAAATACCAGAGGGCCTACCATGAAATGTTTTCCGAAATTTCGGGGACGAACGAAACAATTTTTATGTTCAAATTACGTAATACATGCCGTGTAAAAATATTAAAAATGTTACAATATCGTTCCTTTGGACTTTTGTCGTAGGATTTATGATGAACCAAATGTTAAACTCCATTTACTAGGCCAATTTCGGTATTAACGAAAAACACGAAATATCGTCCTAAAAATTGGAATTTTATTTCCTCTTTTTTTTTGGATTTTATATTAAAATATAATAGATACATAGACTATAATAATAATTAGTAGCTACTACTCAGTCAACATTCTTTTACCCTCTACTGCCACCTACCGGGTCAATCATTGCGGTCAATTATCATGGTAAAACTGTCCTACCTTTCAAGTTGGAGCAAATATTACACTTAAAAAAACTCATTAAAATCGGATGTGATCGTGAACGAACATCGTGATACGGAATTCTTATATATTATAATAAAAAAAGAAAGAAATATTTTTATTCAAGTAAAATTAGATTTAAAAGCATTTTTCAATAGTCATTTTTTTTATCACCGCCCATTCGGAACGCAATTTCAGCCAAGAAAAACCGACAATAGAATATAACAGTAATAGAATTACTTACATAAAGTCCTTACCAATATTATGAATTTGAAAGTGAGATTGTTTGTTACCATATAACGCCTTAAAATTAGTACTGAATAAATCACAAGAATATACAAATACCCACAAAAGTAGTTCTTCAAAAGGGGGGTAAAGAGGTTTCTTCAGGGTCGGCAACGCGCGCGTAATACCTCTGATATTGGCAGGCGTTCATAGGCTACGGTAACCGCTTACAATCAGGTGGGCCGTATGCTTGTTTGCAACCTCAGTGGTATAAAAAAAAAACCCACGCTATCAGGTTATACTATTCATACCACAATTTTCAACATTTTTCACCGCATAATTATATTTACATTTACATTATTTGTATGTATTGATTATAGAAACTTACGAAGTGGACTGTTTATAATTAAAAAAAAAACAAATTCAACTGTCTTAACTATAAATGAACTGTAATTTTAATTCTATCCTATTTTGTGCTTTATATAAATAAATAAATTTCTGCTTTTTCGTAACATTGACTTGGAGAAATGACTGTATAGCATTACGACCGCCATTATACCAAACATTGTAATGTAAACTATGAATAAATACAAAAATAAGCAAACTAAATCAATGAATCGATTCAAAAGAAACTTATTTGCACATTTACTTACATAAATGTCGAATAACAAAAAGCACGTAGCAAAATTGTCACAGCCATTTTGTTCAATTTATAAGCGCGCCATTTAGTTTTTTTTTTTTATTTTTACAACGCAATCACCGCACACAGCTATGCACTAAACAGTTCACAATGGAGGTCTAATCATTCTGTTAAATTTTATATTGGATTGGAGTACTCGAGTCCTCGGTGGTTCATGTAACGGTATCTTTTAACAGATTAAATTAGATGATTTGTTACCGTAAAGCATCGTAATAGAGTTCAGTATTAAAACCAAACCAATCTCATATCAATGACATCAATGATTTGTACATTGATATAAAATTTGTTTAGTTTTTTTTTCTGTAGAATTAATTAGAATATATGTACATATCTATCACGCCCGTCCCCCCATTGGGGTAGGCAGTGACAATAGAACGCTAAATGCTCCGATTCAAACAGACCTCTTTCACTTCCTCCACATTCAACAACACTACAATACAACACTACAATACAACACTACGTACAATTTATTCATACATTTTTAATTTGACCTTTTTTCAGTACTTTGCCTATTTGGTCGATAAAAAATAACTACTAAATGAGACATCATTTAGTACATGGGCGATACATAGATACATATGTGTCACGCCTGTCTCCCCTGAGATAATTTTTTCTTAAATATATCCATAGAGGCAGAATGTACAAGGGAAATATAAGCTTCTATCATCTAAAATTACCTGCATTTTAGCAAAACAAATTCATTTCATTTCATTTCTAATGATAAATTAAACTAACGGGTAAAAGATTATATACTATCTAAAAGTGATAAAAAGAAAAGAAAGAGGTTTGTTTGAATCGAAGCATTTGGCGTTCCATTGTTTCTGCCTACCCTAATGGGAGACAGGCATGACAGATATGTATGTATGTATGTAAGTGATATTTTCAATGATTTAATTACTTCTAAATTCTACGCGTACGAAGCAGCAGGTAAAAATGTAGTTAATAATCACTGATAATAATAGTGAATAATACCATAGATAACATAATACTATACTTAATCTATACTAAATTAAAACTAAATTAGCATCTGGGCGCATCTGTAAATTATTGATGGCCATTTAACATATTATTAATTTTATTTTTTTAATTTGATAAAGGTACTTATAATTATTTTCCTTAATAATTTACGCTTTTAACTTTTTTAATTAAACAATATTGTCATACCTACTTGTACAACAATTACTCTATTGCTCTAAGGTTGTCTTGAAAAGATTGATCTCAGCAATTTTACCCAAGAGAGACTTTGTAAAAAAAGTCCTCTGTCCTATTCGTGTTTTTACCTTGATGCAGTTGTGTTTGCATGGCTGTGTTTCGGTTTGAAGGGTTGGATATGGCAGTGGATTTATACGGTACAGAGGTATAACACCTGAGTCCTCAGGAATGGCAACATTTTTTTTTGTAATGTGGTCAATAAAGAATAAATAAATAAATAAATAAATTTAAAGTGTTCCTGTGATAATTTTAACATTATTTATATTACCCTTTTTAATTAAATTCTTTACATATAAACTACCATCAAGCCCAAGGGCCTTTCTTTGAAGCAGTTATGACGCGGTGCCATAAAGGTCACTGCACACGGCTTTGTATCCCACACTACAGCAGTAACTGAACTGGACATAATTCGATTTGGATATAATCAGCTTATATAGCTATTTACAGATTGAAGAATAACTAAACTAATTCTGCATTAAACCATAATACATTCGGGTATAAATTAATAAATGTATGTTTGTTTTATTTAGGTACATTATTTTTTCCTGTACCTTTCCTGCACAAATTTACCCGCCAATTATTTTCGGGTTGCCCGAAACTACACTGGGTTGCCTGAAAGAGATAGATAGATACTCTTTATTGTTTACCTCCAAAAGATTACAATAGTAAACTTATTATAAATATAAACAATTACAAGAAATAATCATAATGAGAAAACAATGGGTGGCCTTATCGCTAAGAGCGATCTCTTGCAGGCAACCTTTGGATGGAGAGGAGTAATTATAAACAGTTTGATTGGAAGCACGATGAAATTCTATTATTTCTAAAATATAGAGATGTGATACATGTAATAATGTAAATATATATCACTACTTAATAACTTATATACAATGATATATATACATACATAATTCGTGTTTGATGAATGACCATGAAGCAGTTGTGTTTGTATGGCTGTGTTTCGGTTTGAAGGGTTGGACATGGCAGTGGATTTACAGGGTACAGAAGAAGAGCACCTGAGTCCTCAGGAATGGCAACGCATGGGGGATATCATGAGCGAAACAGTATACTCTGTTATGTCCATGGTACTGCTCATGTCTATAGGCGACGGTTACCACTTTCGATCAGGTGGGCTATCAGCTTGTATGCCATACTAAGTTGTATAACAAAAAAACAAACATATACATACAAACACCTACACAAATACATAAAAATATATAAATACTGTGTACATATGTACGTATACCTATATAAAGATCTCTTTTAAAGGCAAGCCCACCCTTGCTAACAAGTTGTTAAACTAACCGCTGTATCTATTGTTCAAGTATCTATTTCCATAATTAATAACGCAACTTTTAAAATATTTGTAGTTTAGTGTTATTTTATTCATTATATTTGTAACTTCATTTTCTCGCACTGTATAACTATGTTAAAGTAATATATCTAGATCGTATGACTGCCTATTTTTATTTTTAAAATAACACAATTAACATGGAAAGGTTTTACTGGAAGAAATCTCTTATTAGAGATAAGCTCGCCTTTGTACATTATGTTTATAATGAATTGTGATTAACATTATGTTTTTTTGTACAATAAAGAATAAAGAATGATCCCCGCGTGCGTCGTCTAAAACATCATACATTGGAATTACTTATCCACAACTCGCACACCTATACCAAATATTTTACTGTGCAAGCTGCTAAACTGGGAGGAAAGGGATTGTTAGTAATGCGGGCTACCAGCCCTATTGCTAGTTATATACCCTATCAGGTCGACCTCCACGCGGTTCCCCCTGGAAACCATCGTGCTGAATTCTAGGTGTATTTATCTCGATGGACTAATTGACCTGCCTTTTCATCCTCACCTATCATCGTTCACTGGTGTTTCGCCAGTGTACACCGTTAGCGTAGGTGGGTTACCATTCCGTTATCATCCATAAAAAAATTCGTAAATTTATCATGATGGTCAAATTTACTTCATCATCATCTATCTTCCCTCAGTTAGACTCCCTTAGTTTAAACCAATATCGCAGGCAAGTTTATCATTCCATTTTTGTATTTTATTTTTACTTTCCATTTTTTTTTGTACTATGGAAGTATATTAAGCACTAAGATAATTTGGCGGGAAAATGTATTGTTTATGACTACCAAAAACAATATTTATAGCACTTGTGTTTTCATGGCTTTGTTTCGGTTTGAAGGGTGGGATATGGCGTGAATTTACTGGGTACGGAGGAATAACATCTGAGTCCTCAGGAATGGCAACGCATGGGGGGTATCATGGGCGAAACAGTATACTCTGTTATGTTCATAGTACTGCTCATATCTATATGCGACGATTACCACTTTCCATCAGGTAGGCTTGATTGCCATTCTAAGTTGAATAAAAAATAAAAAAAAAATTATATATTTTTTTATTTGCAACGAAACGTAATAAATGAAACATAATAAGGTTGTATTCCATTAGTGTATTTCAAAATATTTATAAACACTATATTACAATTAGTTTATAGTCATAATTCAGTCGTTATTCACAAAAAGGCCATTTCTTATCTGAATATACGACGCCAATAGAGAAACCAGACCAATATGAAAAAAAAACTAGTTTTTTTTTTTTAAATATCAGATCAAATCACTAAAATTTTATATTGCAGATACTGAGAATTTTAAAACAAGCATACGGCCCGTCTTATGGTGAACGAACAATGTAGTCTATGGACGCCTGCAACACCAGCCCTAAAGAAACTTTAGTACTTTCTGAAGAACCTCATACCATAGTTGGTAGGAGAAACCTAGAGCTCATACCACAGCTTAAGTGTTCATGGGAAGAAGCTCCAATCTCCTCATCCCCCCACCCCCCCACGTCTTGGTTACCCAGACAAGTAGACACGAATGATCATTAGAATCGTTATCGCTAGCGAGTGCATTAGATAGAATGAGACGGCGGCGTGCGATATTTTGTTTCTCATGTCGATAAATGAGTCTATTTGTCTATGGAGGCAAAAATGTATAGACCCCGAGAACTGAGCTAATGTACATTATAAAGGAATAAAGTAAATCGAAAACATTAACTTAATTCATTTATACTTACAATTTTATTTTATTTACTAGCACAAATTGAATTCAGAATTTAACATTGGTACAAAGCAAACACTGTGGACCATTTATGTCATGGTAATCCTTAATCTATGACGTCATTTCGCTTGGCGTTGACGAAATATGTTACTGTCAAATACATGTAATATTTTGTATCTATTTCATTTATTCATATCTGTGCCTTGTACAATTTATTATAATTAAAAGTTTACTTTTTAGCTTTTAAATATTTACATAAGATATAGTAATGAATTTACAGCCAGGACCATAAACTAATCTGTAACTTTTTTATTTAGTGGTCGAATTGTATGTTATTTACCATAGACAAATTCAATTTTTTTTTTAAATAAGAGACATAACTTTAACTTAATAAAATGTATAAAAAAAAAAAAACTAAAATCATGTTTATTCCTAAAAACCTAGTACTTAATTTAAATATATTTTCTTAGTTTTACATTTTTTAATTTTTCTGACAATGTCGGGGCATAACATGAAACATCTTACTTTTTACTTTATGCTTAGATAAATTACTATTGAATATGTTAAATATGTTATTGTTATGATGTCTGATGATGATAATATTGCTACTTAATAAATAAATTTGTGTTTTAGTTACTGTAAAAATCTAATTTCTTCAGGTACATTCTAGATCTTTATTTTTTTAAATACAAAAGAAGTTTTCCTATTGTTTGTGTATATAAATCTAGCTATATTCCGCGGTCTCGCTGGTGGTCGTATAGTGATGTTGGATAGCCTCAAGAATTAAGTTATCAAAGACAAAAATAATTTATCAAATCCGACTGGTAGTTTTAGAGATTAGCACGTTCAGACAAACTCTTCTGCTTTATTATTATATTTCTTTAAATATCTAATTTTCATCAATTTGAAACTATTTTTTTTATTGATAGAATTCTCTGTTGGTTTATATAAATTGTAACATTGAATTCACAGCATTTCATAGACAATATTTTTTAATCTTTATGTTATTTATAAGCAAATAAACGGTCCTGATGAAAAGAAATGGGTAACCATTGTTTATAACCACAAACAATACCATGATCATACTAATGGTTAACTATCAATATCTCAAAACATTTATAAATTACTTGTACATATTTTTTCTAAGTTACTTATCTCCTTTTCTATGTTACATAGTGTAATATTTTTTTTAGATAAAAAATTGAGGACCAATGTTAAAACCAGTTCAGTTACTTTTTACTTCCATTACATTTGAAATAAATTACAAATTACAATATTTTTTGTGACTCGTGTAAAATTTTGTCCATGTCACTTGATTATTGGTAGTTTACCATCAAAACCGTCTATGGTGTCCTTCATACAATCAGTACAAATTATTTGAAATATTGCTTAATTCAATCAATTTTATATTATTGATTTTTTTTCTATGAAATTTGAAATGGCAAATACAGTCCATACAATCCTATTTTTGTTTTTACTTATTAATTAAATGTATTCTTATGATTCAAATGGGTGATTTACAGTAAATACAATTTGTGTACAATTCTAGTAAACATTTTTAATTTTGAGTCTTCACTGAAGTCCATGTCTCCAAAAAGTATTTTATAAAGTGATTGCTTCTGTATTTCGGGAACACAGACTTTAATGCAGGCTCAAAATAGATTGTAAAGTTAAAAGATATAACGGACACACTTTTTGAAAATTACTCATATATTGTGTTTTCTAACTTATCATACATTGCTTATATTTAATGCTTTTATAAAGCAATTATCATAAAAAAAAAATACATCAATTTCCAAAAAGATCTAGAACATTATCTGGTCTGCTTCATTGAGAGCTTGGCATCATATATTTAGGCTTGTAGGCTTCACATCTTCGAGAAACGTCTCTATACAGCATTGTCACACATTTATCATACTATTTGGTAGTCTGTAACAAAATAATTATTATAAAATTATGGCAAATCTTATATAATTTTATTTGAACAAGCTGAAGCTGAAGTAACATTTAACAACCTTCTAAAAACATTTTTTTTTTAATGGATGATAACAAAATGGTAGAACTGTCTGTGCTGTGAGCGAGGATGAAAGCAGGTCAATTAGCTGATCATTGTGAATTCACAGGGAATTAATCAAAACGGTTTCCAGAGACAACGTGAAAATCAACTTGATGGGGTATATAGTTAGCAATAGGACTGCTAGGGGGGAAAAGGATTGTTAGCAATGTAGTTTGAAAGCCCCATTGCTAGCAATATACTTTATTAGGTCGACCTCCACGTGGTTGACCCTGGAAACCATCTCGAACAATTCTTGTTGAATTCATCACGATGGGCTAACTGACCTGTTTCATCCTCACCTATCATCCTTCACTGGTGCCCCGCCGGTGTATACCGATAGCGCGGGTGGGGTTACCATTCCATTATCATCCATTTAAAAAAAAATAGGACTGCTAATCCCCATTGCTAACAATCCCCTCACCTAGGACTAAGATGTTAGGTCTTTATATCCAATATTTTAGTCTCATATTTCCCTCATCATGCCATGCAAGCACAGCTAAATGGCAGAAACATTTTCATTCATTCATTTATTTCATAATAATATACATTGTACTGAAAACATTCTTAATGCAGACTTTAAAAATATTCAATAATTATTAACATTGTTGTAGCTATTTATCATATATTGTTGATAAAGGTAACAAAAAGATATATATGTATAATCCTAACATACAGTTCACGGGGGGGGGGGGGGGGGGATTGTTAGTAATGGAGACTGAGAAACCCATTGGTAGCAATATACCCAACCAGGTCAACCTCCTTGCGGTTCTCCCTGGAAACTGTCATGGTTAATTCCTGATGAATTCATCATGATAGGCTAACTGGCCTGTTTTCATTCTCATCTATCACCTTTCACTGGTGCTCCGGCAGTGTATCCCGTTAGCGCAGACGGGGTTACCATACCATTTTCACATCCATATCCATATTTTATATCCATATACCAATCTATTCATATATCATTTTTTTATTAATGTATAATAATGGAAGCAATAAATAGAGTTGACCTGTTACTGTGCTTTGGACAGATATTCCTATGCAAATATTATGTACAAATTCTTCATTCTTTTAGTACATTCATCTTTACATTATTCTGTGATAATTTACTGATAAAAGTGCAATAAAAACTGATAGATAGAAATATAGCAAAATATAGACATTAAATGAGGAAAAAACTAAAATAAAAAATAATATTTTTTTACATCACTTGATTTTTTATATATTGATGATACATGGTAGACAAACTTGATAATTACCAGAGGGAGACTTTGTACAAAAGTCGATTGATTGGGTACTTCTGTCCCATTTGTGTTTCTACCGTGAAGTAGTTGTGTTTGCATGGTTGTGTTTCGGTTTGAAGGGTGGATATGGCATGAATTTACAGGGGACAGAGGAATAACATCTGAGTCCTCAGGAATGGCAACGCATGGGGGGTATCATGGGCGAAACAGTATACTCTGTTAAGTCCATGGTACTGCTTATATCTATAGGCGACAGCTACTACTTTCCATCAGGTAGGCCATTAGCTTTATTGCCATCTATAATGACCATAGACAGAGGTACAAGGATTTGTTAGTTATCGAGATTAGTAATCCCAATGCTAGCAATACAACCTATCAGGTTGACCTCTATGCAGTTCTCCCTGGAAACCATTGTGATTGATTTATTATTAAATTCATCAGGATGGACCAACTGACTTGCTTTATCATTATCTATTATCCCTCATTGTTGCCCTGTCAGTGTATACAGAGAGCATAGGCAGGGCTAGCATTCCATTATCATCCATTAAAAAAAAGACCATGGCAAGACCATTACCATACAAATACTCGAATTATAGGTGATTTTTCCAAGCTTATATTAACAACCTGGCCAAGCTTTACACTATTTTTACTTAAATAGTCTTATATTGACATGACATGATGCATAGGGAGATAAAGGATATGGCCTGGGATAGAACTGGCTGGAGGAAAATGCATGAATTGGTCACACCAACAAGAGGAAACTCTTAAATGAAAATGAAAATGAGTCTTATATTACAGATAAAATAGCTTCCTATAGATGAAAGAATTTTTTTAGAGTTTACTCATTACAAACAAGTCAAATGTTTCTTTTCTTTATAATATTAAGTAAAAGTAATGATGGGCTCCACCTTGCATGAATACACAGAAAGATAAATTAATATTTTATATTAGTCAGGCTCATGCTTGCTACACAGTCACACATAACTATGAATCACACATTGATGCCGAAACTAGTCGAGCTGTTTTGATATAATTACACCATAAGTTAAACTCGTAGTTATTAATTTAAAATATTTTGTATCAACTTCAATAGGCCGAATGTGGAGTTATATTACTGTGATTTTTGTAGGGATGTCCAACTTTTTTTTATTAAATTATATATACCCTATTATTCACTGAAATTGTAGCTTACTATAAGTAAAAAGATTTTTAAGATCGGTGACTACTTTTTTAGCTTATCTATTGTTAAGCTAAAAAAATAGTCAACAAACAAATAAACGCACAAACATTAAATTTTCCTCTTTATAGTACTATTTACATGAATTTACATGAAGATACCTGTATAGTGTAGTGTAAAGATGAACAAAAATAACTCTACAACAAAGTGCTAAAGCTATTACTAAAAAAAAACTAACCTCAGCATTCCATTGGTGCTATGGAATTTGAATTATCTCCATAACCACTTAAGCTGCCTTGAAACTCCATACCGCTAATTTGACTGTCTGCATTGAAGGATGCTCCATATGAATCATTGCTTGGTGCATGTGACGTCTCCAGATTACCATCTCCCGAATCTGTAGCAGCCGCGGCGTCTGGTTCCGCCCAGTTTATCTTGAACCTCGTCACTCTGGGCTCGGATGCTAGAATATTCCTCACTACTTTGTCAAACTGAGGCTTTGGAGGCGGATTCTCCCGTAATTCCGGTTCATTTTCACTATATTCATTGTTTATGAAATAACCAACTCGGACGAACTCTTGTCCTCGATAGGAACACGTTAGAAGCACGACGGTGACACCTAATGCATCATTTTCAGGTATACGGGTCACATCTGGCGGTGGTGCTTGAAATACAAACATGTGTCTCCCTTCGGGAATAGGTCCTACGTAGATTGTGTCTAAAACTTGGTCGTGCTCTTCTGTTTCTGCTGATCCAACGTATATCATTCTCCATTCGAGATCTTCTTTTAACTCTTCTATACACTCAAAGGTTAATTCGAATTGAAATGGATTCAGGAATGGACTAGGATTGTCTAAAACAACCACATTGGTAATATGCACTTTCGCCATTGTTCGTGCGACTTATGAGTGTTACACTTCTAACAGCAAATACGCTTTAGCAACGATCTAAAAAGATTTATTCAACTGGAATCTACGAAAATAACGTTTTACTAAAAAAAAATATCGGTGTCTATCGACAGGTGACAATTTGACAAATATTTTGGCGGTATGGCGGTTCAATTAAATGGTCACGTGATCAAAATAAGCAATGACCGTAGCGCTAAAGCGGAAAAATTGGGGAATTAAAATTTAAAAAATTCCACATATTTTGACAGTTCAGACAAATGACAACAAAACGTTGAAATAGTACGAATTTACATGGTGAAATCTTAATTCGTATAACCAGTTAATAACAAATATGAATAAATTTACTATAAATATTGATAAACTTACTGTTTTGGATGTTTTCAAATTGTTTTTCTTGAATTATTGAGGCACTAAAAATGTCAATCACAACCACAAACAATGGATGAATGAATGATGAATCACAGATTAAAATAAAATGAATGAAGGTAAAAAATTTAGCACAATGCAAGAAAGAGATATTACTTAAGGATATGGATACACGACTTTAACGACTTAGATTTACTTAAATCTTTTTTAAAATATGTTTTTATATTTTTATTTTAGTACAAATATAAGGAGTATATTATATAAATATATCTAAGTAGTGTAATATATACTTGATAGATAAAACAAAATATTATTACATTCTAATACTATTTCACTAGGACCGAATGCGACTCATGTGAATACGAAAGATATTTGAATTTAAATTAATTATGCTTCTCATTATTATATTAGTGGTTACACTCGTAAGCACATTCCTTGATATTTTCTTTATTTATTTTGCCACAAACAATCATTAAAATTATAGTTATATTTTTTTATGTTATATAAAAGTAGACAATGTGTACCGAAACATATAAAAGTATAAAGAAGTATTATAAAAAAAAAATTCGTTTTAGATAAGGGCAATATTATTAACTACTGTCATAAATAATAAATATGGCGAGAAAGGCGGGAAACTCGAATAAGAACAAGCGGGTTTTTTAAATTTTTTTTATTAATTTATTAAAACTATCTCTATCAATTCTTATTATTGAATAAAATATTATATTTTCACTAAATTCAGCGACAGTAATATAATTAGCATTCATGGGGAAGCGCAGTTGTAGAAAAAGGAAAAAAAAAAAGATGACGATTCAGGTGATGTAGACCAAGAACCTTGTAATGACAAGGATATATATTCGGAAGATACTTCTACTGACTCAGAATCTGAAATTGATAAGGCCGATAAGTATAAACCTTACTACGTCACAGATTATATTAGAAGATATCCCGAGGAATCCCCTGGGACAGAATTTGTTGTCTTTGTAGAATCCTCAGATAGTCAGAAAACCATTGGATCCAGAGACTTGCTCTCACTCTCCTCCTGTTTAAAACGATTTAATAAAGGGGTAACTTATCTTAGATCTATAAATAAATTCAAAATCGGAGTATACTTTCAAAAGCCAGACTTAGCCAATGCTTTTTTAAATAATAAAACTTTTTTAAATGACTACCATTTTAAGGCCAGTATTCCTGCTTCTTCAACAGAAGTTACAGGCGTTATTAGAAATGTACCTACAAATATATCTAATAAAAAAATATATACTATGATATCGAGTTCTAAGAAAATTATTGCTATTAAAAGAATTTTAAGAAAAAATACCTTGACTCATGGATATGTGTTACAGCCAACTCTAACCGTGACAATTACTTTTGCTGCATCTGTATTACCTGAATATCTGGATATTGGAGGTTGGCGCCACAATGTCACTCCATATATACCACCAGTTAAACAATGCTACCGGTGCTTGAGGTATGGACATTTAGCTAAATTCTGTAAGAATTCTGAGCGTTGCAGCATCTGCAAAGGTGAGCATAATTATAAAACTTGTACAACTGGAATGGAAAACGCTATTTGTGTACACTGCAATGGAAATCACACAAGTGTATCACCGCAATGCCCTGTTAAACAAAAGAAAATTGCTGAAAATAGATCTAAATTCAGACCTGCTTCTTTTGGAGATATACTTAGCACTGAAATATTTCCTAAACTGGGTAACAAACCTAAAAAAAATGTAGACCTAATTTCAATTCTAAATTCTGATAACAAGAGTTTATCACTTTTAATAGAAAGCATAATCAAACTTATTTCACTACATAACACAAAGAACACATCTATTAACACTAAAAGTGTTTTGAATGTGTTATATGATACTTTTGGTAATAGACCTATTTCACAAAATTCAATCGAGACCAATTAACTATCATACAGTGGAACGCTCAGAGCCTACTGAGCAATCGACATATTTTTACACAATTTTTAAATGAACATCATATTCACATTGCTCTCATCTCAGAAACTTGGCTAAAACCACATTACAAATTAAAAATTAAAGATTATTGTATAGAACGAAATGATTGTGGTAATAACCACAATGGAGTAGCGATTATTATACATAATAGTATTAGATATAAAAAACTTCACTCTTTTTTCGACAATTCTTTGCAAACTATAGCTATTAGTATTGAAGTTAATAATTCTTGGTATTCAGTTGCCAGTATTTACTGTCCTACCAATAGTACACCTAGTTTTACTAAAGCCAAATTTAAGTTCTTTTTGGAGTCTCTTCCTAAACCCACTATCATATCTGGAGATTTAAATGCACATCATACTATGTGGGGTTGTACCTCCACTAATACAAGAGGTAAAGACATTCTTGATTGTTTAGATGAATGTAATTTGGTACTATTAAATGATAAGCAAGTTACTACTGTTGGCTCTCATATTTGGAGACCCAATGGCCTTGATTTAACTATGGTATCCCCATCCATATCATTAAAATGCGAGTGGTTGGTTCATGATGATCCGTTAGGAAGTTATCACCTGCCGACTTTTACTAAAATAAACACAAAGAACTCTTCATCAACTCCGTCAGGTGAACAACATGCTCCTATAGATGAAGTTAATAAACTTTTGTTAAATCGTATAAACCTACGTCTCGTTAATTGGGATCTTTATTCTGAAACTGTTAATCAATTACTTTTGGATTTCGAGTATGATGTCAATGAACCCTTAAACAATTACAATAGGTTCTGTAAAATTATTTTGACAGCTGTGGAACGTTCCGTTCCACGTAGGAACTTATCAAATAGCGGTGCAAATACTTCAAAGAGGCACAAACATATTGCAGTACCTTGGTGGAATAACAGGTGTGCGACAGCTGTCAATGATAGTAAAGCGGCTTACCTTAGGTTTAAACAAAATCCAACTCTCGATAATTACATAAATTTTAAAAGAGTTCAAGCTGTTAAAAAGTTAGTAATTAAGCAAGTAAGACAACAGGGGTGGCAGGAATTTTGTTCCAAATTTAATAGATTAACACCAATTTCCACTGTTTGGCAAAATATGAGAAAACTAAATTCAAAACATCGTCAAAATCATTTTAAAGATATATCATGGGTCAATGATTTTTTACGCAAATATACTCCTGATTTTGTACACTCACCTTTTGATGACAAACAGTTTAATTCTGTTAATTCATGCCCAAAATTTCTCACTGACCCATTCTCAATTGATGAAATATCCAGTGCAGTAAAATCTAGAAAAGATACAGCTAGTGGCCTTGATCGCTTAACATACAATATGTTTCGATTGCTGAATAAAATAAACCTTACTAAACTCTTACAAATTTTTAACGATTTATGGAAGGACTGTATTATCCCACCAGAATGGAAAATGGATTGTTTGATTCCAGTAATTAAACCCGGTAAAGATCCTACAAATTTCGACTCCTATAGACCTATAACATTGACGTCCTGTGCAGGCAAATTATTCGAACAATTAATTAAACAGCGTTTAGAGTTCTTTATTGAAAGTAATAGTCTATTATCATCGAATCAATTTGGTTTTCGCCGTGGATATTCAGCGCGCGAAAGTTTAGCGAACTTCTATGTCGACCTTAGTACTGCTTTGAATAACGATGAATATGTTCTATCTGTTTTTTTAGATGTCGTAGGAGCTTTTAACAATGTAAATTTAACAGTTCTATCTTCGATTCTATCCTCATTTCTTCCAATGAAACTTATCGAATGGATTTATAATTTTCTTAGTAATAGAGAAGTGTATGTTAAAGTAAATAGTAAATTAATAGGACCTAGGTTAAGCTCTAAAGGAGTATGTCAAGGTGGTATTTTAAGCCCGCTACTATATATTTTATATATCTATAAACTTAATTCAGTTTTAGGAAACAGTGTGAACAACTTGCAATTTGCCGATGATTTATTAATTTATATAAAAGGAAAGAATATTATTGATATGCAATTAGTGTTAAATGAGTCATTAAAAAGACTTGAGAAATATTTTTCTCTTCTTTCCCTCGATATTAGTTTAACCAAAAGTAAAGTAGTTGTTTTTCATCAAGTTCATAAATATGTTCCATTAATGAATATTATATATAATAATCAAACTCTTCCAACAGACTGTAGCGTTAAATTTCTGGGGTAATTTTTCATCAAAATTTAAAATGGGATCTATACGTTGATTGCTTAGTAGATCGTGCTTTAAGAGCCACTAATATAATAAGATCTGTAATTGGTCGTAACTGGGGAGCTGATCCTAAAATTATCCTTTTACTTTACAAATCTCTTGTTAGAAGTAATTTTGATTACGCTTTCTTTTGTTATGCCTCAGAACATAAATTAGTAGAAAAACTCGAAAAAATTCAAAATATGAATTTAAGACTTATTTTAGGTGCTATGTATACTTCTCCAATTATCTCAATGCAAGTAGAATGTAATTTGCCTCCTATCCTTCTTCGTTTCGAATACCTAAAACTCAAATTTCTCTTCAAAGTTTTTTCAGTTTCCAATAACCCACTCATACTCAAATTATTAAATTGCCCCATTTCTATGTTTTTGAATAAAACTATTGTCAATGATTTGAATTTACGAGATGAATATAACACCTATAGTAGTAAGATACTTCCTTGTTATAATGGCCTTTATGAGAGTAAGTTCTGTAAGATCAAAATTGTTATACGTAAAGACATAAAAGAAAAGCACGATATGTATGAGACTTTATCAGAATTTATTGACTACAGGCAGATATATACAGATGGTTCCAAAAATGCACTTAGCACTTCAGTGGCTTTTTACGATTTGTCAAATAGATTTGGTCACGGTTATAAAATTTCAACTTTGGCTAGTATTTACACAGCAGAAGCAAAAGCTATATTTTTAGCATTAGAATACATAGAAAAACAGGTACTATATTCGAAATGGATTATAATTACAGATAGTATGAGTGTTCTTATGGCATTAAAAAATAACACATTCATTTCATCATCAAACTACTTAATTCAAGAAATTCGTAATAAATATTATCATCTCTGTACTATATATGGAAAAGATATTATCTTCATCTGGACCCCTTCACATATTGGAGTGTTTGGGAATGAACAAGTAGACACTTTGGCTAAAATTATTAATTCAAGTGCTGCTCGTGTTCAAGATTTACCCCTTTGTTACTCAGATTGTAGTATTGGAATACATAAAATCGTTACAACTAAATGGGAGGAGCATTGGACTCAAATATTACAGACTAAAGGCAAATGGTACCGCAAAATTAATTGGCGTATTGGAAAACCGTGGTTCTGCAAAGGAAAGGACACAAACAGAAAATTTTACACCAATATTTGTAGATTACGAATCGGCCACGGACATTTCAACGAACACCTGCACCGAATGGGCATGATCGCTTCCCCATCATGCACATGGTGTAACTCAAATACAGCCCAATCTCTACATCACCTTTTTTTTTTGATTGCTCTGAATTTGTCATTCAAAGACACATTATGTTTGACGAACTTAGGATTATCTTCAAAAAACCCGAAAATATCCCGCACTCAATCCCGCTTCTCTTAAGATTTCCTTCTTGTTTCAAAGCTATTTTCACTTATATTACTACAACATTCAAGGAGCTATAAGAATACTTTTATTGAATTGCAAGACAATGATTTTTTATAATTATTTATTTTTAATTTGATAAATCCACTGGTTTAAGAAAACTCAAGAAAAGATATTTATGAAAATGTACTTACCGGATTTGACAAATGAAATATTGAAGATTATGACAATAATTGAAGCGACATTAGAAAAATAAAATTCCAGACAAATTATCTTTTTGAAGACTAGGCAGCATGGTCTCCGACCTTAGCCTGTTCCAAACGGAACAAACGTACTAAAAAAAAAAAAAATAAATATGGCGTGTTTGCTTTGTGCTGTCTGTTTCTGTCAAATATTTATTCAATGGTTGTGATACCTATTAAGAAAAGCTACTGTTTATATCGAAATAATATTAATGATGCGATAACTATTATTAACAAATTTTATAATGGCGGTCAACCTTTGAAAGTACACTGTTAATATACGAAAGTCATATATGTTTTATAACAAAAAAGGTACATTTGTTTGGTGACTTTTCTATTTTTTACTATTATTATTATGACAATAGTTTCCTATAACTCCCTTCACACAGCCATTCTATTTTTTGCCAGTCTATAATGTTGTTAAAATGAAAGTTTTAAAAGAAATTCATACTTTCCCACGTTTAAACAGTCCAATCTGTTTTGGGTGCCTGCCGACACCATAAATGGTCGAAGGAACATACTTTTGTCCTGAGTCACAATATTAATTATCCAGTACTAGTTATAATTCAATCGTGCGACAATCACTCACTTGGTTCTTAGTAAGTTAGTCATTTTTAACAAGTACGTACCTATTTTAATTGTTAACGCCTATATAATATTATCTAAAATTGTACTTTAGTTGTTATTCTTTTTTATATATCCATATTGTTACACTACTTATTTATTTATGTATTTATATTCTTTTAGACAGTCACTTGTAATATAGATATTAGGTTATAACAAAAATGTACACTCTTAAAGACATTTCTTCCAGTCAACCTTGAGTACCTGAAAGGAGGAAATATCAAAGTTTTATATATAAAGCATAATGTATATAGTTCGATAATGATATGATAAATAAATAATTATTAGTAGCCTATATATTTAGTAAAAAAATATAGATATTTATAACACAATAACTATTATATATATAAATAATTCAACTGTCGGTTGTATTGTAAAATCTTTTTGTTTGAGCTTCGAAGGCATGAAAGGTCTGCACCATTCTAGTATCATTTACGAGAGAATCCTAAAGTCTAACAGTTTATACTGGCTTTGGTATAAGAGTAGGAGTTGTGGATAGGTAATTTCAATGTATGTTTTAGACAACACTTTGGTATTGGAGATTCTAAAGGAATATATTTGTCGGGGGTAATCCGAGGCTGAATGTGTGGCTTTGTATTATAACTAACTTTTATATGTAACATGTATTAGTATATAAAATATCTTATATACAAATTTTTTTTTTGATGGATGAAAATGTTAATAAGTTAATGGTAACCCCGCCTGCGCTAACGGGATACGCTGGCGGAGCACCAGTGAACGGTGATAAATGAGAATGAAAACAGGCCAGTTAGCCCATCATGATGAATTCATCGGGAATTAACCATGATAGTTTCCAGGGAGAACCGCGAGGAGGAACCTGGTTGGGTATATTGTTAGCAATGGGATTCTCAGTATCCATTACTAACAATCCCTTTCCCCCCTATTCTAAATTATTGTAACATTTAACCCATCTGAGTACCATGTTTTATTTAAATACATTATAGAATATATAGTCAATATATAGACAGATTTTACACACAGGTTAATGTTAGTAAGAATATATTTTTCTGTTTTCAGTATATCTGAATGTCTGACACTACACAATGTCTTATGGACACGATGAAGGGCCAGTCTATTACAGGGAAATACAAAAGAATGCATATCTTAAGAGGGTTTCGAATGAAAGCAGTGGGAGTAAGCTCAGACCATTGGGTCATAAGGTTTGTAAGAGAATTAAATGTAATTATAATATTATTATAAAGAGTAAAGATTTGTGTTTTTGTATGTATGTTTGTTTGTAATGGATGAACTGAAAACTGCTCAACCAAATAAAAACATTTTTGCACCTATAAAATGTTATATTATAGAATGAGCCACTCCTTTACCAGAGGGAGACTTTGTACAAAAGTCAATTGCTTGGGTACCTCTGTCTCATTCGTGTTTCAACCGTGAAACAGTTGTGTTTACATGGCCGTGTTTCGGTTTGAAGGGTGGGATATGGCGTGAATTTACTGGGTGCAGAGGAATAACACCTGAGTCCTCAGGAATAACAACACATGGGGGGTATCGTGGGTGAAGCAGTATACTCTGTTATGTCCATGGTACTGCTTTGTATTAATATATTTGTTTGTAATGGATGAACTGAAAACTACTCAACCAAATAAAAACATTTTTGCACCTATAAAATGTTATATTATAGAATGATCCACTCCTTTACCAGAGGGAAACTTTGTACAAAAGTCAATTGCTTGGGTACCTCTGTCTCATTCGTGTTTCAACCGTGAAACAGTTGTGTTTACATGGCCGTGTTTCGGTTTGAAGGGTGGGATATGGTGTGAATTTACTGGGTACAGAGGAATAACACCTGAGTCCCCGGGAATGGCAACGCATGAGGGGTATCATGTGCGAAACAGTATACTCTGTTATGTCCATGGTACTGCTCATGTCTATAGGTGACGGTTACCACTTTACATCAGGTGGGCCATCAGCTTGTTTGCCATTTTAAGTTGTATAAAAAAATCCTTCCTTTCCCAAGAATGTTGTTAGAGCCTACCAAGCTAGGGCCAGGGATGGGCAGCAGCGTCTCTCTTAAAACATCATCAAAGTCTAACTGTGGTTGATAACCCACCTGCCAAGTGTGGCAACTACTGGCAAAATTCCCCAATTGGGGAAAACCTGTGTTCAGCATTAGACAGTTAAGGGCTGATATATTAATAATAATAAATATTTTAAAGTAATATAAACAAGAAAAATTTGATTTTTTGTAAATTTTATTTATTTATTGACCACATTACAAAAAAATAATTGGTATAAATTTTTGTAATGGATAAACTCGAAACTATGCAAGCAAATCTAAAATTTCTTTTATCTATAAAAAGTTTATTTATATATTAGTTATTAATTAAATATTAATAATTAGAAATCCATATACAAATCATAAAGGGAAAAAAATTCTCTGAAACCGCACTGTACATGATCATTTAGGTTCAAGCATGTGAGAATGAATTCCCTGTCGATGGCGATCGGTGTGATGATAAAAGATGGCTGTGGGCATCATTTCACATAATTATCATATAATTCCTCAAAACACAATCCTTATACAAGAGGTAGAACACACAAAAGGCGGCAAAGTGTCGCCTCAGACTTTTTTTTATAGGTTATAATGAAATAGTAACCCCACCCGCGCTATCGGTATACACAGGCGGAGCACCAGTGACGGATGATAGGTGAGGATGAAGTAGGTCAGTTAGCCCATCGTGACGAATTCAATAAGAATTGTTCACGATGGTTTCTAGGGGGAACCATGTGGAGGTTGACCTGATAGGGCATATTGCTAGCAATGAGGCTGTCAAACTCCATTGCTAACAATCCCTTTCCCCCTCTGGCCTTAGACTAAAGGGCTCCATACCGCTTGTGAGCTTGGAATCGTCAGCTATTCTCATATATACATAGATAGATACCTTTTATTGTTTTTTCCATAAGATTACAATAGTAAACTTATTATAAATACAAACAATTACAAGAAAATATTACACTGTGAAAACAATGGGTCGCCTTATCGCTAAGAGGGATCTCTTCCAGGCAACCTTTGGATGGAGAGGAGTAATTATAAACAGTTTGACTGGGGGCACGAAACTTTGTTCGTTTATTAAATACATATAGATCTACATATCTCATAGTCCCTCTTTGAACCGAGTCAAGAGGACTAAGCTGGTATATAGCTTTCATACACAGATGAGAGCAGCACTCCATGCGGGGGCCGAGCTTGTGGCTTGTAACACAATAATCTTTATCACGGAGTAAAGTACCGTTTCGCTGTATTGAGCACTCGGAGCTTTTTAGAATTTTTGGATTGGCCATAAGGTCAATCCAAAAAGTATATATATAGTAAGTTCTAGATGACCTCGGAACTCTATAGTGCTGGAGATGTCAATTACGAGTATACTGTTGAAGCTAATATGCCAGTGTATACCGACAGCATAGACTATGTTGCCATTCACTTATCATACATTTACAGAAAGTGCCACTCAAACCGATGTGGACAGTATTCTGCGTACACAACGGCCGCACCCCATTCCTCGAGCAGTACCCCGAGGCGGAGTCCTCAGCGACCCTCGCACACAAGCCCGTGTGGAGGGCCTGCCTCCGTACTGCCAGGCACGTGACCGCCAGCGTCAAGCCGAGGGCCGGCGTGGAGCATGATTTTCTTATTGATACAGACCATGGGCCTGTGAGGATGATAGCTCCCGACTGGTAAGTGATCTTACTAATATAATAAAAAAATATTAAAATCATTCTATCTTTGCAATTTTGTTTAAATATAAAAAATGATTAGAAAACTGTCATCATTGTGTTCTCTTTTATTTTATATTTATATGTTGTATTTAACATATATATATGTATATATATTCTTATTTATGTAGGTTTACATTCATATGTATGTATTAATATTGTATCTTTTAAATATATATATATATATATATATATATATATATATATATATATATATATACATATATATATATATATATTGTTTATGTTAAGAGATGACTAAGTGAATTTAATTTATAATTTATGTACTGTATGAAATTATTGTATCTACCATAGTAGATACAATAAATTTGTTTATGAATTCATATTCATTTGTTTCAAATTTTTGTTTATGAATAAATAAAATTAATATATATATATATATATATATATATATATATTAATTAATTAATTAAATTATCTATCTTGTTTTCGGGTGCCCCTTTCTTCTAGTGTCTTTTGTTGGATAACATAAAGTTACTTGTTTACTTCATTTGCTGTATAGATAATCTGGTGGTATTATTTTATTGTTACCCTATTTCCCTTTGGCCACAACAAAATATCAGTGTTTCGCTCTTTTGTGGGCAAATGCACGTATATACACTACATATTTACATTTATTTATATCATATTATTATACATTTATTTATATCATATTATTATACATTTATTTATATCACACTACACATACACCCACGCATACATTTAACCCTCTTTACAATTGGTGACCATGAATTTGTATTATTTAATCATTGCTGTCAATATCTGAACTTTAACAACATGAATTTAATTATTTTATATATCAATTAACTTAACTTTATGGACACTCACTATTATATATGGGTTCCTTTCATACATGTGCTTATATTATTTGCATACACCCACTCTAACTCGCCTACCTCGCTATGGAATCAAAATTTTTGTTTGTATAAGTAAAATCCGTTATTGGCTGTATTCATAAGAGACTTAGCATGTAAGTTATTTTTTAAGAGCTGTGGATTTTTGTATAAAATAAAATAAAAAAAAAAAATTGACTTTTATGTATTTATTTTTATGCATCTCTCTTGTCTCGCTTTTTATGTATATCTGTATATGTTGTGATTTGTGTGCTGTAAGTAATGCGAATAAATTATATATCTATCTATCTATTTATTATTAAAGTTTATTTGTGTTTGTTTTAATGTTTATTGTATTATAACTCCTTTAGTTATAAACCCGTTATCAATTTTGTTTATTCGTTACGACATACTGACCCTCCGTCCCTAGACGGGGGTCGAAGTGCGGTAGCCTAAGCCGAGGTCCGAGCCACTCTGACGACCTTAAGCGCACGCCCCATACCATAAGTGAGAGTTGACACTTTGTCGCTCCCTTCTCGCGGGCTTGGAGTGCCATCTGCACTGGTCCCTGTACACGCGTTCTGTGAAGCTGTAAAGGCCATCTGCGGTCAACAGCACGAATTGTTAGAAAAAAAAAAACAATTTTTTTATCTAAAAGAATATACTTACAGATTGGTCACACTGAGATTTTATCAAAATCGGTTTATTAGTTTTTTTTTCTTTTTTTTTTTTAACATACACATAATACTTATATATACATCAATAAATTAAAGTTAATATACAAAGTTTAGTTTTTAAATCAAAATGCTTTGTGGTAATAAAGTTTTTTGTTTTTCAAAGTCTCTAAATTATGTATGCATGAGGACTTAGTGTATGTGATATGTTCTCAGGGATTCCATGCAAGACTGGGTGACGACGCTACGCAACAAGCTCCACGAGTTGAAGATCTTGTCCAAAGGCGAAAACGTATACTGTGCCGCGCCAGCTGCGCCGGTGCCTCGTGCCGCCGCGCGTGACCCCACCAGTCCTCTGCCGCCCACGCCTCCTGTGCCGCCTGACAGGTACCATAGATAATTTTTTTTATTCAAAATCGAGTATTTGGCCTTATTTTGACATGTCCATGGTGCTGTTTATGTCTATAGGCGACAGTTACCATTTTCCATCAGGTGGGCCGTCAGCTTGTTTGCCATTCTAAGTTGTATAAAAAAAAAATAGTGAATATTTCAATATTGCATAAAAAAAGAAGTTTGACATTGTGATATTTATATTTTCAGAGTACCAGGCATAGAACTAATTCCGTCTGTCCGTCCACCCCCCGAGGAACCACCACCTCCATCCCCTCCCCCGCCATCCCCTCCACCTTCGAACACAGTCGACATATCCAACTGGGACGAAAACCCCCAACCGAGTACGAGCCAAGAGATGCAGCAACCGAAGAGTGTCACCAAAATATGTGGACAAAATATATGCTTGGACGACTCTATATTGAAACGTAACACAGAAGTGACCGACAGTGATGAGGAGTTCTTCGCAGAAGTGGATCGGATACACTCATCAGTGGACGTAGACGAGTACAGGAATATGGATGATCCGCACAGTTACGGAGAGAGGTTCGAAGAGTTCAAACAGACTGTGGTCGTGGGAGAAGAGGATTCTAGCCATACGAGTGGCGTTGATAATGTCTCAAGGTAATTTTTTAGGTTTTAAATTAATTTTTTTAATGCAAGACAATTGAATTTTTAACCACTTCTCACAAACAGTGTGTTGTGAGGGGCCAGGCAATGAACATATGGGAGTACAGCCCACTTAGATGGGGGGAAAGGGATTGTTAGTAATAGAGACTGAGAATCCCATTGCTAGCTATATTCCCAACCGGGTCGACCTCCTCGCGGTTCCCCCTGGAAACTATCATGATTAATTCCTGATGAATTCATCATGATGGGCTAACTGGCTTGTTTTCATTCTCATCTATCACCCTTCACTGGTGCTCCGCCAGCGTATCCCGTTAGCCCAGGCGGGGTTACCATACCATTTTCACCCATCAAAAAAAAAGCCCATTTAGATGGCAGATCAAGATAAAACCTATATCAAATTTTATTTATTTATTTATTTCTTATTGCATTCCATAATGTGATTATTAGATAACATTTCAACTTTAATTATGGATCCTGTTTTTTTAAATGGGTGATAATGTAATGGTAGCCCGCGCTATCGGTATACACCAGCGGGGTATCAGTAAAGGATGATAGATGAGAATGAAGCAGGTCAGTTAGCCCATCGTGACGAATTCAACAAGAATTGTTCACGATGGTTTCCAGGGAGAACCACGTGGAGGTCGACTTAATATTGTTTCACAGTAACTCTTGTGATTAACATCTTTTTATGTTAAAAAAAATGGCAGTGGAATTAAGAAGCAATAAAAAAATTTTCTTAGTTGGTGACGGGAACCATCAAATAACTGGAGCAAAATTACCGTCTAATCAAATCAAGTGTCCCAACATTTTTCCCCTTCTGTCCTCAATAGTTCTAATAATTTGTCTTTTTTCCTTAACTCTAAGCTGGGCCTCCTCATTGCTAATTCGATCCCTCCAGCTAATTTTCTCCATCCTTCTTCCAGCACCACATTTCAAAGGCTCTAAGTTTATCCATTTCCTTCTGAGCTAATGTCCATATCTCATGTCCATACAAAGCTATACTCCAGATATAGGTTTTGATAAGCTGCTTTCTAATATCTTTTGTTAACGTGCATTTTAAGTATAAATAAATATTAATTATTTTTGCAGTGACCACCCAGCAACGAACATAACCGTCATACAAGTATCAAATAAACCACCACACACAGCTATACCAGTCCTGGGTCCGGAAACTGACGTATTCAATTTCAATTTCGAACAAAAGCTCTCGATCCAACCCGATCAGCCGTTCGTCAACATCGTTAACACAGAAGTCAATGTTACCACTACAGAAAACGGTTATGGAACAGTCTACAAAGACAACGAGTATGGCCACCTCAGTTTGACAACAACTGTCAACCTGACAGATGTCAAAGTGACAGATGGAGTGTACGAGAGGCTGTGTATGGCTTCGACGTCCGCCGAGAATCCAATAAACAAATTGAGGCATAGTGATAAAATCCGAAAGTCGTCGCTACCGAATTTAGACATAGAATCCACTTATGAATATTTATTTCCCAATAATAATAGAACAAATATAAGGTTATGTACAGACAGTAATGATGGTAACCAAGCTAATACTAATGTTCGAAATTCAAATGGCCAAGTCGATTCTGTTGGTGGAAGTCATTCCAATTCTAATATTTCGAATGGAATAAGTCAGAGTAATTCCAATACTGATGGAAGTAGTCGAGATAATTCTAATTCTAATTCTAACGGTGGAAGTACGAGAGATATTACCAATCGTAATACAAGAGATGAAGCTAATGAAAATAGACAGAAAAATATTACTGTTAGTGTGTCCAACGCTGTGCCAACGGAAAATGAGCCTTCAGCTAGGGTGTTAAGGTCTAATGTAGAAAGATCGTACAGTCAAAACGCATATGACACGTCGGATAGAATGAGACAGCATCTAATTAGAAGAGTGCAGAATATTAGCCCTAAAAGGGACAACAAGAATGGTAAATATTTTAATTTAACCACTATTATCAACAGAATAATAGTATGTTGACCAATTATAGCTAGATGATGACAATGAACGCTGTTCAATAACAAACTTTTTAATATTATGGCCTATTTAATATCAGAAAATTTAAATATATATTTAAAAAAAATCTGTACCTATGTATGTTTAAATCTTTAAAACTACGCAACGGATTTTGAAGCGGTTTTTTTAATAGATAGAGTGATTCAAGAGGAAGGTTTATATGTATAATACATGCATAATATTGTTTGGAAATAAATAAATAAATAAAATGTGATTTTGAAAAATAAATATTCTACGCTCTGTACATAATATTTGTTTCAGATAAGTCGGAAGTGAGCCAACCGAAACCGATATGGAAACGCGGATTGACTGAACTGTCCTTGTTGACAAGGTTGAGAGGTATAGCCAATGGGAAACGACAGGAGAGCCCCACCAGGCACGAGGTGGAACGTAGTGAAAGGTTAGCAACAATATAATTACTAATTACTAACAATCTAGCCTCGCTTTATTACAGATGGATAGAATTTCCTAACACTCCACTGTGTACCAGTATTTGTTTTTCTATACAACTTAGAATGGCAAACAAGCTGACGGCCCACCTGATGGAAAGTGGTAACCGTCGCCTATAGACATGAGCAGTACCATGGACATAACAGACTTATGTATTAATACTGTTTCGTCCATGAAGGGTGAGATATGGCGTGAATTTACAGGGTACAGAGGAATAACACCCGAGTTCTCAGGAATGGGGAGTATCATGGGCGAAACAGTATACTTCCATCAGGTGGACCGTCAGCTTGTTTGCCATTCTAAGTTGTATAAAATTTGTATAAAAGTAACTTTAAAAATTGAGAAAAATATGAAGATTATCAGAGAAACAAAAGAGAGAGCAAAATTAATTTAATAAGTAATTTATTGGCGCAAAGATATTTTGCGATTAATTTTTTATGAATTTATTTCCTTAGCAACAATCTGCTATTTGGTTATATCATAAAAAAATGGTATTTCAGTCAACGGGTAGTGACGTCCCCTGTGAAGGTGGTGCGTCGTTCGCGACCAGAAGCCAGGGTAGACAGCACTAGGAGAAGAAGTAGCTCTTTAAGCAATGGTGAGTGTATAATACCTCCTATAAACTTTTTCAATAGAATTTATTAAAAATTTAAACAAATTTACGATTGACTCGACCCTGTGGTTTTTTTTTATTTATTTATTTAACTCTTTATTGCACCATAAATAAATATATACAATGACAAGTGAATAATTCAAGTGAAATACAGTAACATAAATACAGATTGAAATATACACATAAATACATAGATCTTTTTTATTTAGATGCTTTTACCCTATAAGGATATGTCGGCCTCATCGTACCCTAATTTTAAAAAATACGTCACATACTTAAAACATTAATACATAAATAAATAATACATAATAGCTTAGTAGTCTATTTCCATAAAGGGAATTATTGATACAAAAATATAGTAATTAAAGATTTCGCCATTCCGGAATGTGGCTCTGCGAGTATATTTGAAAATAAACCAATCTCCTGTCTGTTGGGACTATATTTCTGTATCAATACTTCCCTTTGTGTTTTGTATTTCGTACATTCGGATATCATATGGCGGACATCATCCAATGTGTTACAAACAATCACAATTCGGATTATTAACTTTTTTCCATGAGAAAAGCGAATTTGTGGTTAATATTGTGTCAGATAGCTGATGTTCAGTAGTGGGAAACGGGGGGGGAAGGGATTGTTAGTAATGGAGACTGAGAATCCCATTGCTAGCAATATACCCTACCAGGTCGACCTCCTCGCGGTTCCCCTGGCAACTATCATGGTTAATTCCTGATGAATTCATCATGATGGGCTAACTGGCCTGTTTTCATTCTCATCTATCACCCTTCACTGGTGCTCCGCCAGCGTATCCCGTTAGCGCAGGCGGGGTTACCATTCCATTTTCACCCATCAAAAAAAAAAATAGTGGGAAACGATAGATTGATATTTAGATTTGTTATTAAATTCAGAGTTTTAAAATATGTTTTTGTTTTATAAATCATATACATACATGCCAAAATAGAAGGAAGGAGGGGGAGAGGGAATACCGAGACATAGTTACATCAGGCAGATCAAGGAAGAAGTTGGTGTCGTGTCGTATCAAGACGTGAAGAGACTCGCTGCAAATCGTAGTGAGTGGCAAGAGCTCCACCGACAAGAGCGCAGCTCTTAAATAGGGTAGATAGATAGACATGCCATTATAAGTATATGAATTTGTAAGTAGCTAATAAATCTCGATTGGGGATACGATTTAGGGCGATTCAAATGAATAAATTCGAGAAACGTAAACAATAGGTCATTTTAATTTCTTATCCAGCGAAAGAGAGAAAGAGAGATTTTTTACAAAAATAAAAATTTTGTTAGACACGGTTAACGGTTACCACTTTCCATTAGGTGGGCCGTTAGCTTGTTTTCCATTCTAAGTTGTATAAAAAAAATTTGTTAGACAATCGCCAAATTGGTTGACTGAATTTTTACACGTCTTTGATTGTCAATGAGTCTATCTATATAATAGAAGCCTGTATTTATCGTGAAACAGGCCAGTCCCCGCCAGCAGCCCCGCTGGCTGCACTGGCCGCGCCGCCGGCCACGCTGGCGCCGCTGCGGGCGCGGCAGGCGGCGGCACTACGCGCCGAACAGCGGCGCGGCGCCGCCGTGCCCGCCGCCGTGTCGGCGCGGGACCCGCCCGTCTTCGCCGACTACGACGGACACGTCTGGTGAGATAGCTGCTACCTTGTCCACACGGGGGGGAGGGATTGTCAGTAACGGGTACTAGTAGTCCCATTGCTAGCAATATATCCTAACGGGTCGACCTCCACGTGGTTCCCCCTGGAAACCATCGTGAACAATTCTTGTTGAATTCATCGCCATGGGCTCACTGACCTGCCTTTTCATCCTCACCTGTCATCACTCACTGGTGCCACGCCAGCGTATACGTATGCCATTCCATTATCACCCATTAAAAAAAAATCTTATCCACACGTTACTCGAAGTATTCATAATTTAAAACAAGTAGTTTTGCGTTACAAAAATAAAAACCAATTATTTTGAAAAAAAGACTTCATGGTCGGCGGAGGTGGGAGACCGGTGGTGATGTGTAGTGTGGTGTGCAGGGTGGCGCGGTGGGGCGGCAGTGGATGGCGCGCGGGTGGCCGCAGTGGTGACCGCGTGGCGGCCGTCCGAGCCATGCAGCCGCGCGACGCAGCCCACGCTCGCCTACTGCTGCGGGCTGACCCCGCACATCCGGTAATATATTTATTTAATTTATAAATTTAGAATTACTGTAAAAGTCATTCAATTGTTTTTTATTTTTAAATCGATAGACAATTTTGGTGTTGCCATCATTCCGTTACGGGGGCTCTTAAACGTGCAAGACATCAACATCATTGTTAAAATTGTGTGTGTAACTAATTAAATTTCTTGTGATCAGGTTGACATGCTGTTTTATCGCGTGCCTTTAGGAAAAATTTACGTGTTGAATAGGAGAGAAAACGAGAGTTTAGGTGAGTGTCGTTTATGTTGATTTTTCAAATTTTTTTTTTTTTTTACTATACAGGGTGTACGCGACAGGTTGGCAAACATTAAAACGGTGTATACAGCCCATTATTCTGAACTGAAAAATAGTGGGAATTCTTTTTGGGAAATAACGATTTTTTCATTTAACCCTTTGAGTGCCGACGAGCGCCATCGCGGTCAAGCGCATTGCAACTGAAAGTGCCACGAGCATCATAGCGCTGTTTAGCTTGCTGTAAAAAAATATTAAAATTGAATAATTTTTGGAGGAGATACAATTTTTTTAGAGACAAGGGTAAATGACATCAACACGACAAAGATTTCTCTGGCATTTTTAAGTAAGTAGATATGAGAACAAATCAATGGCACTAAAAGGTTTAATATTATATAATCTATAATATTACGCCATAATATAAAGAAATAATAATATTTCATAATGAAATAATATAAAATAACAAAAAAAAAGCAATGAATTTTTTTTTATACAACTTAGAATGGCAAACAAGCTGACTGCCCACCTGATGGAAAGTGGTAACCGTCGCCTATAGACATGAGCAGTACCGTGGACATAACAGAGTATACTGTTTCGCACATGATACCCTCCATACGTTGCCATTCCTGAGGACTCAGGTGTTATTCCTCTGTACCCAGTAAATTCACGCCATATCCCACCCTTCGAACCGAAACACAGCCATCCACCCTATATAATGTTGTAATATTGTATTCTATTGTTAAATAATGCATGTAGTTTGATTTATAATTATTTTATATAATACACTGTATTTTAACACCTACCGGTTTAATCGAAGTGGTAGAGGTAGAGAAAATTCGACTAGTTTCGGGACCATTCGGGACCCTTAGTCGTGAGCGACTGTGACGCGAGCGAGTAGCTCAGTTCAGCTTAGCATGCTAATTATAAGAGCAAGCTGAGCTAAGCTAATAATACTAATAATAATAATAATAATAAACAGATTTATTTCTCTTCACAATTCATTACAGTGAAATACAATGCTTATTTTAAACAAATTATAAATATAATTGTGAGAGACTGGTGCCTGAGATAGGTATAAGAATACCTGTATTACAGGTCACCAGGGCCTCACTCCGCGGGGTTACTTACTAAGCACTTGTAATACAATAAAAAATAGAAAGAGATATTTAATTATAATTTAATCTGAATTTTGTGTGTGTGTGTGTGTGTGTGTGTGTGTGTGTGTGTGTGTGTGTGTGTGTGTGCGCGTTCGTGTGTGTGCGTGGGTGTGTACGCGCGCGCGCGCGTGTGTGTGTGTGTGTATGTGCGTGTCTCTCGCTGTGTGTATTTGTGTTTGTACGCATTCATATAAAAATTAAGGTAGTTAGTTATTTTCTCACATCTGTGGGATAAGTAAGGCCTCTGTAGCATCATAGTCAAGTGATTTTAACCAATTGGATATGAGCTTTTTACAAGCGTACCTATGATGTCGGTAGATTGACAACTGAGCGTTGATTTTATTATATAAGTAACTACTTAGAAAACAATAAAAATTTTTTGAGAAGCATTTTTTAAATGCTTTAGTAGAACAAACAGAATTTTTACGACGTTTATGCCTCTTCAAATTTGGATCAAACAACATCTGTGAATGTTTTTTTAGTACTGTTGATATTATAAATGTTTGCCTGACTGTTAGCACGTCCCATTTCTTATATAATTCTGTAGTAGAATAGCGAGATGGGAGTGCACCTGCAACTTTTAATATCAATCTCTGTGCTTTTTCGGCCTCCACAGCTAAGCTAAATTAACATACTATGTTAATTTAGCTTAGCTGAGTTAACAATGCTGTTAGCTTAGCTCAGTTAATAATGCTTTGTTTTTTTAATGCATGATAATACAAAACTAACCTTGCCCACCCTTACGGTATACGCTGGTGGGATGCCGGTGAGGGATGATAGGCGAGAATGAAAAGGCAGGTCAGTTAGCCCATCGAGATGAATACATCTGGAATTCAGTACAAAGGTTTCCAGAGGGACCATGTGGAGATCAACCTGATAGAGGGTGTTTTACTAGCAGTGGGATTGGCAGTACAAATTATTAAATTCCCCCTCCCCCCATTCCTTTCCCCCCAATAAAGCTATGTTAGTTTAGCCTGAGTTAACATGCTATGTAAGTTTAGCTTAGCTGAGTCAATAATACTATGTTAGTAGAGCTTAGCTGAGCTAATAATGCTGTTTTGCTGTTATTCTAGTCTGATCTAATTATTGCGCTTGTGTTCAGGTATTAAGCTGGATAACGAGTGCAATATAGTGTCAGTGGACCGCGCGTCGGCCGCGGGTCGTGCAGGGCTGCCCCTCGCGGGCCGCTGGGCGCTCACCGAGGTCAACAACCGCCCGCTCACTCTGCTTAAGGTAACAAACAGTTTTTCTAGGAAAAGACAATTTTTTCTTAAACCCTGTTAATGAACACTAACACTTAGCTTTTAGCTTTAGGGAATGGCTTTCCTTAATTAACAAAATTAATTAATATAGACACGACGCAGTGTAGGACGACCCCCCACTAGTTTTTTTTAATGCGTGATGGAATGGCAACTCGCCTGCGCTATCGGTATACGCTGGCGGGGCACCAGTGAGGGGTGATAGGTGACGATGAAAGCAGGTCAGTTAGCCCATCGTGACGAATTCCAATAGAATTAACCACGATGGTTTCCAGGGGGAACCGTGTGGAGGTCGACCTGATAAGGTGTAATGCTAGCAAAGGGGTCATTAAACCCCATTGCTAACAATCCCTTTCCCCCCAGATCCTTCACTAGATGGAGTGATGACTTCAAATGCGTTGCAGGGAGTCAGTGGATGCAGGTGGCTCAGGACCGTTCTTTATGGCAGTCTATGGGGAGGCTTATGTCCAGCAGTGGACGTATAATAGCTGAGATGATGATGATATAGATATACATTTAATTTGCTAATATTTTTGTAGTTAAATTTTTTTTATGCAACTTAGAATGGCAAACAAGCTGACGGCCCACCCGATGGAAAGTGGTAACTGTCGCCTATAGACATAAGCAGTACCGTGGACATAACAGAGTATACTGTTTCGCCCATGATACCCCCCATGCGTTGCCATTCCTGAGGACTCAGGTGTTATTCCTCCGTAACCAGTAAATTCACGCCATATCCCACCCTTCAAACCGAAACACAGCCATGCAAACACAACTGCTTCACGGTAGAGACACGTATGGGACAGACAGATTTTACATGTATATAAAACAATTGAAAAAGAGATGCATGATGCTTATAGTAAACCTGTGTTTGTCAAACTGTTTATAATTACTCCTCTCCATCCAAAGGTTGCCTGCAAGAGATCGCTCTTAGCGATAAGGCCGCCCATTGTTTTCTCGCTGTGATTATTTCTTGTAATTGTTTGTATCTATAATAAGTTTACTATTGTAATCTTATGGAGGAAACAATAAAGAGCGTCTATCTATCTATTTGTGCTTGTATGCAATTCCTATTGTTTCTCAAAATATTTTTCTCCATCAGGGTGGAGAAGAAGAGATGAACCGTCTCGCCATGCACGGCTCGGAGATCTCAATACTCATACAACCGGCGGCTCTAGTCAAGAAACTGCGTGCAGCCATCAAAGCAAACAAAACCCTCATGTCCATGAGATAAGGTTTAAATTCCTTTGGAGTTTGATGAGTGAATGAAGGAATGAAAGCTATCGGTCAGGTCAATGAACGATGTAATGACGTTTACACGATGGACGATTAGTTGTATTGTTTTGTTTTTTTTTTTTTTTTATCGCACAAGACACAAAACGCAAGTCTATTATTGGGAATAAGTTGAAATATTTGAAATGTCAAATTTAATTGATTTTTGGCTATTTTAAATTCAAATTTACAGTGATAGTTTAAAAATAATTTTATCCCGTGATTATTAATATGTTAAGAGTGTGTTTTTTTTTAATAATCAATCGGAAATATTGAAAATTGTTAACAAGTTGAAAAATTTAATTTTTGATATCTCTATGCACTGGGACACTGGATGGGAACCCATATCGCTAGTTTATCGTAGTCCTGGCAACTGAGTTTCCAGTTACACCGCGAAAGGGTTTTTTTTTTTGAAAAATTTTTCAACCTGTTAATATAATTTATGATATTTCAATGTAATAACTACCGGTTCAACTTAATTTCACGCCACAGCTGCCTACGATTAAGGGTTACGAATTGATACTGAAACTAGTCGAGCTTTCTCGATATAATTACAGGTAAATCTAACCAGTAGTTATTATATTAAAATATAATATGTGATTACAAAACTTTGATAGTTATTTTTTATTTCCAAATGAAGAGTTAGACATATTTGAAATATTTTCTAAATAAACTATTCTATTGATTTTGAATGTTCACATACAATTTTGACGTTGCTTTACTCTCTTATAGTTATTTCCTGCCTTTTTGTATTAATATGGCGGAGAGAAATTAAACACAACATGGCCGAATCACTAACCATAGACAAGAAGCAGTTACCCGCCAAATATATAGTTATTATAAAAAAAAGCCGGTCAAGTCAGAATCGGACTCGTGCAACGAGGGTTCCGTACAAAATCATCAAGTTTATAATTTCTTTTTTGTGAAATAACTACAAATTTTACTGTTTTCGGATTTTTTCCTTTACTTGTGCTAAGTGATGGTTTAAGAGGAACGCTGATGCTCATCTCTCGACTGTTAAGTTCCCTTAGTCGCTTACGACATCCACCAGTAAGGAATGAGTGGCCCATTCTATGCCGGGACCACACGGCAAGGCTGTCTTATGATTTTTTATTAAGATTCATTGGAGTTGTTTACGATAAGTTCTATTTCACAGATCTCTTGCACATGTAATAAAAACACACAAGTATTATATAGGCTACGGTAATCGCTTACCATCAGGTGGGCCGTATGCTTGTTTGCCACCTCAGTGGTTGATATGCAACTATTTGTTAAGCAATTTTGATTGTGATATATATATATACATATATATTTTATTATTAGAAAGGGTATTTTTACATTTTACACATAACATTTTTACACTGTACTTTTATACTCTATGGCAATATACTATTTTTTATCTATAAGTGATACTAAGAGTGGGCAATATATAGCAGTATCTATATATTTTAATTGCAATATTGATGCAATATATATCCAAAAAAAAAAATTGGATAACAGACTTTTAACATATTCGAAAATAGATATCCGACCGGTATAGGCGATATCGAAATGGGTGGTGACCTTTCCGCCATCGATATCCAGAGGAAACCCAATATATAGATATCGGATTGGTATCCATTTTACCATTGCATTAGTGATATAACGCGAAGACTTCTTACCTACAGTTGTTCACATTCATGACTGTTTCTATATTTGCTTTCAAGGAAGCATCGCAGTCATGTGTCGGCCTAATATGTAGTCGTGTTTGTACGCAGTTTGGTCAAGCTTTGAAAGTTCAATTTTTTTTAACCGGATAAAAAAACTAAGAGTTTGTATGTTCGGCTCTATGTATTTTTCAAACCACTTCGAAAACATGGAAGTTTTTAATTCGATTGTGTTTTTATTTTATGTTTTGTTACTTTATAACTCTGTCAGTTGTAAACCGATTTGGAATTTCTTTTTTTTTTTTTCTAAAAAAGGGTATATTTACAGTTTGGTCCCGTAGGATTTTTATCAAAATTGAATTTTTTAAAAAATATACTTTTTTTAACAAATCCCATACCGTAGTTTCTAGGGAAAACTTCGGCAGGTAGCTCATTACACAATTGAGCATTCACAGAAGAAAATTCCTTTAAAACCGCACTGTATTATTCCTATAAGAAGAAATAGGCCCGGTAGGTGGCGCTAAGGAGCAAAATAACGTTTACCTGATTACCTAGCGAATAATAAATAGAAATACTGATTGCATAAATTTACTTTACAATACTTTCATTGACCAAACTTGTACCTTGTCTACCATAAGAATAAATGTGCTGCGTAGAAATAACACCTATATACTTCATGGATGCGGCTATGCATCCAAAATGCATGATTTCCCTCTTCAGACCCTGCATAGGTCTGGAGAGATGCCAAAAAATTACCATGTAACAATATGGCGCGACTCCAGCGACACACGTGCGACAGAGCGAGCCACGCGTCCTCAACGACGTCTGTCACCCGCGAGCGCTGACTATCGACTGGCTTAGCTCGCAACAGCACGCGGGCCGGCCGCGCGACGTTCTTGTTATTATTATTGAATTCACGGGAGCGTTCATTCTACCCGCATATTTATTCTATTATTTGTACTATTTTTATATATACATTAATAAGTAAATCAAACGGCAGCTAACATAGAAAGTAAGATTTGCAATACAAATATATATTTTAAAACTAAACGAAACAATATTTACTAGACTTCTTTATATGAGAAACTGTGGGAATTCCAAAAAGTGGCTAAAAAACTGTTTGACTGATTTTTAAAGAAATATACAAGGATATATGCTTTTTGCATATTTGTACTAATATGTACACATATTTGTACTAATGAATAAATAAATAAATAAAAAATATATGTTTTTTAAAACATTTTTTTGTAATCTACAAGTGCAATGATATAAGAAGTAAATACCTAAGTTATTAGTAATGGCGACGTGTAAGTTGTACGGGCGGCACAGTGTATACACTTGTGTGTGTATGTCCAAGGTGCTGTACATGTCGACGGCCACCTTTTCATCAGGTGTACCGCCAGTTTCTTTGTCCTTTCCATTAAGAAGTACATTTTTATAAACTCCACTGATTTTTATAGGAAATTAATGTGAATTAATAATTTAATTTAATATTTCTTAATAATAATAATGCGTGAAATGAAACGCAAAGAATTTCGGTTGTAATCGGGACCAAATTTTGAAAAATTGTAAAATTAATTTAATAATCTTGGAGGATTCAACACGAGAGGGGCGACTCGAATGTTTTTTTCTACCGTAAGCTTAGAAGAGTCGAATATTAGCTAAAACTACATGCATTTAGCCATAACCGCTTACCATCAGGTGGGCCGTATGCTTGTTTGCCACCTTAGTGGTATAAAAAAAATCGTGTCTTAAAGATTTGTTATTTGAAAGAATAGCTATCGAGTTGGAAATAAGTCATCTATCTTCGAATTTAAAACTTTAGTAAAGCGGATAGAATTAATTACAAAATCTACATAATTGTTTCAGCATAGACTCTGATCGGTAATTGGTTAGGGGGACTGTACAAAAGTCGATAGCTTGGGTACCTCTGTCCCATTCGTGTTTCAACCGTGAAGCAGTTGTGTTTGCACGGCTGTGTTTCGGTTTGAAGGGTGGGATATGGCGTGAATTACTGGGTACGGAGGAATAACACCTGAGCCCTCAGGAATGGCAACGCATGGGGGGTATTTTTTTTTTAGTGGATAGCAATAGAATGGTAAACCCGCCTGCGTTTACGGTATATACACGCTGGCGGGGCACCAGTGAGGGATGATAGGGGAGAACGAAAAGGCAGTTCAGTTAGTCCATCGTGATGAATTCACTTGAAATCGTACACGATGGTTTCCAGGAGGGACCGCGAGGAGGTCGACCCGGCGGGGTGTATTGCTAGCAATGGGGCTACTAATCCCCATTTTTAATAATCATTTCTCTCTTGGAAGTTTTGTTTGTACGTGTTGTCTCCTCTCTGTGTTGAATTCTTGTTTTCATAATGGATCTCTATCGAATATCAATTAATTTATTTAAAAAAAATAATTCTGTATTTATTGGCAAATTATAATCATTATAAAAAATTTATTTACTCATTTTAGTTTTAAGTTTATTTTGTGATTTTATTCGTAATTATTAAATTGTGTTATTTTATGTAAACAATATTCACATATCTTAAAAAACCTTGTGATTTACAATATAAGCTTTGAAATAAATTTCAATAAAATACTGGCTTTTTTTTTCTTTACCTTCCTTCCCCATAGTGAATTTACAGAGTACAGAGGTATAACACCTGAATCCTCAGGAATGGCAACGCATGGGGGGTATCATGGGCGAAACAGTATACTCAGTTATGTCCACGGTACTGCTCATGTCTGTACGCGACGGTTACCACTTTCCATCAGGTGGGCCGTCAGCTTGTTTGCCATTCTAAGTTGCATAAAAAAGAAAATTGTCTCTCTTCTGAATGGGTGCCACTATGTGATGCTATTCCTGAGGACTCAGGTATTATTCCGCTGTACCCAGTAAATTCACGCCATATATCACCCTTCAAACCGAAACACAGCCATGCAAACACAACTGCTTCACGGTTGAAACACGAATGGGACAGAGGTGCCCGAGCAAGTCTCCCTCTGCTAAAATAGTAATTAAGCTATGTGCGTTTCCTAAATTAGCATGTCTAGGAAACACACCCGGGACCTCATTTCAAGCGACGAGCTCACTACTGGACCATGGAAGTCGACAGATATTGGAAAATTTAATTGTTACTGCTCAAATAAGGTTTAAATGGATTTTGAATGTACCTATGCCACAAAATAAACACAGAATACTTTTTAACCGACTGAAGAAAGAGGTTCTTAAGCAATTCGGTTGTATTTTTTTTGTTTGTTATTTCATAACTGTCAGTTTTTAACTTTCCCACGCACAACCACTCTTTGGAATCAACTTCCAGCAGCAGTATTTCCGAACCGATACGACAACATAACCTTCAAGAAAAGAGCATATTCCTTTTTAAAAGGCCGGCAGCACACCTGCAATGCCGTTGGTGTTGTGGGTGACTATGGGCGGCGGTAGTCACTTACCATCAGGTGGGCCGCATGCTCGTTTGCCCCCTGTGTTGTAAAAAAAAAGTTATAAACTGTTTTGCTATTTTTTTATCTTCCACTTACAGAATGCTCATATAGAAATTTTATTAAAATCCGTTCAATAGTTTCTCATTTCATTTAATTTTTTATTTCATTTCTGATTTCATGGGTACCTCATGAATTGAGCGAATCGAACTTCCAAACACGTGTCGACTGCTGTGTTACAATGCTCAACCGACACAATAATGAAGGGATTTTAAATCAAATCATTACTTGTGATGAATAGTGGATAGTGTACGATAATTGGAAGCGCTCGTCGCAATGGCTGAATCCTGGATACCCAGCCAAATCCTGCCCTAAACGAAAATTGGCTCAGAAAAAGTTACTTGTGACTGTTTGGTGGACTAGCGCCGGTGTCGTTCGCTACAGCTTTCTAAAATCTAGCCAAACGATTACGGCAGATATCTATTGATAGCAACTGTGAATTATTGAGGTAAAACTAGCTGTAAAACGACCGGAATTAGTCAATCGCTCTAGCCCACTGCTGTTTGACGACGACGGATCGCACACTGCACAACAAACTACCACTAAGTTAGATGAGCTACAATTGGAATGTCTGCGACATCCACCGTACTCCCTGGACCTCGCTTCAGATCACACTTCAGAACAGATCACTATTTTTTTCAGAATTTGGACAACTTCTTACAAGGAAAAAATTCAACTCCGGTGCAGCAGTACAAACCTTCAAAGAGTTTATTGACTCTCGCCCCCATGGTTTTTTAGTAAAAGGATCAATGAATTACCTGTGAGATGGTAAAAGTGCATATATGGTATAATAATGGTGCATACTTTAATTAATTAAAAATATTTTACAAAAAAAGGAAAACTTTTTATATTCCTCCCGGACAAAACGCCAATTTCATATATAAGGACCTTATAGTAATTTTAAATATTTTTAAATTATTTCAGCCGTTAACTGTCCACTGCTGGACATAAGCCCTCCCCATAAGGGGAGTTTTGCCAGTAGTTGCCACGCCTGGCAGGTAAGTTGGCAATTGCAGTTAGGCTTTTAGAAATGTTTTAAAAGGGACGCTGCTGCCCATCCCTCCACTATAAGCTCCCTTAGTCGCCTCTTACGACACCCACGGGAAAGGAAGGGGTGGCCATTCTATGCCAGCACTTACACTGAAATTTTAAATATAGGATACTGTATGTAATGATTTACGGGAAACATTAAAAAAAACGAGTTGCAAGATAAAAATATTATATTTTACACATCATCAAGTATACAGCATTTAACAAACGCCTTTGAGACTTTCCAGTTATAATCTGAATTAATTATATAATAATAATTGTTATATACATAATTTGCTCAACGGAATAATTACATTGGAAGCAATTATTTATAATTATATATATATATATATATATATATATATATATATATATATATATATATATATATATATATATATATATATATATATATATATATGTAAATTTGATTTTATTTCCGGTCATTCACAATCCATACATTACGTCAGAAATGACCTGTTTCAACAATTGATTTCAACAGGAACATGTAGGGGTGTGTGTGTGTGTGTGTATATATATATATATATATATATATGTTACAACCCTAAACAATAGAGTATAAATTTCAGTAGGGGGAAAGGGATTGTTAGCAATGGAGTTTGACAGCCCCATTGCTAGCAATATGCCTTATTAGGTCGACCTCCACGTGGTTCCCCCTGGAAACCATCGTGAACAAATCTTTTTGAATTCGTTACGATGGGCTAACTGACCTACTTCATCCTAACCTATCATCCTTCACTGGTGGCCCGCCTGTGTATACCGATAGCGCGGGTGGGGTTACCATTCCATTATCATCCATTAAAAAAAAATAACACCTCAGTCCTCAAGAATGGCAACGCATGGGGGGTATCATGGGCGAAACAGTATACTCCGTTGTCTATGGTACTGCTCATGTCTATAGATAACGGTTAACACTTTCCAGTAGGTGGGCCGTCAGCTTGTTTGCCATTCTAAGTTGTATAAAAAAAAATATCGAGTTATGAGCCCCTAGGTATAGATGACGCTAGCAGAAATGGCCGTAAAAATGGCGACCGATTGCCATTAAGGAAAAGAAACTAATGATGTATTAAAACTATGTGTAAATGAGTATATCTGTATACTTTATAAGTATGTATAGTATATTTATATATTAAAAGTATATATTTAAAATCCGGCTAAAGTTTCTAAATCCTGTAATTACAGACAAATGAAGGAAATCATATTTTCATTACAAATATGTAAATCATATAAAACCTCTAGGAAGACAATTGGACACAATGGATTTGTTTTTATTTTTCTCAAACATGCTTGGAAATGTGTGCCTCGGCTACGCTTCGGCCCACATTTGCACGTTCGTCCATCAATGCCTCGGTTGCTGGCCGCTGTAGTAATGTACTATTATTTTTAGATAACTGATTTTTAACATATTCGTTATAGGATATTGTAACTAAAATATATAGATATTGCTATATACCCATCCCTATTTTTTTTTTGCTAGGTGAAAATGCTATGGTAACCCCGCCTGCGCTAACGGATTACGCGGGCGGAGCACCAGTGAAGGGTGATAGATGAGAATGAAAACAGGCCAGTTAGCCCATCATGATGAATTCATCAGGAATTAACCATGATAGTTTCCAGGGGGAACCGCGAGGAGATCGACCTGGTTGTTGACTTATTGTTTGTCGTCTTATACTTACATTCAGTTATATGACGTAACATATGGATATCGTGTACACTATATTAAAATACATCGATATTTTAAATTAAAACATATATTATTAATGAAAATACCTTAAAATTGGTGCTTAAATTTTAATATACAAATATTTTTCACTGTTTGATCAGATTGGTTGATTTTTTGGTTAACATTAAATTCTTGTACAGTAGAAAGGACTTAAGACTTGTTTCTAGTGCCACGAATAAGCAATCAATTTTATATTTTGACGAACTAAGGATTGGATAAGCTAAGGATTGTCCTGTCCAACTTTACAGTTAATCAATTATTTATTATTTTGTTCAAGTTGCAAAAATGTTTTAACGGAATATAACAATATGTATCTTACATTAAAAATTAACAATAATTCGGTTAATAAACATTTTATTTACACTAATTACACAATAATACTATTAAAATGGAATAACTATGTTTTAGTAATACAGTAAGGCATGATTTTTTTAATTTCACTTCATTTATACACATTTTTATTCTTGTTCGCTCAGTTTAAATAAAAATCTTTGATATACGTACATTGAAAAAATAATTTAAATCAGTATTGTGTATGACAGATGTGAAGATAGTTTTTTTTTAATAAAGATTGTTCCATAAGAAACAGGCTAAGGTCAGCGGCCATGCTGCCTAGTCTTCAGCATGTGACGATAGGTCAACCACATCACATTTCTTTATACTCGACTCTGTAGAGACCAAGGAAATTTCACACGCATAGAGTAGTGAACAGTCTTTAAATATATTTAAAAACTACAAATAGACCAATCGCAAATAGAAAAAAAAAACATTTTTTTTATACGCTACTCTGTAGAGTCCACAGAGCAATGTAATCACTACGAGTAGAGTTTATCCACTGATTGGTTAATTATGAATCGTATAAATATTATATAATGTAGTGTGAACTTAGTAAAAAAAAGTGCAATGTTTTAAAACAAAGTGATGTACAACTATCGATATCGATAAAATGTTTTAATTATTAAAATTCAAAAGAATTCATGTACTAAAATTCAAAAAATGTTATCACATACAATAATAGCTTTTAGTATATCCACAAAGATTTTAAATTGACGAAATATATATTATATATACAGTGTGAAAGTGGAAGGCTCCAAGTATCCGAGGAGTCCCAAATTGATCTATCATAGTTAAATAGACTGAGCGCTGTTTAAGGGAGGAGCTAAGAGTTTTCGGGGTGAGCGTATTTGTATTAGGTGCGTGAAAATGGACGAAGTAAAAGATATAAAAGCTTTTGGAACTCTCAATATCGATGATTATATAAAAATACGGCAATGTAGCCCGTATTTTTTTTTTGCACAACGGGAATTTTACGAAACTACTGCATGTAATTACTTATTTAATTACTACACAGTAAGCCAATGTGGAGCTGGTTTGACTCTTAACCTGATTTTTCTGCCAACACTAAATCACTATGTGATCGTATATCGTTACCGACAATTGTTTCGACTTCCTCCGGAAATCTTGTTTAGGGGTCATACGATGCTTTACATCACGTCTTATCTCACACTGCGGGCTGCAGCTCACAGAGAGTCAGTAAGGATATTGACGGCGTCGGAGGAGTAAACACAGTATGTTAATAAAAATCCCGTTGTGCACGTATAAAGACATCGTTAAAAAAATAACAATAAGTTTTAAAAATAGAAACGATATATGATTCTATAAAGTACTGGCTCTTATTCGAGAATTATTCGAGCTCAATTTGACGGGAGAAAGGTTTGTGCATATAACAGCGGTACTACAGTTGGCTATGCCAAGATTGCTGATTTGCAGCCTTTTGAAAGTAAAAGATAATCACGATTAGAAATTACTTTCCTAATTTTCTCATTGAAAAACACTAACACTCAATTACACAAATATATATCGAAGACGTATTGCATTGTTTCTCGAGGTATTTAAATAGTATAAAACAAAGTTTCTGCCCACGTCCGTCTGTTTATTCTTTTAGATACTTCTAAACAATTTAGATATTTTTATGGAAGGTTTGTATGTAGAATTTATATCCATGTGAAGCCGGGGCGATTTGCTAGTAAGAAAGCAATAAGGCGCCCACAAATTGACATAATGAAACTGGAAAGTTTTATAGTGCTACATGCTAGCACAATGACAAAGGAAAGGACCAACTTTTTAGCGAGTTTAGGTAATTCAGTCGAAAAAAGAGGTCATCTTTTGATTGTTATTTCTAATGTTATTTCTAATATTCAAGATCTTTGGAGTGTAAGAAAATATTTAATAACGGGTTGACGAATTTACAATTTTTGCTGTCTTGTAATTACTTACGTCAGCTTTACTCATGTCTTTAAATTCGGGGATGCCCGACTAGTTTCGAAGTAGGAGCCCTTATTTATGAGCGTGATTTACGGTTGTGTCGCTCGTTGCAACTAATCGGGCATCTCCGAATTTAAAATCATGAGTAAAGCCAATATAAATACAATATAGTATGACTCATGATAATTATTATTTTTGGTGTTACTATATTAATTTTATTCATGGCAGTGCTTTAACTATATGAGATTGCAAAATAAATATGGCGGTCATGAATTGTCAATAACTAATTTTAGAGTCGAGTTTTTGTAATCGAAATATCAGCACCAACTTATGTTTGTAGCGTTGTAAATCGATTATTTTATAACTTGGTGATGCGTTAATTTACCATCAGATTTTCTAATTACAATAATGTATCTTATAAACTAAGATTTATGAAATTCATTAAACAAATGCACTATAAAATCACCTACTTTAATATATTTTATTTGAACATAATTAATAATCAATTTCTTAACTGAGCACCTACATTACTAGTATATTTTTTATTGCATTAATAATATAGTATAGGTAATTAGCGCTGGATAGAATCTTCCTGCATTTGCAGATTGTGAAGTTTGTTCTAGCGTTAACCATCTATTCCAAAGTCCGTTCTCTTTGAGTAACGACATGGCTGGATATTTTATATAAAGCACATAGCTTTTGACTCTAGCTGTCAGTCGTTTGGCAACAGAGCCGATCCTATGGCTCCATTCTCTAACTTTATAAAACTGAAATTTTTATTTTGATAGTTTAGCGAAATTAATTTATAACAGACCATCAAAAACTAACGCTTTTATTCATAAAAACTAATATCTCACTATTTTGTCACTTTCATTAAAACTGAGAATTTAGCGCAAAAGAAAGAGACATAATAGCTAAAATTGCTTTATGAGAGCGTTGTCGTTTTATGAAGAAATAAATGTAAAGTATTTCTATTTTAATAACCACTGGTTTAACTTACGTATAAATAAAAAATCAAGGAAGCTCGACTAGTATCGGAATCGATTTGTGATCCTTAATCATGTATGGCTGTGACACGAGCGCGAGCCTGAATATTATACCGGTAGTTATTGCATTAAAATGTGTGCTTACGAAACAAAATATTTCTGACTCAATTTTATTATAAGTACATTTATTTTATGTCGGCCTTTATAACAACAATTGTAATATTCGCTGCATTATCAAACTAAAATTTGAGTTTTCAAGATATAGTGCTGTTATATTGCATTATTTTCAATAAGAACAAACGTTTTTACTTAATTTTAAAACTTAGTAAAATTAAACTAATCGTCAGTACAATTATTATTCAAAAAACTTATATATAAAGTTACCCAACCCAATTAAAAACAATTAATAACTAAATTATTACTATTATACTTGTAAACTAAAAATATGTAAGTACATCTATTGACGAAATTTAACTTAAAATACATTGGTTCTTTTGAAGCATTGAATGGGTGGGTGAATAAATTCCCATTATAAAAACATTCACATGGCATTTTACATTATCATTTATATATAGGATTCCATTAATATTTTCAAAATATAGGATGTACACAATAAATAGTTCCAATAGTATTACAAAACTATAAAAGATATTGTAGTTTTATTGGTATTTGAATTAAAAAATAACCCGATTGACTTATGTAGATTTTAGTCTAAAATGCTTCGACTAGTTCCGTCTCATAATCTTGACACGTAACATAAACTCCAATGAGTGTAAAATAAAATATAATTAGTTGGCCAACTTGCGAAATACTAAAATGCTTTAATATCTATTTTATAACATTTGTGTATTGTTTATATTTTTATAGAACATCAGCCCCCCCCCCCATAAACAATTAATAACTTAATATCGATAACATAACATCGACTAATGCACTGCACACAGTTTAACATTCATAAAGATATCTCGAAGCTCGCGCGCTTATGCAATTTTATCGTGAGTGAATAGTCCTACAGCAGGATAATGCCCTACGTTATGTTTTTTTACTGTAATCAAAGCCCACAATACATATATTTGCAGTAGAATAAATATCAGCTTCAGTACATTTTTGTAGACTTTTTACCATATCAAATAGGGATGCGCGAAGTATCGAGAAAAATATCGATATAATCATACAATTTTTAATTGTATTTTTTTTATGTTAAAAAAGCTTTACATTTGTTTAATGTAATTAATTTAATAATATTATTTGTCAATTATTTCTTTTACATTTATAATGCTTCCATTTTATTTTTAATACAATTTAATTGACCAAATTATTATGGGATTTACGCCCGACGCGATTTCTCATCGACAATTTACGTAAACTTTCATAATTTAAAAAATTATGCTTTATTAGTGCTAATCTACATTTTAGGGAGTTTCTATGCATGTTTCATAGTTTTAAATCTTCTGGTTTACGCTGTGTGTTATCGGCCAATGGAGTTGGTTCCGAGTTGGCATTACCAAAAATGTTATTTGATTGTTATGGGTCATCAAGTATTAAATGTACAATAAAACAGTTCTGACGCATTTCGTTTGTTTAACACCAGTAGGTGTTTAAAATATTTATTCTGTAGAAATATTAAATTAATTTTTATTATTTAAGATGGAGAATAATGCTTTAAAATCAACTTCAAAGGAGAAATTTATTAACTAGATAGCTACTACGTTTTGGGCTTAGTCGTTGTAGAATATTACAAAAAATTTGAGAAAATGAATAGGATAATCGTGAAAATAGAACAAAATTAATTCACTGAGTAGTAGTTATTGGTATAAAGAAATTTTAGGTTATAAATTTCTACATTTATTATTTTTTTATCAAATGAGATAAATCATAAAATTCAAAATTGCAAGTAATTTGTTCGCACTTCTATTTATCATATTATTTATTTATTTATAATCACGTTTGACTTAGTGTTACTACTGTTAAATTATAGATTTATTTTGTGCCAGAAAATGAAGTAACTAAACTAAAGAATAACTAAAGACGTGTGATGAGTCTCACAGAAAAACTTAAACTGTGATAAAAACAATTATTTCGATTCAAACTAAAATACTGGCCGATTTTGATAACACTTCTACGGGACCAATCTGTAAGTATAAGAAGAAAGTCTGAATTCAGACCTTTTGGTGTCTGAATAAATAAATATAATAATAATTATATCCTTTCAGATAAAAAAAAAAAATTCAATTCGGTTTGTAACTATTATGTAAGCGGTTGAAATGTGTATTAAATTTGTTTGTTTTGATATATATATATATATATATATATATATATATATATATATATATATTACGTTGACAGAAGGAATGTATTAGTAATGAATATGCAATTTGACGCGTTTTAAATGTAAAACGAGAAATGATATTTTTAATACATAATGTATTTTATTTCTGGCGGAGTTTAAAATTTTTATTTTATATGTGTATATCAAATTACCTAATTTGGTGTGTTCTATTTACTATACTGGGTTAAATCAGAAGTATTGTATATACATACAAAGATATAACTTTTAGATTTTTAACTTTTTCGTTCCATGGTTTATAAGAGAAAGTAAATAAAGCTGTTAACTATATTATGTATTTCGGTGAAGTCTGCTCGTGACCATGGCTGGTGTAATCTGGTCGAAATATCAAGATAACCCAGGTAAAATAATAAATAAATGTTTTTTAATTTGTATGTAATAAACCAATTTAGTTTGTATTCATACAAATTATTTGTATAATTAAACTTTTGAAAAAAAAAACAGCTGCCTTTCTTACCCGTTCTTCTTGGCTGAAATTGCGTTCAGAATGAGTGGCAATGAAAAATAATTACTATTTAAAAATATTTAAATCTAAATTTGAATACAAATATTTCATTCTTTCTTCCGTTACATGATTGCGTTATTTTCTATCTCTTAAAAATCAATAGAATTCTTTTAAGGCAACATAAGAAGGGACAAGGGAGTGCCAGTGATTTTACACCATTGTTCCCATTCTGCTGTTAAATTTGTACAGAAGGCTGGCTCTAAATGTTTTTTGATTCATATATCTTTTGAAAAATCTTCAGTTTTATTGGTAGAAAGTCGTTTTAAAGCGTACCATTACATAAACGAGCAAAAGTATTTTGTCAGCCATTTTAGTTGCTATTTCGACCAAGAAGTATAAATACAAAAATTAATTGCAATATAAAACAATGGATGCCAATAAATTCCATTTGAAATATATCACATCTGTATCGATAATACCGCTGTGTGTAAGTGAGATGGCAACAAGAACTGCCGACGCTTAAGACAACGTATTTTTCATCTCTCTCTATCAACTACTCTTCAAATAATGTAAGCGGGATGGAAGACGAAAAAGGTCATAACTTTATCGCCATCGATTCAGAATTAACTTTGCAATCACTATTAGGTTTGACGCTTCTTGATTTAAGGAAATAGCTAGTAACCGTTAAATAAATATAGATTAATATTAACATGTATACCTGTAACATAGAATTACGCCTTTTCAGACAAGGATTTCCTCTCGGCAAGCTTCCTTCTTCTGTGTATAAACGGAACGAACCCCCATAGCGCTGCGCCGCTTATTAAAATAAAACCGAGAGTAATAAAAAGTGATTTATACGATTTGGTATGTTCAAACCATATTCCGCAGATAGGAGGTCCGACTAACTGCACAATGCCATTCACAAACAAACTAATACCATACGAGGACATAAGCCGCTCGGTACCCAACATTTCGGTCATGACAAGAGCAGTTACACCCACGTTGATACCAGAAGCGATACCGAAAATTGAACAGAACGCACTGACTGCCAAATAACTGGATACCAATGGTATTATAGCCAAGCTGATACCGGATAACAAGAGGCCGAATATGAAGAAATAACGTTTCGGGGTCATCACTAGATCGGATAGTGCTGAGCCACCGATTCTGCCGATTAAATCGAGTGCGGATATTATCGATAGTAAGTACGCCCCTAGCGATTTGTCGAAGCCACATTCTTGCGCGTAAGAAGGCACTAGGATAATGAAATTCGTGTACGAAATTGCACATGTACAATTCGAAATCAGGATGACCAGGTAGATAGGGTCTTTTAGAAGTTGCACGTCGAAGTATTTGCTCGGTTCCTTTTTTGTTTCGTCGTCTTTTGGCCGCTTTTTCCAACCGCAGCAGTAACCTATCGGAGCTAAGCTTTCCGTTACGGATTTTAGACTGAATTGCGATGCAAACTCGCTAGGTTTCTCAAAAGCTGATAACGTGGAGCCGTGGAAAGGTGTCGACATGTATTGAAAACTAGATGTTGACGGGCTACGTTTCGGAGTCTTTGGAACTGCTAGTTTTTTGCCAAATGCTTCCTGAGAGTTAACTCTGGAACTTCTGCCTTCTGGGACCGATTCTAGCAGAGACGGGTTGCTTGGTAGATGGTTTTTGCTGGCGATATGCTGCAAACCATGTTTCGATGATACTGGGGTAGATATTTTTCTGCTTTTCTCGATATCTCTTGAGGTCACTAGAGCCGCGCTGGCTGATCTTGCGAAATTTTCTTTATTGGGCGACGATTTGTCATCGAAGTTAGCGTTGGATTTGTTTTTAAAGATCGGCGGCGATCCGTTAGGGTGCTTTTCGCATATGGGCGTAATGTCGTCAGGTGTTAACATCATCTTGGGGTTGCAAGACACTTCCATGTCACCGGCTTCTTCTTCCACGAATGGTTCAAGCTGTGAAAATATTGAGGAGAAATTAACTTTGTCGGAATATAAGTAATAATCAGTAATAATAGGGATTAAGTACTTCATTCTTAGCAATTTCAGGTTGACCGCACGCGGTTTTCTCTAACAATCTTATACTTGGCGGATTCGTCACATTGGGCAAACTGACCCAATTTCATCTTCACCCATCATCACTCACTGATACCCTGACAGTGCAGAGGGAAAAGGATTCTTAGTAATGGGAATATAAATAAACCCTATGACCTCGACATCCACGCGGTTCTCTGGAAACCCTCATGGTTATTTCTTGTGAAATTTATTACGATTGGCTAACTGACCTGCTTTTATCCTCACCTATTATCCCTCACTGGTGTCCGTTATCCCGTCAGCGCTATCCGTTTACCATTCCATTATCATTAATAAAAAAGCAGAATAGCGGAAGCGGGGTTATGATTCCATTAGCGTCCATATAGTATCCGTATTCTATTAGTACAGGTAAATTAAGTTAAAAAAAATTGAAACGAACATTCATATTGTTCCTATTCACCCCATTTTACGATACGTACTATGAATTTTACGATTTTACCTAAAATGGGGGTGTATATACTGATTTTTGTAGTGGCAATATGCCTTAATGTAATGAAATGAAATTAAAAATAAAATTAATTTGCTAGAAACATTGCCGATAAGACATTACATTTTTTTTTGTAGTTATGTCCATTGTGTTCCGCTTATAAACTTAGTATAACGTATTAGGCATATACCATTTTTAACATCTCCCTCACTCAAAACATCTTTAAAGCCTAACTGTGGCTGCCAAGGATGGCAACTACTGGCAAAATCCTCCCCCTAGGAGGCTTATGTTCTATTATTATATGTGTTTCTATCGTGAAGCAGTTGTATTTGCATGACTGTATTTTGGTTTGAAGGGTGGGATATGGCAGTGAATTTACAGGGTACAGAGGAATAACATCTGAGTCCTCAGGAATGGCAACGCATGGGGGGTTTAGGAAATATGTAAATATATGACGATGAGGTATTTGGTGGGTATGCCAGTAGATAAATTAAAATCTGACTTACTGTTATAAAATGCTTAAGTACGTTCACACAATGTTCACAACTCACATAAACACATAAACACAAAAGGAGAAAGATTATACAAGCACAGATATATACATTACAAGATCAAGGACACAAACAAAGATAATAATTAGCGAGCATATATATATTAAATAAGCGAAAGCGACATTCAAATATTAAAACAACTGTCCAGCAAAGCGGTAGTTTTTGACTGGTCTATGCGCCCGCGCAGGCCGCGCGGCTACCGTCACGAGTTAAAAATAGATCGAGCGGCAACGCTACTCGACTGCACGTTTTCATTACCTCTATACGATTTTAGACCAGCCGGCACGATTTGCCGTGTGTAAGATATATAAATAAATATATGTGAATAAATATTTGTAAATAAATAAATTAAATATAATATTAATTGTGCAAGTCATTTACAATATATAAATAAATATTTGTAAATAAATAAACAAAATTATATTAAATATGTAAGTCGCCTACACCACCCCCCACCAGAGACCGTCAAGGGCGATAAAAATCTGTAAATTTGACACGCCGCCCAGAACGAGTAGTACGATCTTTTTGGATTTCTGGTAGGGATTCCTGTTCCTGGTCTGCTAATATGAAAGCCGGTTTCAATCGGTCTATGGAGACCGTAACTTCTTTATTTTTATGTAAAATTTTGAAAAATTTTTCCCCCCTTATTATCACCTTATGCGGACCAGAATAAGCGGGTTGAAGTGAACCACGTGATGCGTCTTCACGTAGGAAGACGCGATCACTAGTATCTAGTTCTTTATGAACAAAACATTTTGGGGTACTATGATGTGAAGTGGGTACTGGACGTAAATGTTCAGCTATTTTTCTCAGACGGGCGGAAAATTCAGAAATGTCTGTGGTTCCGGGTACGTTGGCTTCAAAAAATTCACCGGGAAGTCTCAAAGGCTCACCGTATACCAACTCAGCAGACGATGCCTGTAGATCCCCTTTAAAGGCGGTTCTGACGCCGAGCAGGACCCATGGCAGAGATTCTGTCCACTGATTATTAGCATGACATACTATTGCCGCTTTAAGTTGTCTGTGGAAGCGTTCCACGAGACCGTTGCATTGTGGATGGTAAGCTGTTGTCCGTTTATGTTCAAAACCGGTCATTTTAGATAGGCTTTCGAACAGAGCCGATTCAAACTGTCGCCCACGGTCAGTTGTAATGACTGTAGGACAACCAAAACGGGCAATCCAGGACGACAGCAAGGCTTTGGCAACGGTCTCGGCAGTAATGTCTTCTATCGGTACTGCTTCTGGCCATCGTGTAAAACGATCTACAGCAGTTAGACAATACCGATAGCCTTGCGAGATTGGGAGTGGACCCACCAGATCTATATGAATCTGTGTGAAACGCGCACGTGGTAAGTTGAATTTACCAGGAGGGGCTGTTACGTGCCGATTAATTTTTGCACGCTGACACGAAATGCAGGCGCGTGCCCAGTCCCTACAATCTTTTCTAACTCCCGGCCAGACAAACCGTTCCGCGACTAATTTGGCGGTAGCGTCTGCGCCTGGGTGGCTTAAGGAATGCAAGCTATCGAAAACTTGCTTCCGAAAAATCTTTGTAACAAAAGGCCTGGAGGTCGCTGTACTGACGTCGCAATACAAAGGTAAGTGACTTCCAGGTACTGTTAGTTTTTCGAAATGCAAAGATGAACCTTCCTTGATTAGTTTTGCTAACTCGGGGTCTGAGACTTGACTTTCAGCTAACTGTTCTAGGCTTACAGGTGCGCTCAGCTCATCAATGCGTGACAAAGTGTCGGCCACGACATTGTCCTTACCAGATATGTGACGAATATCGGTGGTAAACTGAGATATAAAATCTAGGTGTCTATACTGCCTAGGCGAGCAGTTTGTCTTCCTTTCATGGAATGCAAAACTAATCGGCTTGTGGTCAGTATACACAATGAAATGCCTAGCTTCGAGCATGTGTCGGAAATATTTAATAGCCTCGTATATTGCAAGCAGTTCTCGGTCGTAGGGTGAATATTTTTCTTGTGAAGGACTTAGCTTCCGAGAGAAGAAAGCTAAAGGCTCCCATAACCCATTTGTAAGCTGTTGTAAAACAGCACCCAACGCCTTATCAGATGCATCTGTCACCAGTGCAAGTTTAGCAGTGCAGTCTGGATGTGCTAATAATGCAGCGTTGGATAGTTCATCCTTGCAAGCTTCGAAAGCTGCTAGAGTATCAGCTGTTAGACTAATTGGATGTGATCCTTTAACCGCACCAGTCAGTAAAGCATTTAGAGGGGCCTGGGTTTTAGCAGCTTGAGGAAGAAATCTCCTGTAAAAATTGAGCATACCCAAAAATCTCCTCAACTGACGTACATTAGTGGGAGCAGGAAAGTCTTTAATTGCTTGCACTTTAGAGTCCAATGGTCTGGTGCCGCGCTCCGAGATACTGTAGCCTAGAAAGGTTACCTCTTGGGCCCCGAAGACACATTTAGACGTGTTTAAAAGCATACCGTAATCTTTCAGCCTGGCAAAGACCATACGAAGATGTTCTTCGTGCTGCGCTTCGCTCCTAGAAAAGATTAAGAAGTCGTCAAGATAACAATAGACGAAATCAAGTCCCCTGGTCATCTCGTCCACAAACCTTTGAAAGGTTTGACCAGCATTCCTAAGACCAAAGGTCATAAATGGGAACTCGAATAACCCAAATAGTGTTGTTATCGCCGTTTTCGGTATATCTTGCGGGCTAACAGGTATCTGATTATAGGCCTTGACGAGATCTAGCGTGCTAAAAAATTTGCAGCCTGAAATGCTATGGGAAAAGTCATGAATGTGCCTAATTGGATATCTGTCAGGCACGGTACGGGCGTTAAGCATTCTATAGTCCCCGCATGGACGCCAACCGTTGTCCTTCTTTGGCGCTAAATGAAGAGGCGACGACCAAGGGCTCTCCGAAGGTCGGGCTGTGCCGCTATTAATCATCGACTGGAACTCCTGTCGAGCAATTTTAAGTTTATCGGGTGCTAAACGACGGGGTGAGCTAGCTACTGGAGGACCTGGGGTCGTACGAATATGGTGAACAGTGTTATGTGGTGTGGCGTGATGTGTACCAGCTGGTCTAGTGATTTCCGGAAACTCGTTAAGAATTTTGTGATACTGAGAATCACCAGTCAAGACTTTCACAGAGTGGACATCTTTACAATTTGCAAAAGTAGCTACTGAAGCTATAGATGTAGTGTTATCTATAAGTTTTTTATTGCGACAATCAACTATTAGATTATAAAATTTTAAAAAATCTACACCAATAATAGGTTTTGTTACATCAGCAACAACAAAGCGCCAGCTGTAATCTCTATGCATGCCAAGATTTAAATTTAAATGTACATAACCATAAGTAAATATGTTTGAGCCATTGGCTGCACACAACTCAAAATTTGTCCGAGCACGACGATCACGTAGCGCCGACCGAGGGAAGACACAGAGGTCGCTACCAGTGTCGACCAAAAACTGCAACTTCGAATGTCTGTCGGTGACGAACAGGCGACCAGTAGTGGAAGTCGGGCAATCGTCAGCCGCCATTATCGATTGCCCATGGAGTTTCCCGCTTGATAGTCGCAGGGGCGGACGCAGTGACTTGCCTTGTCCCCAAATTTACCGTGATACCAGCATATTGGAAATTTGCGGTAATTAGATTGGGACCGCTGATTCGACCGGGATCTGCTACGCGTGGTACGTCTTGAAGATCGCTGCTGGGATCCTCTGCTTCCTTGTGTCGTGAGACTTTGAAGTTGTCTCCGAAGTTCAGCAATCTCCCTTCTCAGGTCGCCAATTTCAGTGCAAGAAGACGCTTGGTTTAATGAAGCGACTCTAGGCGTTGATGTTGTAAGATCGTTTACCCTGTCTGCTAAGTCTGCTAAGTCGTCGAGATGAGTAGAAGTAGGTTGTCCCGCTAGCACAGTTTGGATACCGTGGGGTAGACGGCTGATCCAAATAGTTTTAATGAAGTCGTCTGGAACGTCTACCCCAGCGAGTCCTTTTAAATGGCGAAGGAACTGTGATGGCTTCCTGTCACCGAGCTCCTCATGCATTAACAATTGTTTAAGTTTATTCTCATTCGAAGCTGTGAGTCTTTTGATGAGTTCAGCCTTAAGTTTTTCATATTTATGAGTCGCTGGAGGATTAATGATGATATCTTTCACCTCTCTGGAATACTTATTATCTAATTGGCTAATTACGTAATTAAATTTGGTTGCGTCGTTTGTAATGCCAGATATTGAAAATTGTCCTTCTACTTGGGCGAACCAAATTTCCGGTTCCTCAGGCCAAAATGGAGGTACACGAATCGCAACTTTATATACTTCCGATCCATCATGAGACCCACGAGAAAAATCTCGTCCGTCATTATTCTCGTCCGTGTTGACATTGGACCTGCGCCCTCCACGTTGCATAGCGTCTTGCTGCGCGTCTAGAGATTCTTTTTCCATGTTCTAACGGGGTCACCAGTTTAGGAAATATGTAAATATATGACGATGAGGTATTTGGTGGGTATGCCAGTAGATAAATTAAAATCTGACTTACTGTTATAAAATGCTTAAGTACGTTCACACAATGTTCACAACTCACATAAACACATAAACACAAAAGGAGAAAGATTATACAAGCACAGATATATACATTACAAGATCAAGGACACAAACAAAGATAATAATTAGCGAGCATATATATATTAAATAAGCGAAAGCGACATTCAAATATTAAAACAACTGTCCAGCAAAGCGGTAGTTTTTGACTGGTCTATGCGCCCGCGCAGGCCGCGCGGCTACCGTCACGAGTTAAAAATAGATCGAGCGGCAACGCTACTCGACTGCACGTTTTCATTACCTCTATACGATTTTAGACCAGCCGGCACGATTTGCCGTGTGTAAGATATATAAATAAATATATGTGAATAAATATTTGTAAATAAATAAATTAAATATAATATTAATTGTGCAAGTCATTTACAATATATAAATAAATATTTGTAAATAAATAAACAAAATTATATTAAATATGTAAGTCGCCTACAGGGGGTATCACGGGGGAAACAGTATACTCTGTTATGTCCATGGTACCGCTCATGTCTATAGGTGACGGTTACCACTTTCCATCAGGTGGGCCGTCAGCTTGTTTTCCATTCTAAGTTGTATAAAAAAATCTTTATACTGGTCCAATAAGGAATATGTTAAAAGTCTGTTATTCAAATAAATAATATTGGATAACACACTTTTAACATGTTCGAAAATAAACAAACAAGCATACGGCCCACCTTATGGTATGCGATTATCGTAGCCTATCAATGCCTGCAATACCAGAGGTGGTACGCATGCGTTGCAGACCCTGAAGAAATCTCTTTACTCCTTTTTTGAATTACTTTATGCTTTAGACTGAAGAGCATGCTATAGAAATGCCATAACAATGCATAAGATGCAGCATGGGCCTCCCAGTATATTTTGCGATGACCACGATGCTATTAATGTCTATATCCGACGGTTACCACTTTCCATCAGGCTGGCCGTAAAAAAATATTACAAATAAAAGAACGTATATTGAAAATAATAAATTTTTATTAATGACACTCATTCTTATATTATGTAAAAACGAGCCAAGTCACACGAAAATAAAATTATTACTTAATGCCACATTAAAACTATTGATTGGATAGTAAATTGTTTATAATATTAAGTATCTCTTGTGAATTAAACAATTAATTACATTAATTAAAAAATTACAAAATGATTTTTTTATACAATTCTGATATAAAATGGCTTACAATATACATATACATAAAAAAATGAATATTTTAATATATTTTTAATTTAGGAATGGGACTGGAATGGTTAAAAGGTATAGATGATTTTTCACAAAAAAAAAACAAATCCAAATAAGTTGGCAAGAAAATAAATAAATTCGATGGAAAACTTACAAATAACTTATACCCTATTAAGACCAATAATTAAAAAGTAAATTCAAATTATGATATTCAAGGTGATGGTGCATTTATTCGCGCGAAATAAAAAGACAATATTGGGACAATCCAACAGTTTCATTCCCACAACTGTGCCATCAGCGTATCCAGAGCCTATAGTCTATTTCAAACAAACTTAATGCAAATGTGACCAAGTTTCATTTAAATTATAAAATGAAATTCATAACATGTCGAAACATTCAATCGATGTTATTGACTTTCGATATGGACAAATTTTTTTAATGCGTGATAATGGTATGGTAACACCGTCTGCGCGTGGGCGTCTAGGTGAGGATAAAAAGGCAGGTAAGTTAGCCTATCCTGACGAATTCAATTAAAATTAGCCATGACAGTTTTCAGGGGGAACCACGTGGAGGTCGACCTGACAGGGTATATTGCTAGTAATGGGGCTATTTGACCCCATTACTAACAATCCAAATGATGGATCTTATCAGATCCATCATTTGTCTAAACTAATATTTTAGGGGGGAAAAGGATTATTAGTAATGGGGTCAAATAACCCGATTAATAGAAATATACTCTGTCAAGTCGACCTCCACGTGGTTCCCCTTGGAAACCATCTTGGTTCATTCTAGTTGAATTTGCCAGGATGGGCTAACTGACCTGTTTTCATCCTCATCTGTCATTTCTCACTGGTGCCCCGCCAGTGTACACTGATAGCACAGGCGGGGTCACCATTATCACCCATTAAAAAAAAACTAATTTTATATGGGGGTAAGATTCGATTTTAAGTTTGTAATGTCTAAATATCGTATTTGTTACTGTAAAAACCAATCAATGTTTAAGAGCTGAAATTTGATACAAAGATGGACCATATACTGGATTACCTTGGTACTTTTATCATAATTTACGCGAGAAGTGATTACACGTTGGAAGAAATTATTTATTTATATATTTTCAAATATATCAAGAAAGATGCCCCAATAATGACTATCACTTTTTAAAATAACGCGACTGATATCTTAAACAATCACTGATATATATATAATAATATCTTAAATTGTAAAAAACTAATAAAAAATATAAACATTATAATCAAAAAATCGTATGATGCCCGATGCTTCTAAATAAAACTTGAACTTGGAAGCCTCATGAAGGTAACTATATGTTGTTAATACTAAATACACTTATTAAATATCGTCTAGAGAGTAGAAAAATACATTGTTTCGTCGTATTTGTGTAATATTACGTTAACATTGTCAAATATTACATTAAAAAAGCTTTAGTAAAAACAATCATCAAAATAAAATTCACCCTTGGTATTTGGCTGTATGCACTGTCGTGCACGCGTTGGAGTTATTTTGATGAGTTCATTAATACTAGATAAATTTTCCTACTGCGGTGCAATAATTGCAGACCCAAAGCTGTACCGCGTTCGATGTGACTCCCAATCGCTTTGGGTCCGACTCACAGCCATCTCACACCTTGGAACTCTTCATCTCACTCTCCCTTCTAGCTCTTACTCTCTTTCTCCAATTAATAATTGGCATTAGCAACCATAAAGATGCGCCGCCAATAAATATAAAACCAAATGTTATAAACATACTCAAATAGTTCCCTTCCCTCTCAAACCATATTCCACATATGGGTGGACCGACCAACTGCAATATACCGTTGACGAACAAACTGATCCCATAAGTGGACATAAACCTCTCCAATCCCAATATTTCGGCCATGACCAATGTTGTTACACCGTTGTTTATACCCGACGCCAATCCGAACAGAGCGCAGCAAACGCTTATGGCGGAATAAGATTTCAAAAATGGAAGAATGACCAGAGACAATCCGGAGAAGAAGAGACCACCGACAAAGTAGAACGTTTTCGGGATCAAATTCAAATCGGACAACGCCGAGCCGCCAACTCGGCCGACCAAATCCAAAGCGGACACTGTACTTAGTAGCAACGCGCCAGCGGACTTATCGAAGCCAATCTCCTTAGCATGTGATGGTAGAAGAATTATAAAATTCGTGCAAGATATAGCTACTGTACTACTCGAGAGCAATATGACCAAATATGTGGGATCTGATAGCAGGCTTAAGTCGAAGAACTTGTTGGATTCTTTACGTTCTTTCTTCTTGCAGCAGAAACAGCAGTACGCCACGTCTACTACTGAATCCGTTATGGACTTCAGGGAGAATTGGGAGGCGAACTCGTTTGGTCGCTCGAACGCTGATAGGGTAGAACCGTGGAATGGAGTGGTCACATAGGCGAAACTTGATGTTGAATAGTTTCTTTTCGGTCCCGAGGAGCTTAGCCGTCTCGCGAAGGCTTCTTGTGAGCCCAATCTTGTTATTGAGGTGGAACTGTATGGCTTCTGTATGGGACGGGTGTACGAGAGTTTTCTTTTCGAGTGATTGTGTCTTAGTTGGTTCGTCGACGAGAGGGAAGGCATACAACTTTGGCTGTTAGTCAAAGACAGCGGAAGATTCTTTTCTGAATTTTCCTTCGTCATCTCTGGATGCCCATTCTCGGGTTTTGCGTTGTGTGACGTCATATTGTACGCTTCAATGGGTTCTTCCTCTTCGAAGAGGATGTCGTCCTGAAATAAATGTGTTATAATTAGTTTAATTCTTTGGTTATTTACAGATTATTTGGAGATTGAAACAAAAACAATAATAAATCAGGCATTATTACTATAAAATACATACAATAACATACAGTATGAAAATCTAAATAGTTAACGATACGTAAAATTAAGAATATGTACATTATATTGAATATATTAGGATAGAAATTGCGTTAAACAAAAATTGAAAATATTAAAAATTTTCCGTTGAGCCTCCCATATTGGCTCAACAGTTGAACGCACTGCGTTAGTATCGGAGGCTCTATCCATGTTGCTCTGGTGAAAGTGTTAAGTTTCGTTAATAGAATACTATTTTAAAAGAAAACTAGTTCGATTTCATCCTGCATATTGTTTTCTTAGATTATATAGATGGAGCAATATAAACAGGTCAACTATAAAATAAGCTAACTTCATTTTTGTGTATTTTTTTAATGGCAGTCGGTCGCCATTTTTATTGCTATTCTGCCAGCGTCATGTTTACGTAAGAGGCTCGTAATTCGAAAATTATTATTTTTCAACAAGTAATATTTAAAGCACATTTTTTTTAATCGTAACAAACAATTACGCATTGTCACATTGTGTATTTGTTTATATATACTCAAACTACAGCGCTTCAATTTAAACTAAAAGTTCACCGTTCCCGCCATATTTCATAAACCCCAATAAACAGTGTTTTCTACAATATAGAATTGGCGCCATTTTTCAGTGTTGCAAGTATTCGAAAAAAAAAAACCTCACAATGGAATCAATTTTTTTTTTTAAATGAATTGATTATTTTTCCATTAGAATTGATTGTATTATTTTTAATATAATAATAAAAGAATAATAGGGAATATTAAGGACATTTTATGTAAACTTTACTCATTTACATTAATTTAAAGTAATTGTTTGTAAAATATGCTGGTTCTTGTTTTGTATATATTATTTATTAATTATATTATTTGTAAGTGAAAATGCCGTCTGTTGACTTGAAGTATTGTATATTTTTTTGTTTTATTTCAATTGTTTTATAAATATTCTTTTTTATAAAAAAAAAAACTATAAGTGTCAAAGTATATAAAAAGGTTAATTTCGAACAGTAATAATTTATAATCTGGTAATCCGATTTACGTACACATAAATAAAAAAGCTGACCTGTTTCTGGCAAAATATTTGTTATGGAGACACTCTATCTACATAATCAAAGATTGTTTTATACATAAACGTTAAAAACTATGTTAACGATTAGTGCGTTTTACCACTGTCATTAAAATAAAAAAATTAACTAAAAAAAAGGACAAAACATAGATAAAAAAAAAAGTTAAGTTAGTATTTTTATTGAGTCAGTGGTCTGAATCCAAGACTATTTAACGGTAACATTAGAGTTAGTGCATCAACGTTTAATTATCTTGAATTTAAAACTAGAACTAATACCATATACATCTATATCGTGTTTCAACCGTGAAGCAGTTGTGTTTGCAAGACTATGTTTCGGTTTGAAGGGTGGGATATGGCGTGAATTTACAGGGTGCAGAGGATTAACACCTGAGTCCTCAGGAATGGCAACGCATAGGGGGTATCATTGGCGAAACAGTATACTTTGTTATGTCCATGGTATTGCTCATGGCTATAGGCGACGGTTACCACTTTCCATCAGGTGGGCCGTCAGCTTGTTTGCCATTCTAAGTTGTATAAAAAAAAAATTAAGAAAAATAAATAAAAGATATTTAAGTAAAAGTCTATTTTATTGGGCGTTCTACTTCTGAAATCAACGCGTACGACAAACGGTAAAGGACAAAGACAAACGGCCATTCTAAGTTGTATAAAAAAAAAAAACCATATACATACACTTATATTCCCCATTCAATGTGTCATACATACACACGCACTCACCCACCTACACACACACACACATATATACATATTTCCATCAACTTTCACATTTCCTGAACCCATAAATTATTGTTTCTCTAAAACTATGGACTCTCTTGTAATTTTTGTTTTTGTATTTTTTTTACAACCCTGCAAACCTTTCGATTGTGTATTATCTAAAAGTGTTTAGCGAGAAAACGCCGGTGCTGCCTCTACAGAGCGATTTAGGAACTAAAATCACTATCACATATTTGTAAAATCTATGGAATTATAATAAAATAAGCGTATATTATAACGTTGTACAACTGTTAATAATTTGGTTGTGTACAAAATACTCTCTTCTCTGTTATAATACCTAATTATAGAGACCTATATAATTTTTGAATAAAATATTGGTGACATAGATTTCATATAATTTTTTTTAGTCAATGTAGCTCAGGTCCGATTATGCTTAAATCCCGGTTGAAACCACTTTACACGCAAATAAAATGTATCCTGCGCAAAGGTCTTGTTTCTGGTTTTCCTTAAATTGACAACACCATTATACATAAATATTAAGATAATTAAAATGTAACATATTAAAAAAAATCTCTTCTATATTCAAACAATTCCCGCGCTTTGACTGTGCGAGCTACCACAGATAACAAGTACATAACCACTTTCGTTATTCAACAAAAAAAAAACTCACACGCTAAATAGCGTTAGCAGGTTATAAATAACGGTTAAATTATGCGTTTTGAAAATGAAACTATATTCCCACTAGATGGCGGTGTTATTAAGGAAAGTGATTATTGAATGGAATGTTAATTAAGCAAAAAGTATTAAATTAAAGAATCGATTTAATTATTAATCACATGCGAATCGTAATATGTTTTTTAAGAGCTACGAAACTGTTAATGGTGGATGTTGGACGCATGAAAATTATACAAATAATGGTCGTAGTATATTTGGAATGACTATAATTTTGCGCAGTAAATGAAGCCAATGAGCTTGATTATTAAATTCTGATTTGTTATTCTGTAAAGTGATTCAGAACTGTGTAATAGTATTCATGAAATTCAAGAACTTTTCCTAAAGAATATATTTTATACACGTAGATTTCATTTAAAAAAAAAAAAACACTAGTTACATAAAAATAACTGGTTTTGTCACAACTAACGTGCTAAAACCAGTTAGTTATTTTTGTTTTAAAAACCAAACTACTGAACGGATTTTTTTAAAATTCCAATGAGACCAATTTGAAAATTCATTTTTTTTTTAAATAAAAATAGAATTTTTTAAAAAAGTTTATAAATGACCGAGTTCTATATATATTTTGTTTCCTACATTCGTATTTACACGATTCTAACAAGTTCTTCGGGGCACAATATTTATTATAATTTTAAAGTAGTAAAATATACAGTGTCAGACTGAAATAATTGAATTTTATGAATACCATTGCTGAATATATAATTGCTATAGGATATTATAATCTGAGATTATATAGATAGAGCATCAAGTGTAATTTGTTTTTTTTTTATACTACTGAGGTGGCAAACAAGCATACGGCCCACCTGATGGTAAGGTTACCGTAGCCTATGAACACCTGCAATACCAGAGGTTTTACGCGTACGTTGTCGACCCTGAAGAAACCTCATTACCCCCCAAGATTATGTCCTATCAAAAGACAACCGACTTCAATTGACACAAAGCTAATTATTTTGATTTATAAATGAAACTGCTGAACGGATTTTGATAAAATTTTAAGCAATCTGTAAGTTAGTCATTTCAGATAAAGAAATTTTCCCAACTGACGTAGTTATGAGGTAACAAACATAAAAAAATACAACCGAATTGAGAACTTCCTTCTTTTTGAAGTCGGTTGAGAACGGGACAAGTTTTAGTAAGCCACATTTTTTTTTATATGAAAAAGAATTAAAATTCGGAACTATATTTTTTTTTAATACAAATACAGAAATGTGTGTATTGCTTACAAATTAATATATGTACATGTATTCATAAAAAAACGGCTATATTCAATTATTAAAAAAAAAAAACTTTTATTTTTTAATTTACTTAATATACTTTCTCCCATATATTTAGTAATAAATATAAATTATGGTAACCCTATTCACGCAACGTGGATAAAAAAGTTGACCTGTTTTTAGCGAAGAATTCTTACTACGCTCTATCAATATAATCAAGATCTTAAACAATCCTTAGACAAATAATAACTGTTGTGATTAAATAACTTGTTGACGTAAAAATAAGTGTTAAAAGAAATCATTAACGTTTTAATTTTTAAGCATAAGTTCTAATTATAGCTGTAAATAATTAAAAATATATAGGTTATGTTTTAGCTTAGATTAAATAACGTTATAAGCTGTTTATGGAATAGCAAAGCTGACATATAGACGACAACGAGACATAGACAAGACAAAACGTGTGTAGATTAAAAATATGTTCCGTCACTTATCATTGTCAATAGTAAAAATATGACAATTGACATTACGAACAATAATTTAATTGAAATAATACTTTTTTCTCTGTAAATATTCAAAATAAAATATAAATAATAATTTACTTAATTTTTAGATTTTTTCTTTCTAAATTTTAAACAAAGAGCATGACGTATCACATATTTTTAATCTATCCAAACATGAATGAACACAGAATATATAGAAAAAAAAATATATCGCTTACTTTATGCGACGTGGTGTCACCCATTATGATCCCGCTTATGTGCATAATGATGGGCTTGTTTCATTTTCAAAAACACTCGTGAGAAACGCAAAGAATTTTTTTCTTTTTTTTTTTAAATTAAAACATAGTTCACGCTGCCGGTAAAATATCGAACTAATTCAAAATTGGAATAAATCGTTTTAGTGAAGTATAGACCTAAAAAGTAGTAACCCAGTTTAGAAAAAAAATACTTAATATTTTTTTTTAATACTGACTAAGCAAAGAGGAAGTTTTTTCTCAACTAGCTTTTTTTTTTAATGAATGAGAATGGATTGTTAACCCCGCCCGCGCTATCAGTATACACTGGCGGGGTATCAGTGAGAGATGATAGGTGAGGATGAAAGCAGATCAGTTAGCCCATCGTGATGAGTTCGACAAGAAATAACCACGATAATTTCCAGGGGTAAGCGCGTGCAGGTCGACATGATAGGGTATATTGATAACAATGGGGCTGTTAGATCCCATTACTAAAAAATCCTTTCCCTTCTCTCATCTAGGTTACGAAATTTGATCTTTTCTAGGCCCTTATTTCACTAAAACATATTTTCAGAAAAAAATTAAATAAAATAATTATTAATTAGTGATAAAAAATTTAAATATCCAAAAATGCTGACGACCCAGCATCAACTAGTTCGAATTTTTTATCATTTCGTTTATTTATCTGTGTGAACATGTAAATTAATTCACTACAGATATATATAAAAATCCTGGGTTGCCATTACAAAAAAAAATTGAAAAAATCCGAAAATACTAGCAACCCAGTAAAACTTTACATAAATAGTATTTAGGTGTCGCAAACGTTAGTTACAAATGGTGTGGCAACCCTTAAGCCTTTATTGCTCCAAAACCAATATCGTAATACCCATTTAAGGGGCAGCGTTGGTGTAAATATAGTATAGTGAATTGTTAGGGTTGTCACTGACCTGTGGCCCATCATCGTCTTCCTCAGGCTCCTTGTACTTCTTCACCATATGTTCTTCAACCGGTTGGAACAGT